GCCTAGGCTATACGCCTAGCAAGCCTACTATATTAGTGGATAATAAGGCAGCTATTAAGCTAGCCGAAAACCCTGAATTTCACAAAAGGACGAAGCATATTGATATACAATATCACTATATCAGAGATCAGGTCAAACAAGAAAGGGTCGATGTTCAATACGTCCCCACTAAACTGCAATTAGCAGATTTCCTGACTAAAAATGTCAGAAGAGAAATATTTGAAGACCTGAAGAATCTAGCTAATCTCTATGAGATCTAGCTATATATATATCCAATTTGATATATAATATCATGGATACCTTCGAGTATGGTTTTCACCTAAATAGGTTTTTCCATACTCTATACGCGAATGCGGAAGGAACCACTTAACCCTGTGAGATTGAGATTTAGGAAGATATATATCTAGCTATCTTATAGCAGTATATATATATATCGATCCTATCTACTCTATACTAATCTCTATACTCTACTGCTATCTGCACTATAGTATAAAGATTACGGGGGGGTGTGAGATATAGGGCAGGATGTTATCAAGCCAGACCGCCATGCAGCATATCAAGCCAGATTCATAAGGCCTATACAAGATGGCTGAATCTCTATAAGCTTTATGCTATACCATCATCACTACGGTCAATGACATCGCTATACCATCATCACTACGGTCAATGATATCGTAGAAGACGTATACTATTGTATACGATCTACATCATCACTACGATCAATGACATCGTACAATCAAGCAACCACCGATCAAACAGCTACTGCATGAGATCACTATCTGTCTGCATGAGATCATCATGCATCTAGATCTAGGATCTAGAACGATCACATGCAAAAGAGGTTTGATAAAGATTGATTATAAATAAGCCCTGTTTTCTCTACAAAAATCATGTTCAAGACATACAAGCAAGATTCAATACAATCAACCAAGCTTCAGTCCTACTTTACTTTTCTCTCATCTTTATGATTCTAAGCCGAATTGAACTTATCCTTCCTATTCAATCAAGAGGAAGAAAGATCAATCGATCTTATTTAATCATCTTTAATTTATCTTCCTCTTTACCCAACCTGCGCAGCATCGCTTGCTCACACAATTCGACTAATCGGTATATAATAGATATCACCGTCAAGATTAGTAAGATCATTAGCTAATAGGCTAGTAGGTAGTAGGTTGCTAGCTGAAGTTTCTTGATAATTAGCTTCTGCGGGGTAATCTATTATATGACTAGTAACGTGGATTTCTTCCTCGTTAGATTACTTATTGAGTATTGCTATAATCATCTTCTTTTGTTAATTAAATCTTTGATTATTTTGATTAGATCTAGGCTAATTTGCCCTAGGTATCTAATTAGCTAGTCTACTAGAAGGATATAGATACTAGTAATCTGATACTGTGTAGCTTCGTATATTACAATACGTATAGTATTTGCCAGAATTTGATAGTTTTTTCCACAGTTTTTTGCTAATTCGACGATTTTGATTAGCCTAACGATTTAAACGGTAATTTACCTGATAATTAGGCTTGTAATTAGCCTAATATTTGCTTTAATAATTAATTTAACGATTACTTTAACGATTGCTTTAACGATTGCTTTGACGATTGCTTTGACGATTGCTTTGACTATTAGCTATAAAGATTTGCTTGCTTGTTTGTATATAACCGCGCAATTCGTTAATTAGATTAGCGAATAGCGATTTAATTAAATAGGAATTAGAATCTCTGCGAAGAGATTAAATAATGTTTTGTATAATTAGTATATAGGTTTGATCGAGATTATTCAAGACCTATACGAAAACGATTTGCTTAGGGAAATTAATTCCTAGGCTTACTAGTTCGATTAGCAGGCATCTTATCTTAGTAAGATAGTTATGTATACTATCGAAATCGCCTAATTAGCTGTTGAATAGGCTCTTTAATATAAGGAATTCGGTAGTAAATCCTTTTAGCCGATATTAGGTAGCTAAGGCTACCTATACTTAGTAGGCTGATATAGTATCTCCTAGCTAAAAGAGTAGGCCATCTTTATATAATAGCTTGATTAATAATAAAGTATCTCGATTAATCTAATCGATAGTTTTGAATTTATCAGATAGAATAACTAGCTTATTCTAGCCTATCTTAGTAGGGCTAGTAGATCTTGTAGGTCTGCTAGATCTTCTTCTTTCTAACTAAATCGTAGTATTTCTATAATCAGGTGATCTTTGATTAGGTAGTAGAGCAATTGCTCTTTTATAAGACTAGTGTTGATTAGGAATCTAGCCTTGCTGAATAGCAGGAAGCTTTGTGTAATTATATTAGATTGTATCAATCAGTCTCTCTTGATCAAGAATCGCCTTGATTCGGATAGACCAGGCAACATAATTTCCTTCTCCTTTGAGAGGATCGATGTTATGTTTGTTGATCATCTTGAGTTCAAAAAACTTGATTGAATTATTGAAAAATGATTGTTTTTGTTAAGAAAGTCGAGATTTCTTAGTGTTTCGTATAGAGAAGTAGACGCGACCGGTAAAAATCGAGTATAAATTTTTGAAAATAAGAAGTTCGAAAAGCTTTTTGTTTTTCCTTTAAGAGAGAGAAGTTTCTCTTAAAAATAAGGGGTTCTTCGTTGAAGATAGAAGATTGAAGAAGTAGTATAAGCCGAATTGAAGTAGGATCAATTCGGGCTTATAACCTATGAGCAAGCGATGCTACGCAGGTAGAGAGGGAGGAAGAAGATTGAATAAGATAGATTAATCTTTCTTCCTTAGATTGAATAGGAAGGGTAAAATCAATTCGGCTTAGAATCATAAGATAAGAAAGAGTAAAGGTAGGACTGAAGCTTGGTTAATTATATTGAATCTTGCTTGTATGTATGATTGATCATTGTAGAGAAAACAGGGCATATTTATAACCAACTTGTCTCTTGCATGTGATCGTTCTAGGTAATGCATAATGATCTCATGCAGACAGATCTAGATACATAGTGATCTCATGTAGTAGCTGTTTGATCGGTGGTTACTTGATTGTACGATGTCATTGACCGTAGTGATGATGTAGATCGTATACTATTGTATACGTCTTACTTGATGTCATTGACCGTAGTGATGATGTAGATCGTATACTGTTGTATACGTCTTACTTGATGTCATTGACCGCAGTGATGATGGTATAGCATAAAGCTTATAGAGATTCAGCCATCTTGTATAGGCCTTATGAATCTGGCTTGATATGCTGCATGACGGTTTAGGCATCTTGCTCTATATCTCACAATATGATCGATCTAGATAGATCTAGATAGACCTAGATACATTCTAGATATATAGTGATCTTATGTAGTAGCCATTTAATTAGTGGTTGCTTGATTGTACGATATAGTTAATCGTAATAATGATATAGATCGCATGACTATGATATGTCTATTTATGCCTGATTATCCGATTGGATAATGATGATATAATAGTATAAAGCTTATAGAGATTCAGAATATCGTTCTGGCTATTGTATAGGCCTTATGAATCTAGCTTGATATGCTGCCTGATAGGTTAGGCATCTTGCCCTATATCTAACAAGAGAAGGAGGAAAGGATACGTATATATAAGAAAGGGAGGGTAGTTAGAATCGTAATTTAATGGCGTGACGGGCTTGGCAAAAATCAGGCTAATTCAGGCAGAAATCAGGCTCTATAGGGTGCGAACAGGGTAACCCAATATTAGGGTTAGTAGAGATTAGTAGATTATTATACGCGAGCCTAAGCGCTAGATTTCTAGTAGATTTAGTACTAAACACGAATATACGACTATTATTAAAGCTATATTAGCTATAGGTACTATAATCGTACTAGTAGTAATCCTAAGCGCGAAGGTTCTACTACTATAGTAGTTTAATATAGTAGACGATAAGAGAATCGCTATTACTGATGCTAGCTATCTTAATTATCTTCTAGCCCTATAGTAGATACGGCTATTTAACTAGCTTACTAAGGATTCGGCTAAGGATATATATCGTATATTAATCTATAATTAGTTCGGTTCGTATCTTATATACGAATTCGTTAAATACTATAAGGATTATAAGATTATCCTCTTCTTTCTACCTCCGTATTCTAGCTACCTTCTCTAACTACTAGATATTAGTATATTTAGCGTATATAAGCACCAGTATAGCGAATAGGTAGACGATACTATAGTTAGTAGCTATAAGAAGATTACTAAGGATGATTTCCTTAGTATAATCGCGCGGATTTAGTAGAAGACCTTTAAATCTTCTATAATTAAGCTTAGATTTCGATTAACTAGCCTTAAGCCTATTAATCTAAGTATAGTTCTCGATTCTCTAGTAGAATTAGGTCGCGATTTCGGCTTTAATATACTAAGCCCCTCGTTAACAGCAGCTAGTAATAGCTAAGATTTATTAGATCTTAGTATACTAAAGACTACTAAGCGTATAAAGAAGCTAGAAGAGCGACTAGAGGATAAGATCTCTTATATATAGTAAACCCTCTCTCGTCGTCTACTAAAGAAGCTTACAAAAGCTACGACCGAATTCGCTTACATTACTTCGGAGCTAGAGTAGAGTATAGAGAATTCGGAGTATCTACGAGAGCTTCGTCACGTACGCGAAAATCGATCGCGTAAAGCTTCTAAATTGACTAGGATAGTGCATTCTAGCCAGGTTGATCGTATCAAGCGAATTCTAAAGAGTAGTAAGGACCTAAAGGCTCTTATAAAATTGCGACCGTATTATAAGCGGGAGGTAATACCGGAATTAAAGAGGGTTTGCAAAGCGAAGGGTTATTTGATCAAAAATTAGTATCGATTTCTGTATTGGCCAATCAAATTGCTTTATTTCGGTCTATAAATTATCTTCTAAATCGCTCTGCTTTAGTGGATTAAGTCGTATTGAAATTGGGTAGTTGAATATATAAAGATGCGATATCGTGTAGGTGGGTAATATCGTTTGGGTGGCAGACCCTCGCTCCGCGAGGGTCCGGAAAATATGGTAATATTTGTAAGGGGCTGGTTATGTACTAGTATTTCGAAGGAGCCAATCTCTCCACTCGTTATTGTCTATGATTGATCTTACACGGGCCTCAAGCCACTCCGTGTTGCCCCAGAATCCCCAGGAGGCCTGAAATCTACACCAATCCACTAGAGCCGTTTCCCAGTGTCGCTTGAACGTCGCCCATTCGTAGAAGTCCGGCTGCCTATCCCACAAAAGGCTGTCGTGATACTGTTTCAGCAGTCGCCTCTCGCCATCTCCCATTGCCAGCCGCTCTGGCAAAGGCTCATAGGCCTCCACAAGCATGTCCAGAGGCACTGAACAAGTGAATAGTTTCGCGAGATCACAGACACCTAAACCCAGCCCAACATATTGAAAATCAAAGAACGCCACCTCGTCACCATTTTCCGTGGTAAAGAGGTTCTCCGACTTGACGTCGCCATGGATATACGATTCGAATGGCCTCCCGCGAGGGCTTAAGAAAAATGCAGCCATCTCGGCGACAGACATAGAGCAACCCGGCCACGGCTGACACATAAGACTGGACCATTCTGAGTGGGCGTCTCGAGCGAGAGAAGCGTACTCTCCCTGACGGGTTGATAGATACGTGTACCCGCCATTTAGCCACAAGCCTCGCCCGAAGGCGTCGTTGCCGGTACACTGTTGCCGTCTTCTCTCGTGCTCTTGAAGGGGAGGCAGGAGATATCGGTCGAGGCTGTCTGGGAGCAACCCCCACGAGCGGCCGTGAAAGCGGGCCAACCATTCTAGCGAGCTCTGCACCTGCGTGCGATTCAGGGCACTCCTCTTCCCTCCAGGAACCGGGAATCTGGGAGATAAATCCACCATGAGCGTGGCCAGCAGACCGCCAAGTTCCGCCTCGCTTTTTTGGCCCTTCATCTGTCGCGTCGAGGCCAGAGACTTGGCCACGACGATTCCATCGCCCAAGAGCGGGACCACGTCACTATAAAAAGTCTGCTCCACCTCGTAGCTGAGCATTTTCCGCAAGTGGCCCTCGTCCTCCTGGCCCAAGCCATTATTGCCTGGTGGCGAGATCAGCTTCAGAATCAGAGGATAGGTGGCCCCCGCGGCTCGCGGTTCCACTCCACACAGCTTGCTCAGATGCTGTGCCGCTTCGTCGGTGGTGGCTCGCGCTGTGATCGCACAGATCCTTCCATAACCAGCCCACAGAGTCTGTAAATTTTCGCACGAGACGAGGTCGAGCGAGTGCCAGGACAGCATGATACGCGCAACGTGTTCAGGGTCATTGGCCAGTGAAGCGGCCATGGCGGGGCCACGAACGAGCTGTATATAGAATATTGATATGGATATTGTTCGGGGTGATTCACTTGGAATAATCACCAGTTGACCTAAGTGAGCGATGATCCCCCAGGCTCATATATGGTAAGTCCGAAAGTGAAATAGAGTACGAACCTAACTTTGAAGGTATCCACTCACTTGGAGGGTTGGATGTGGAATATCCAAGATAGTTTATGTAAGCCATTCCAGGAGGTGGAGTCCAGGCTCTTCCAGTCGGTCAGTCCGCTTTGATAAAGTACACCGGAGCAGGTAAGAAGTATGTATAGCTTGGTGATAGTCTATTATTCCTATGTAATCCCACCAAATCGGAATGATCTGGTGGTAGAGCTGAACGAAAAAATATTAGGATGCCCATGCATATTGGATCAATCAAAACTAGTTATCCGGGTATTCATCCCTCATATTACTGACAAAGGCTCGGCTTTGCTCATCCCACCGCTTAAAATGCTTCCCTGCAATACTCGTCAGACTTGAGGGCAAGTCGCTCAACTCGGGAAGAATCAGGTCGATGTTTTCCTCTGCCACGTATCGAACGCTTCGATCCTCCACACTGAGAAATCGGAATGTCAGTCACTCGTATCCTTGTTGAACCGAAACTCTAGGGCTGTGAAGCTTACAGGACATGGTAGAAACTTTGATGACGGCCAGCCTGCAACCGATCGATGCCCATACGCCGCATCCACTGCTCACCAGCACCGCATTCATGATCCCAGCCAGTGATGATAGCACGATAATGATACCGGCGGTGTCGGAAAATCTGACCCACGCAGTATCGAATGTTCTGATTCTCCCCAGTCCGTCGGCGCACCTGCTTGGGAATCTCGTCCGCTGCACGCATGACGTGGAGACTTTCCAAGATGTGCTCATGCTCGAAGAGGCCTTGAAATAGAGGGACGATATATTGCTCCACCAAAAAAATGTCTGAAGGGAAATCCGTTGCGAAAAGCTCCATGAGCAATGGAAGTTGGTGACGCAGGTCCATGGGCCGTGAGTTCCCCGCAAGAAGCATCGAGGACCACAAGGAGGCGTACTTTGCACTTACCACGTCCACGGAGGTCATGTGCCCATCAGGGGGTTGGATCCAGAATTAATCGCAGTCCAGATGTTTCTGCTGCACCGCAGGGCGATCTCGGACGTCAATGATGGACCCAGGAACGACGCCTGCTCTGTGTCAGAAGCACCAAGAAAAACAAGCTGGTCTCTTAAATCGGACACGGGGGTCTCCCGCGCTCCCCGGAAGGGGTCCAAGTACATGGGAGGGCCTGAATTCAATCCGGACAGAGCTTCCCCTTCCATGTCAAAGCCAGGCGGTGGGGTGACAATGACATGGACGTGAAATGGAAAACCGCAAGGATGGGCATTCAATCCAAATGCTTGCGCCACATAGCAATAGATAGCCGCAGAAATCAGGGGGAGGGAGTTGTGTCCCGGGCTTCTCAGAGCCAGGCCCAGGAAACTGTGCTCCAAGACATGGTATCCCCGGCCTGGTCCGATTCCTGTGAGATCGTGGTCTCGTAGCCAAGCTGCAAGCGACAGAGCTTTGCCACGGGGACTAAGATCATCTAGTTCGGGATGAGAAGCACTAAATTGGGCGACGAGCTCATCTAGCATTTCCCTGACCTGGGATTTTGTCAGTATTCCAGGGGTAGCTAGAAGACTCGGAGAACAAATAGACGAAGGGGGACGAAGATCAGGCACATAACCATACCTCATCTAGGTCACCGTATCCACTCTCGGGGACAAATAGATCGAAAGCCCCCAAGGCACGCTCAAGCGACACTGGCTCACCGCGGCTGAGTCTGGCCCACTCTGGAACCGCAATGCTTCGATGAAGGCAAGTTAGGAGTGCTCGCGCATAGTACCTTGAACGTAAAATTAGCGACCGTGATCATCAACACAAGGGGGAATTGGACAATGAAGATGATGCAGACCCACCTTCTTGCAAGATGATCCTCGCCCGATTCCACATTACTATGTCGCAATAAGGTGTCTTTCGCATCGTACCCATAATCGATAACGGCGCGAAACTTCTCGATGCGTCCTGTTTGACTGGCGAGAATACTGTCCAAAAGTCGAGTGACAGCGCGGTCAATATGGTATCTCCATACAAAGAGCGCCTTCCAATCGACAGATGACGCCGGAATCGCGCGCTTTTGCAAGATCCCATGTTTCTTGTCCCATGACTTGTAGTATATCTCACAGTAATGACGCCATAATAGCGGTCCGTTGGTCACATTCTTAAATCGGTGGTTGGTTTGCTCAAGCGCGGCGGCCGAGCAAGGGTGCAGGTGGCATAGAATGGAATGAAGAATCTCCTCGGGAAGGTGATCAAGAGACACAACCATCCCTGCAGACTAGTGAGGTGGTCCTCAAGGTACCCAGGAATTGGGGAGGAGGAGGGGACTGATTAACCACTCGGTGGCAATCTGGCTCCCGAGCTGATGGTTTCGAGCTTCGGACGCACGGTGCGACGCATACAGCACAATTTCCACGCTGGTCTTGAACCCTCATTCATCTAAATTCCGAGGATCAGGCATGGTTTCCTCTCGACGCGATGTGGTGAGTTGTGAAGGGCAGAGGGTCTTGAAAGTGAATGGTTTCTTGCAAGGAGGATGATGCAACCGGAGACAGGCAAGGAACAATGAATCGCTGGTAAGCAAAGGCGGGGGAGGGGACGGGAGAAGACACGCCAAGCCTGGCCGATAAGGCCCAAAAAAACCCCATTTCGATTACTGCACAAGCAACACCCCCCAACACACCAACACGAGGTTGGAAAAAGTCCCTGCTCTCATGCAGTCGCAGGGTTGCCATCTGCAACGCCACATCTCGGATCATACTGGACTGCGCTGAGGGACCTCGACCTCGATAGCTCACTGCCAGCAGCTCACGACGCTAGCTCCTGATAATCGCGTCCCATCGACTCAGCATGGGCCAGTCTCAGTCGACGGGCTCCAAGAGCCAGGATACCCAAGGACAACAGTCGGAGCAAAAAACGGATTATTACGAGCTCCTAGGAATCACTCGGGGGGCAACCGATGATGAGTGAGCCTCTTTTCTTCCATTCGCCAATTTATGCGCCGAAGCCGGCTTAGCTTACATTTCCCTCTAGGATCAAAAAAGCATACCGAAGAAAAGCGCTGGAACTGCACCCTGACCGAAACTATGGGAACGTCGAGGAGGCCACTAGGCTGTTCGCCGAGATTCAGTCTGCATACGAGGTCCTTGCGGACCCCCAGGAGCGTGCATGGTACGATTCCCATAGTGACGTGTTCCTAGGAACGAATGGGGCTTCTGAGGATCAACATTCCTACAATATTCGCGTGACAGCGGCGGAGGATGTTCTCAAGGTTTTCTCAAAATTCAGCCCTCGCATGGAGTTCTCGGACTCGCCAGCTGGATTCTTTGGGGGCCTACAGGAGCAGTTTGCCCAACTGGCGCTGGAGGAGCGATTGGCATGTCAGTGGGAAGATCAGGATATGGTAGATTATCCCGCGTTTGGATCGCGCGATGATGACTTCGAGACGGTGGTGCGTCCCTTTTACGCGGCATGGAGCGGCTTCTCCACCTGCAAGTCCTTCGCTTGGAAGGATGCCTATCGGTACTCTGAGGCTCCCGATCGCCGAGTTCGGAGGATGATGGAGAAGGAAAACCGGCGCCTTCGAGAAGAAGCCATTCGGGAGTTCAACGATGCAGTCAGATCCCTTGTGGCCTTTGTCAAGAAACGTGATCCCCGGTACAAAGCCAACGCGCAGAATGAGGCTCAGCGCCAGGAGACACTTCGACAGTCCGTAGCGGCTCAGGCAGCCAGATCACGGGCCCAAAATCAAGCCAAAATGGGAGATTATGTTCTTCCGGAGTGGGCGCGATCGGAGGAACAAGCGGTTGGTGATCATGAAGAAAGTTCAGAGAGTGAGATTCAGAGCTTTGAATGTGTTGCATGCAACAAACAGTTCAAGAGCCAGAAGCAGTTTGAAGCTCATGAACGGAGCAAAAAGCATCTGAAGGCTGTCAAACAATTATGTCGGGATATGCGGATTCAGAACGACGAATTGGATTTAGAGCCTGCGGTGTCCGTTACCATCCCCCCCGAGCCAGCCCCCACATCCTTTGATACTCCCACGGGCAGCGCCAGCGATGAAGACAACGACGATCATGCTACCAACTCACCCACGACACTACAACCAGAGGAAAATCCCCGAGAATCAATAGAAAGTGATATTCAGGCTCGACCATCTAGGGAAAACTCACCCATCATGAACGGCCACGATAACCAGCCGAGATCTCAATCCCGACGAGACTCAATTGATTCGGTTAATGAAGATTACGCTTCCAGAGAGTCTGTCGAGACCAGACTTCGTTCAGCGCTCGATTCAAGTTCTGACAATGAGCCCATTACTCTGCTCACCGAGAAATTGTCATCTGCCGACCTTGATGACGGACCATCCGTTCCTCCCCAGGTTGGAAAAGCCAAGCAGAAGCGAGCTAAAAAGGCAGCTCGCAACTCTGAACAATCCTCGGGCATTAGCTGCGCAAACTGCCAGGCCAGCTTCACGTCGAAAACAAAACTCTTTGCACATTTGAAAGATAACCCAGGTCATGCACAGCCGCTCAGGACCACTACCAAGAGCAAAAGAAGATGAACATCGGGGGCGGTACTATGTGAAAAGATGATGTTAAATATGGTGTAAATCTAAGTTTAGGGAGCTCGTTTCAGATGGGTATCTCTATAGACAGGTGATGGGTGATGTGGAGCCCTCTATCGATCTTCAAGGTATCCTTCGTAGTGATCTAAAAAACAAAACAAAAAACAGAGGGAAAAGCGAGACTGCGCCGGCAATAAGATAGTAAAGAGAGGGAGATTCTTCTGTCGTCCTCGTTATTGATATCCATACGAGGGTAACCTCTTATCCCAGACCCGTCCGAGAATTCTTCACCACATGCGGGACGGGGAGCAGAATGCCCTTGTTGTTAACAGCCCCGAGCGCGGTGCCACTGCTCCATCCCATCTTTTCCAGCATGGCACGTCCTCGATTCCCGGCCCCGATCTCTGGAGCAGTGCCACCAACCACGTCGCCATCCATATAGGAAACCGCACCTCCAACGGCCCCCCGTTTGACCTTGACGGGCTTGCTGTACTTGGATGCATCTGCGCCCCAGGACTGGAAGAGTCGGCGATTGAGCTTTTTGCCAGATAGCAGATCATCCACTTTGGAGATAGTCTTGCGGGTATAGATGGGGGTGCGAGAGGTCTTGAGGAGCATGGGGAACCGTGAGGGTCCATTGCCTCGGGATTGCGATTTCAGGTGCATCGAGTTTGCCAGCTCGTGTATCGTCTTCCGACGGTGCTTCGTCATCGCTGGCAATGAAAGACTGGACGTGTATTAGCGGCTGATCGTAAATGGTGTAACATATGGTGTGGGGAGTAAGATCCTACGCACCTGGTATTGGATGACAACAGGAAAGATCGAATCTCGGTGATCAATTCCTCGAGGTTCATCCCCTTGGAATATTTGACTTTGAGATCTGCCTCTCCATTGTTCCTACCTAGCAGCCCCTGGGCGCGAAGCTCTTCTCGTTCCTGCTTCTTTGCTTTCTTCTTCTTGCGATCGGTCTGCCACACTTCATGCAGGTGGGCTTCGAGGTCGCTATCGGAAAACATCATGTCCAGGGTCGGTGGTTTCTTGCCTTTGCCCTTCTTCTGCAGGCTTGGTCGATTGAAGTCCATCATGTCGAGTCCATAGTAGGGATCTGCCTCGAGGGCATCTGCGAATGCCGTAGCCGATGCAAATGAGATTTTGCCGGCACGCCCGCCTTTCTTTTTGTCGGTAAGATAGTTGATCGCCAAGTCTTCCAGCAATTCTGTATCCAGATCCTCATCGTCAGAATCCACGTCAAATTCATCCGACGAATCCAGGTTCACGTCGTTGTCGTCGTCCTCGTCCTCCTCCTCATCATCGTCTTCTTCATCATCGTCATCACTCGAATCAGGGACCTGATCTGTTTCTGTATCGAGACGCATCCGAGAGAATACTGTGTCTTCCACGTTAGGGTAGTAGTAGATTCAGCTCCGACTCTAGTGCACTTACCATCAATCGAGCTTTGGACATGTGCCTCCTTGGAGACGCCTTCCACTGAAGTACGATCCACCTGAGGCACTCCTTCGCTGGCTTTGTCCAGGTCGGGCAAGGATGACATTGAGTCTGTTGCAGCCTGGGCAACGTCAATGCCGCCTTCAAGGTCTGCATGCAGGCGAGAGTACGTGTCCTCGTGGTAATCAGTGTCCATGTTGGCGATGTAATCTGCCAACATGGTATCCTCGTCTTCTCGTGTCCATCTACGTGTGTCCTGTGCATGTGCCTGCGCGTGATTCTGGCTCTGCTCCGATCGGGGGATCTGGCTTGTTGGAGCGTCTACCGCCACCGGTCCATGTTGGGTCGCCAGCGGCTCCGTCGGTGGTGCCTGCAACAATACTTGAAGCTCTTCCTGGCTAGTCTCTATCACGATCGGCCTCGTGCCGGTCTTTCGACCTGTAAACACCACTTCGTCCTCGCTCGATTCATCGGGGTCGCTCCATTCGGTTCGTATGATCGGGTCTGGGAGCCCTGTGTCGGTCACGGCCTGGGGCGTGGCATCAAAGAAGAAGCCGCATTCGGCATCCTGTTGCATCAGTTCTGGTGGACTAGCCCCGTCGGGTGATGCCCTTTGGGAGTCGTCTCCCAGTTGATCATGGCTTCCTGGATCTGGTTGGTCGACCTTCTCGAATTCACTCCGTTGTAGCTCCCCGGCCTTGACGAACTGCACGGCCTTGTGGCGGAGACTACTACTCAGCCAGTCCCGTGTGTGTGTTTCGGTATTGCGGGCCTCCTGCTGCATGGTGAACCGATGTGGCGAACCTTTTTGCAATGATTGTCAGTCAAGATTGTGGACAATTCGAATGGTTTTGGGGGGGGGGGGTTATTACTTGATATCACCCTTGCAGGTGGCCTTTTGGCCCGGGCCTTGGATTTCCCATGGCGGGCCATGTGTGCATGGGAAAGAGGAGGGTGAAGGGGGGTGGAAGACGGAGAAAGTTGGAGAGGGGAGGATGGATTCTATGGATCTTTTGGACTTTCTGCGGGAGTGGGGCCGGGCGGTGGAGGACTCACACTTTATCGTTTGGAACGAGCAAGTGGGACAGTCCAGCGTCGTAAACACATGAGAAAGTGGTCGAATGTCAGATTAAATCCTTTGGATAGATAAGTAACGCTCATCGTTTTCTTTTGTAGGTATCTAGAAGGAGTATTATCCGCGTTCTCTCCGCGGCTCTTGCTATCGCGCTCTCTCGAGGAGCGCGGCCTGATCGACGCAGTGACGTCGTGACGGGTGCCTGTGACCGTCTCTTTTCTTCTCTTTCTTTCGGGCTCTTCTTCTCTCGCGCGCGCGCGCGGTTCTTCTTGTAGTTTCAATTTCGAATCGGTTTCATTATTCTCGTATTGAGGCTGCTGTTTATTTGTTTGATTTCTCTGTTCGATCTCCGATCGGATCTCGCAGTTTCTCGTCTGATGGGGGAGGTGGAGGTACATACTCCGTTCATTATATATATCTCTCAAGTCCAAGTACCCGCAACCTCCGCGTTTGGTGAAACTCCCCTCATTGATACTCCTCCCCTCCAACTTCTTCCCCCCACCCGCCTCTTCCAAGTGACCGACACAGACAAGCCCGCGGAGATGACAGGGGTCGACCTTGAGAAATGCAAGCGTATCGTACAATACTTCTGGGACCCCGAACCCAAGAATGACACTGCACCAGGATCCCCCATATGGTGTCTAGGCCAACAATACACGCCCACCCAGCCACCAGGCCCCCATGATGCAGGTATGCAGGTGTCTCTCAAAGAGACCCGAATATCCGCTACAGGCCAGCGAAGAGTCGCTAATATTCCATGATGTGCCCCAGTAGACCAGTCAAGTCACGTCGAACCAACAGCAGACCGTGTGAACGACACGGGCGGTGCCTGGCCTGAGGCCTTTCTGGCCGACTTTGAATCGCGAATATGGATGACCTACCGCTCACACTTCGCGCCCATCCCACGCAGCAAAAAACCCGAAGCTACGTCCTCGATGACGTTGGGGGTCCGCCTGCGTAGCCAGCTCATGGACTCGCAGGGCTTCACATCCGATACCGGGTGGGGTTGCATGATCCGGTCAGGGCAGAGTCTCCTTGCAAATGCCCTTTGCGTTCTGCAATTTGGACGAGGTGCGGAAGCTCGCCGGACCACGATGACCGAGACATAGAACGCTGACCATCATTACAGAATGGCGAAGAGGTCATGGACCCGAAGATGAATCAAAACTGCTGGCCATGTTTGCAGATCATCCTGATGCTCCATTCTCCATACATCGATTTGTCCAGTGCGGAGCCGAGTCGTGCGGAAAATACCCCGGGGAATGGTTTGGGCCATCAGCGACTGCACGATGTATCCAGTTCGTATCACTGTCACCCGCTAGCCTCGCGAGTCTTGAAAATCACATACCCAATAAGGCTGACCAGAGATGTACCAGAATGCTATCAAATGCACAGGAACCACCAATGCCTAGGGTCTACGTGACCAAGGATACGTCCGATGTATACGAAGACCAGTTTATTCGACTGGCTAGCGACCAAAGCGGACAGATCCAGCCAACGCTGATTCTCATGGGCCTCCGGCTGGGGATTGATCATGTTACATCGGTCTACTGGGATGGACTACAAGCGACTTTGCAATATCCGCAATCCGTGGGCATCGCCGGGTAAGTTCTGGATCTGCACCTCACTCCACCACCGAGAAACAAACCATATCAGGAAAACATGAATGTTAACAAGCGTTCATTCCGAACCAACAGGGGTCGCCCATCTGCGTCACATTACTTTGTGGGGTCGCAAGACTCGCATTTGTTCTTCCTCGACCCACACTCCACACGCCCAGCCGTACCTTATCCCCCAAATGAAGCATATAGTGCAGAGGAGTTGGATAGCTACCACACCCGTCGATTGCGGCGTATTCACATCAAGGATATGGATCCCAGCATGCTCATTGGATTTTTGATCAAGAACGATGCTGATTGGACTGATTGGAAAGCCCGAGTCCAGTCGACGCCGGGGAAGCCGATCATTCATCTTGTCACGGGGGAACCACCCATCGACGCTGGACATGGCCGGAAGGAAGCGCTGGACGAAGTGGAGGTCTTGGACGACTCAGATTCAGATGCAGACGCGCTGGTATAATTCGAGATAGCTGGGGGATTAGAGCTGAATGGAGCCGCAAAGTCATGGAAATCAGCCAGGAGAAGTGGAGATATCAGAGACCAGAGTCTAGCTTGGACCATGTACAGAAATCTAAAGGAATAAAAAAGAGCAGAATTAAGAATAGCGTGTTAATGCCATCAAGCATTTGGAATTTCGCGTTCTAGTTAGGGGAAGGTTAAACCGTGCAACCAGCCCCAGACCCGAGTTGTTATGTTACACCACGCGCATAGAGTAGTAACCATCAGAAAAAGTCGCCCATCGGGGAAAAGAAAATTGATACCATCCCATGACACATTAGAAAACCCGCAAAACACCCATAACCGAACCGCCTCCGAGAGCCCAGGAAAAGATCAGGAGGCAGGAAAAACAAGAGCAAAGCCGCAAGAAAAGGGAAAAACACAAGCGAAGAAACCGCTTATTTGGCGGAAGAGGAGTACTTGGTGACGGCCTTGGTACCCTCAGAGACGGCGTGCTTGGCCAGCTCACCGGGGAGGATCAGACGGACGGAGGTCTGGATCTCTCGGGAAGAGATGGTGGACTTCTTGTTGTAAGCGGCAAGCTTGGAGGCCTCGGTGGCGACACGCTCGAAGATGTCTGGAAAGAATGCTGGATTAGAAACTGGAAAATCGAAACAGACCGCGGGACACGCGTTCAGATTGGATGAGCAAGGCTCAAAACATACCGTTGACGAAGGAGTTCAGGATGGACATGGCACGAGTGGAGATACCAGTGTCGGGGTGGACCTGCTTGAGGACTAGAGAGAGGGAAACCAAGTCAGATAGGCGTCGCGTCGAGAGAGAAATGGATATCCGAAAAAGAAAAAGAAAAAACATCCAAGTTGGATCGGAAAACTCACCCTTGTAGATGTAGGAGGAGTAGGTCTCCTTGCGGGTCTTGCCGCGCTTCTTCTTCTCGCCAGAGGCGGCGGCGGTCTTCTTGCCAGCCTCCTTCTTCTCAGCGGGGGCCTTGCCGCCAACGGGAGCCTTGCCGGCGGTAGAGGGCTTCTTCTCAGCAGCCTTAGGGGGAGCCATTGTTGATGATGGGGTTTTGAAAGTGGTTGGGAGTATTTGGAGAAAGTTGGAAGATGGATGGAGCGTGAAGGGTGGGAAGCAGAGATGGAGAAGGAGGAAGTAAAGCGCGGTAGTGGAGGGGGACCGGTGATTTATATACGCGACCGCCCACGGGTCGTTGATCCAGAAGAGCACAAAAGAGCCGGAATTTCAATACGGTCCCCAGTTGGTATGATCTGTATGATTAAGAGGGGGTCGACGCGTCTGACGGTGGGGGCCGCATAGTGAAAGGGAGGGGCGATCACGCGGGTCCCGTGTATGGGCTGGTACGGGGTAATCAATACGAGGCCATTCCTGATTGGGAATGCGCCCGCCCGTCAACACAACGCGGATTGGCCGTGATCCCGCCGTATCATTGGCCGATCCCGCTAAGCGAGAGCGTGATCTGGAGTTCCGTTGGTTGATGCCCGCCCAACGTCACCCTCCGCGTTTCTTATAAAGGTTTCCTCTACCTCCATCTCGACGCCCCTCCCCTCTTCTTCCACGTACGACTACTCTCTCCAATCCAATCTTCGACCTCCCATCAACAACCAACCTATACCACCCTTTTCCCACCAAAACCCCAACCTTCACAACCTACATTCAAAATGACTGGCGGAAAGTCTGGCGGCAAGGCTAGCGGTTCCAAGAACGCGCAGTCGTAAGTTCACCCTTTTCCTTATGTTTTGACAGTCATGTCAAAAACATCCATCCAGGTCCGATTTTCAACGACTCATTCTGACATCAATCCATTACAGCCGTTCCTCCAAGGCCGGTCTGGCCTTCCCCGTTGGTCGTGTCCACCGTCTGCTCCGCAAGGGCAACTACGCCCAGCGTGTTGGTGCCGGTGCTCCCGTCTACCTGGCTGCCGTCCTCGAGTACCTCGCTGCTGAAATCCTCGAGTTGGCTGGTAACGCCGCCCGTGACAACAAGAAGACCCGTATCATCCCCCGTCACCTCCAGCTTGCCATCCGCAACGATGAGGAGCTGAACAAGCTCCTGGGTCACGTCACCATCGCCCAGGGTGGTGTCCTCCCCAACATCCACCAGAGTACGTTTTCCATCTTTCAATTCTCTTTGGGATCATTATTTACTGACGCGTGTGTCTCCAGACCTCCTCCCCAAGAAGACCCCAAAGGCCGGCAAGGGCAGCCAGGAGCTGTAAACGGTGGTTTTTCTTATCGCGGGTTTCATTTTGTTTTTTCCGGCGTGGGTTGGTTCATTGACACGATAATGGGGTTATGGGACGGGCACGTTATGGCTCTGCGTTTTCTCTTTTCTTCAGTTTCCAGGTTGTACATTATGCCTACGGGCATGGAATGATACCGACGAACTTCAAGCTTGTTCGAGGGATTTCAAGTTCTTTTTTCCGGATAACTAGTCCCGGGCAAACGCCCGAATCAATGAAAAGATTCTAGGTCCTCCATTTTTATACTTCCTTTCTGTTTCCCTCGTTCTGACATCCTCGTAATACCGGTGGCTCCTGGTTCTCGTTCGATATCTCATTTGTTATTCTGGACCAGCGTGACCAAATTTGCCAGTTTCTGGATGCTCGAATTGCTATCAGATCGTTGAAGTCCAAATTCGACTGGGTTTGAAATGTGACATAGGCTTTTTTTTTTTCATTGTATCTACATGTGCCTGTGACAGTAATTTAAAGAACAGAAAAATAGTGTGTGAAATTGATTCGCAAACCCCCAATGTAATGATATCCTTGCTCCAAACCCAGTCCATTAGTGGGCAGCGGGGGGGGGCCGCATCTGTGGCATATGGTTAGTCTGATGTAGCCCAGTGAGGAACAGTCGGTCAATTGAACATACAAGGGAGAATTGGAGCAGGAATGTTGCGCTCCCATTTGTTTCCTATCATGACGGTTAGTTGTACACGCGACAAGCCAATATCAAACAGTCGACACGTACCACCCGGGGCCGTGGGAGCCCGGTAGGGGTCAGGGTGCTTCCACTCATTCAGCAGCTTCTCCGTCTCGCGCAGCAGGATCTGTATGTTTATCCCACATCAGTAGGGTATTTGGCCTGAGCTCGATTATGGTCGCGTACCTGTTGCTGGCGAGGATCACGGACATCCTTGTTGGCATCGAAGAGGGAGCGAATGTAGACGGCCTGTCCGCGCCAGATGGATCGCTGGACAGCCCAATCCAGCGACAGCTTCAGGGACCGCCGGTAGAGCGACCTGCAACGGTAAGGTCAGTCAGATTATCCTGATGTCCGCGAATGGTGGAGGTGACGGTGGTGGAGGTTCGTCATGAAGTGGAATTGCGCAAGAACGAGGCGACGTCAGGGACTCACGTCACAGTGGAGGTGGACATTGTGTAGTTAGAATCACAATGGGAGCGAGATGATTGAGAAGGAGGAGTCCGTCTAATCGAGTCCAGGGGCGCAGTTGGTCTCCTAAACAATCCGCGTTCAATTCGATCAGGTCGTCCCGGGAATGGGAAGGGCTGCGGGTTGACTATTCTCGGCGTCCCCATTCGTTGCAAAAAGTGCCATTTGGGCTGCTGCGGATGCCCGTAGCCCTGGCAGAGACCTGGCAGAGCGTAAGAATATTACTCCGTTGCCGCGCTTCTTCCGCATCTCGGCTTCGGGAGCTTTTGGCTTCGGCTACGTAACAGCAACAGGGCGTTTTGAGGCCTTTTTCTTTTTCACCCCTAGCCATTCTTCTCCGCTTTCTGCTCCTCCTCCTCCCAACTTCCTTTGGGAGATAATTGTGACTTTAATTGTTTGTGAACTCGGTCTTTCTACACATCATGGCTGCTCGATTCCCTCTCGCGCGCCTTTCCGGCCAGCGCCTGACGACTCTGACCCGGGCCACTCGGGCTCCCAGCCGGCTTAGCGGAGCCCAGAGCCTGTCCACCCTTTCGCGCTCCAATACCTTCCCTAGAGCCTCTGGCCTGCTGCAGGTGTCCTCGGGGTAAGATTATGTGCCCTTTGAAGTCGCATTCCATATACTGATCGACGGTCCAAACAGCGCCAATGTCTCGCGCAACCTCGCCCCATTCGTGGGCTCCCAGATTCGCACCTACGGTAGCTACGACGACCCCCTTCCATTCGCTGGATATGACATGGGACTAATGACCATGCGATCTAGCCGACTCCATCGTCAAGGTCCCCCAGATGGCCGAGTCGATTACAGAGGGTACTCTGAAGCAATTCTCTAAACGTATGCACACCTAGTTTTGCGGGCGAAGAAAAAAAACTTGTTCTCGTCCTATAGAAGCTGACACCCCTTTTTCCAGAGGTTGGCGACTATGTTGAGCGTGATGAGGAGATTGCCACTATTGAGACCGACAAGGTAGATTCGTTCTCGAACCCAACGCTTGTTCTCGATCTACAAAATCTAACATAAGCACCTCGCGCCCTAGATCGATGTTGCCGTGAACGCCCCGGAAGCCGGTGTCATCAAGGAACTTCTTGTTAACGAGGAGGACACCGTTACCGTCGGCCAGGATCTCGTCAAGCTGGAGGTGGGCGGTGCTGCCCCCGAGGCCAAGGAGACTGCTCCCGAGCAGCCCAAGGAGCCCGCTGCTACTGAGAAGCCTAAGGAGACCTCTGCCGAGCCCGAGAAGCCCAAGGAAGCTCCCTCCAAGCCTGCCCCCGCCAAGGAGACCCCTGCTAAGGCCGAGTCCCCCAAGCCTGCTGCTTCCGAGTCAAAACCCGCCATTGGCGGTCGTGAGGAGCGCCGGGTATGTTTTGGTCCTTGGTTCCTCTTCGTAATTGATGATATGGGGCTAACGAGCGCTTGCCAATCAATAGGTCAAGATGAACCGCATGCGTCTGCGCATTGCCGAGCGCCTGAAGCAGTCCCAGAACACCGCGGCTTCTCTGACCACGTTCAACGAGGTTGATATGTCCTCGCTGATGGAGTTCCGTAAACTGTACAAGGACGATGTTCTCAAGAAGACCGGTGTCAAGCTCGGCTTCATGAGCGCTTTCTCGCGGGCCTGCGTGCTGGCCATGAAGGATGTTCCCGCTGTCAACGCCTCCATTGAGGGCCCCAACGGCGGTGACACCATCGTCTACCGTGACTACGTTGACATCAGTGTTGCAGTTGCTACTGAGAAGGGTCTGGTCACCCCGGTCGTTCGCAACACTGAGACCATGGACCTGGTCAAGATTGAGCAGTCGATCGCCGAGCTGGGCAAGAAGGTAAGACAGAAGAGGCGCTCTACGGGATTGAGGAAAGCAGTTTACTAAATGCTTGACAACAGGCTCGTGACAACAAGCTGACCATTGAGGATATGGCCGGTGGTACTTTCACCATCAGCAACGTGAGTTTTGAGTCTCTGATTGGCTGTAATAATATGACATGCTTGCTAACAATACATTAGGGTGGTGTCTTCGGCTCCCTGATGGGTACTCCCATCATCAACTTGCCCCAGACTGGTAGGCATCTTTTCGTTCCGTTCCAGGATTTTGCCATGCAACATTACTCTGACAAATTTTTCTCCAGCCGTTCTGGGTCTCCACGCCATCAAGGACAAGCCTGTCGCCGTGAACGGCAAGGTTGAAATCCGCCCGGTAAGATAGCACTCCCTCCTTTGTCCCCGTTGCGATTACAGGATACTGATTCTCGCCAACAGATGATGTACCTCGCTCTCACCTACGACCACCGTCTCTTGGATGGCCGTGAGGCTGTCACTTTCCTTATCAAGGTATGTTGCTGGAATCCTTATCCTTCGAGCTCGAAACAGGTTCTGATCCCCATCCCAGGTCAAGGAGTACATCGAGGACCCCCGCCGCATGCTGCTCGGGTAAACGATTCCACCATGGGTACCCTGTTGGTAGATTTTTGCTTGGCGTGCTTAGAGCCGCCATTGTCCCCCTCTGTAGATTATTCGATTTCAAAATATAACCGCCATGTCACTGAACAAGCCAGTTGAGGTGTTGGAGGCGTGGTCTCGCTTTGGAGTAGCCCATTCACAGTAGTCTCCTCTTGACGCGGTTCTCGTGTTTCGAACATCTAGATGCGGTGTGTTTGGGGGGGGGGGGGCGCCTTGTGGACAAAGTTATCTCGTGTGTGGTGGCCGTGGGTCCCTTGTGCCTGTGGTCCCGGTCGACGTGACGTCTCGCTAGACAAAGAACTGGCCACTCCTGTTGGGGTGTTGTTGTTGTTGTTGGGAAGAATCGGATGGAGAGGCTTTCGGGTGATTTTCATCAACCCCCTCGCCGCCCTCCCCACCTCTCCCTTCCGATTCGACAGACAGGACATTGACTTCAGTTCATATCGGTTCACCAGAATAGGCCAGGGCCGTACCAACCACATCGCTGCTTCAGTTCTTCGGTCTCCTCGGGGGTCATGCCATTGATTTGGCCTAGTTCCGCCTGGACGAGAATGGGAGGATCGAGTACAGCCATGAGGTCGAAGAGGAATGTCATCACCATCTCTTTGAAGTAACCGAACGTAAACTGCTCATCGAGAGCTTCCCATGCCGCGTAATCCTGCGTGGAGTCCGGTATCAATGCAGCACGGCGCTCGCGGTAATCGGTCCACGTCGAGATGAGCTCATCGCCGCTCGGATTCCAGGCACGGAACTTGTCGAGTGCCTGTGGGTGTGTGTTCCCTTCGCGAAGCTCCTGCAGCACGGATTGGAGCATGAACTCGGCACCAACGTCGAACCATCGCTTCTCGTGGACGTTATCGACGGCGACCGCGCACATCTTCAGGAATTCAATCCCAATGTTCATAAGAGGCGGGGTGTCATCGTCCGCGATGTGAGTCAGCGACTGGGGGTCGGGGTAGTTCCAGAGTTGATGGGCAATCGTGAGGATCCGCCATCTAACATCAATCTCGTGGGGTAGAGGGCTCTCCGGCTGGGAGCGAGCGATGATTGCACGCAGACCTGCGGTCGTCAGAAATCACGTATGAATGCGCAATCAGAAATCAGGATTCAAGGCTTATCATCACTGACTTTTAATGGGGTCCACCGTCCAATTCACCTCATCTTGGAGTGCTGGGCTGGGGTTTAGGACCTTGGCTGCATCGAGTGTTCTTTCAATCGCGAGGCAGATCAGGTAGTCCAGCATCAGGAAGTTGACCTCAGCACGGACGTCAAAATCATCTTCTTTGGTGGCCATTTTGAGAGGGCTGTTTGGATCCTCGGACTGTCGGAGTTAAGATGAAGCTATCGGAAAAAGTCGGAGCAGTCACGTGGTGATCGGGGTATTCCGGCAGTGGTATGTAGGAGGGAAAGTTCCAGGGTCACGTGCTATGTTTAAATAGCAGATATTATCACATGACACTTAGGATGATGAGTCAGTGGTCTGGTAAATGGTGAGTCAGCATACAAGTATCATCATGTGATACTCCTAAGTCGCAATCTCGAAACGCTGAAGGAATGAGAAAGTACTAATTTTTATAAATAGAGTCTTATAAATTTTAGTAAAAGGTATTAGAATAGTACTAGAGTATATACCAACAGTGTGCAGGTCTATAGAGTATTCATATTCCCACAATTCCTGTATGCCCGTCATCTACTCTCTATTCCTTCGCCACTCTAACCTTGGGAGGTAGAATTATGAGAGGTACGATGTATTACTAGTGGTGGTAAAAGGGATGACTGGATGTCTGGTATTGGTGGCATTCCATGTATGATTATCCTGATCAGAGGCATGTGTGTTTGAAATTATCTCTTGGGCCCTTTTTGCAGAGAGCCAACGTGCTTGGAACAACGTAGCGGAGATATATATATCCACGTGGGAAGCATGACCAAGGACCTCAAATGATCTCAAGGCGGGTTATGAATATATTCATGCAGTATTTATGCACAACGGAACAGGTGAACACCAAGCGCACCAAATAAAACAGTCCACGCACACAAAAAAGGTCGGATCATTCCATTGACGCGGTAAAGCGAGACAAATCAATCAAGATGCTATCACGTGGAGGATGAGGAGAGCATGGCGTCACAGATCACGTTGCCTCCAACGACTTCATCAAATCATCACCAAAGGTTATTAGGATAACTTCAAAGTTCAACCTTTATTGGTTCTCTACTCTGACTACTACATGCTACACAGACTTCGAAGACTACATCAAGTAATCAGCTGGCACCCTACAAGGACCTTCACCATGGCGTGGTATTGCTCCGGATCCACTAACACCGAGTTGATTGAGAATCTGTACAAGGCCAGATTGATCAAGAATGAACGTGTCAAAGCAGCCATGATAGGCGTGAGCAGCTACTCACCCTCCAAATCATCACCTTCCCATACCAGACCTTTGACACTCTTCCCCTAGGTTGATCGCGCCCACTACGCGCCGACGAGGCCGTACTCGGACTCGCCCCAGCCCATCGGGCATGGAGCCACCATCTCCGCACCGCACATGCATTGCCACGCATGCGAGTATCTAATTGATTATCTCCAGCCAGGATCTCGAGTGCTGGATATCGGATCTGGCTCGGGATACCTCACACACGTCCTGGCCAATCTGGTGACGGGTCGCCCTGGCACCTCCGCCCCAGGCCAGGTGATTGGCATCGACCATATTCCCGAACTGGTTGACCTGGCTCGATCCAACATGAACAAGTCTGAGCAGGGTCGCCAACTCCAGGAATCCGGTCAAGTAAAATTCATAACAGCAGACGGACGCCTGGGCTGGAAAGAAAATGCCCCATACGATGCTATTCATGTTGGTGCGGCAGCTGAGGAGCTCCACCCAGTGCTGGTCGAGCAGCTGCGGGCCCCTGGAAGACTGTTTATCCCAGTGGAGTCAGAGAACAATGGAATACACTTGAGCAGCCTAGGTTTTGGAGGAGGCCAGTACATCTGGGTGGTGGATAAAAAGGCAGATGGAACGGTCCACAAGGAGAAGGTGTTCCAGGTGAGCTACGTGCCACTGACGGATGCGCCCCGATCGTGAAAAAGAGACTGGCTACGGATGTGATCACCGGGCAATGAATGCAAGGCGTTACAGGATTGGATCGAAATTTATCTACTCGTACTCCAAAAGTCAAAGAATCAGAGAATGCCGCAGCCGAATATGATCCATTTACTATCAAGGGTAACTGTGGAAAAGAAAGAGAAACAAACCCATAGGAGAACAATGATGTCCGGTCTCAGAATACCCTCCAACGGGCAGTGGAAGACTCGGCGTAGATACTCCTGAAAACTCCGCGGTATAGTCTAAACTGGTCAAGTGATGGCGAACAAGAAGAAAGCAAAATCAGCGGAAGGGGAAGCCCCCGAAGCCCTGACCACCGAACTTGAATTGCTGGCCACCCTGCTGGAAGACGAATTGCTGGCCGCCGCCTTGGCCGAAGGGACTGCCATGGAACGGATTGCCTCGCTGCTGCGACTCAGGGTCGTTGGGATCGTCTCCATTGTCGTAGCGCGTACGCAGCTCCGAGTCAGATAGGACTTCGTATGCCTCGTTGATCGCAGCCATCTTCTTCTCAGCCTCTTCTTTGGACACTCCTTGGGCGTGAGCCTTGTCGGGGTGGTGTTGCTTCATCAATTGGCGGTATGCGCGCTTGATCGTCCGTTCGTCAGCATCTCGGCTGACCCCGATAACCTTGTAATAATCCTTTTGCTTCGACCGCTTCAATAGGGCCTGCGCCTTTTGAAGAAGGGACTGGACCTCCTGGGCATGTGGGTGATGTTCTCGAGCAGTGTTCAATGTGCGTACCGCCTCTTCAAATCGGTCCTCGTCCAGCTCAGTCTGGGCCTGGTATAGCAGACCATGAAGAGAATATGGAACCAGTTGGAGGGATTCGGCGCAGTAAGGGCCAGCCTTCTTGACCATACGCATCTATCAACACACGTTAGCATGCTAGACCAATCAGAGGAAGGATAAGGCACAAACCTCTCGGTAGGACTCGCACGTCTTCTCAACCAGGAAGACATAGAGATTGTTAGACGCTGATGGGTGAATATGGCCCGCTTTTCTCGCCTCGGCGACATCATTCTTCACGTCGGTGATCAACCCGGTATCTTCCCCATCATCGACCATCAGCTTTGCGGCATTACTGAACTTGCGCGCCTCCAGGGCACTGTGCAATTTCCCTAACGTCTTTGCCAGTTGTCGCTCTCGTTTATAGAGACGATTGCAGGCTTTTGAATCAGGATCGGTGTGGAGACATTTGCGAATTTGAGCGAGACCACGGTCACTATCACCCAGAGCATAGAAGAGCATGGATGACATCTGTAGATGAGGCTCCACCAAGTTCGGGGAGATCTGTAGAACATGTGCGAGATCACTCACACCCTCCTCCACTTCTCCTCTCTCGAACCGACAGTGTGCGCGAGCCTGTCGCAATGACAGATCCGTATTCGCCTTCATAATAGCGACTCCAGCCTGCGCAACACAGGCCTCCCAGTCTCCCTTCTTCTCCGCAGCCAGAGCTAGGGCTGCTGCATCTCGGGCGGCCTGGAGCTCCTGGTATTCGACCGAGTCCTTCTTCCCTGCCCGTTCCAGATCTTGTAAGGCTTCCTTCCAATGGGCAGACCGAGCTCTGAGACGAGATCGCTGGAGCAGCGCACCCTCGAAATCAGGCTTTAGTTCAAGTACCCGATTGAAGTCCTCCGACGCCTGGGTGTTCTTGCCAATGGACAGGTAAGCAGCGCCGCGCTGATAGATGGTGATATAGTTCGTTGGATCGCGCGAGACGGCGGCATCAAAGTATACGAGTGCATCTCGTGGGGAGCCCTTTGCAAGATGCGCTTTGGCGGACGAGATCAATTCGGAGAGCGGCGTATCGGGAGGGATCTGGAGCGCATAGCTGGTGGAGAGGCAAGCCAGGACGGCCGTCACGGTTTCAAGCGAGATGCGCATTGTTGGTTTCTAGTTGAGCCCCGTGGGCATGGCCTTGGGGTAGTAGTTTTGGGTTTCCAAAGGAACAAAAAAAGAAAAGTGAAGGTGTTGAGGACAAGTCAGCGATGGAATGCAAGTCGAAGATCTACGAAAGCCCGTTCGGTGGCCTTTACGCGTACCGTACGATTAAATTACGCCCGCCAACCCGCAAATACTCCGATCTGATCTTCTTGCGACGCCTTTTCTTTGGTAACCTCCAACAGAAGGATGCTCCAATGCGGCCGATTCTTCTGGCGGCCTGCTAGATTGGGCCTGAATTCATTCTTGCGATCTGTGCACTCCGGTAAATACTGAAAACCCCTTCCTTAGGCTCTCCCACCCTCGAATGTACCTCCGCTGATTTGCCCAGCCGCCGCCGCAGACTCCGGCCTGTCTCCGGTCCTCTTGACGAGAGCGCGATTGCTCGCCGCCGAACATGCGAAACTCTCCGAAAAATTGGCAGAGGCCTTCGATGCGAAAGTTGCAAAACGAGCAGGGGAGATCGCTCCCGTTACAGCAGTCTTGAAAGACTGGGACGGCGCCAATGAATCTATAGTCGAGCTCAAGTCCCTCCTCGAGCAACCCGACACCGACGAAGAGCTGCGATCTCTCGCAATCGAGGATCTAGACGCCAGCCGCGAGGCCTTGCCTACAATATCAGACCGGCTCAAGAAGGCCTTGATCCCTCGTCACCCGTTTGCAGATTTACCATGTCTCGTGGAGATTCGTCCTGGAGCAGGAGGAGATGAGGCAGGCCTCTTTGCTTTCGAGATGCTTCGGATGTACATGTCCTTTTGTTCTCGACGAGGCCTTCGCCCGACAGTCTTGAAACAAGATGTCGAGGACGGAGCTTCGGAGGATCGCCTGACCGAAGCAGTGATCGAGATCGAGGCGGACGGCGCATACGATATTCTTCGGACCGAGTCCGGGGTACACCGAGTCCAGAGAGTGCCAGCGACAGAAACCAAGGGCCGAACGCACACAAGCGCCGTCAGCGTGATGGTCTTGCCAAGTTTCCCAGAAAGCGGCAGCGGCTCGGACAATGCCTTGAACTTTGATGATCCCAACAGTGACTATTATATCGATCCACAAGAAGTGCGCGTGGAAAAGATGCGGGCCAGCGGTGCTGGTGGTCAGCACGTTAACAAGACTGAGTCGGCCATCCGATTGACGCATATTCCCACGGGCACCGTTGTCTCCATGCAAGATGAGCGGTCCCAACATTCCAACCGGCGGAGAGCCTGGCAGGTGCTACGAGCCAAGATCGCCGAAGCCCGTCAAGAAGCGCGTGAGCAGGAATTGGTCCAATTGCGCCGAGGTGCGATGGGCGGAGTGGCTCGCATGGGCCGTGGGGACAAGATTCGAACCTACAACTATGGTCAGAGCCGATGTACCGATCATCGGAGCGGCATCACGATCCACAATCTGGACGGGGTCCTCGATGGTGGCGACGGCTTGGAGACGGTTATGGAGAGCGTGCGCACCTGGATGGCTGATCGCGAAGTTGAGGCCATGGTCGCAGAAGAGACGCTAAAGGAGGAGAAGAAGAAGATGAAGAAATGAAAGAACACAACGCCTGTGAAAAACAGATCATAGCACTATTGATCATATTGTACACTAAGAAAATGATACCATGTACTTTTATAGCGACGCATTCTCATGGATATTGACTCTATTCAAATGGCAAAATCCTCGCACCCATCTATGCTAAATGTAAATGGTCCATACTTCTGGTCCAGCTACCCTTCAAAGGTACTTTCGCTCTGGATCCGCGAGATCCATCAACTCCATCGATTTTTCGTACCTGACAGCTGTTGTTAGCATATATCACGCAAGGACAAGCACCGGATAAGACGCACATGGTAAACACAATTCCACCACTTAGGATCAATCGTGCCAGTCTGGGCACGGCTCCCGACCAGAATGTCAAGAAACCCTCATCCTTGAAAATTCTGGCGGCGCAGACAAAGCTATTCTTGTAGTTCTTGCTAGCTTCGAGCGATTGCATTCTATAGATATTGTCAGTGACTTCCAAATAATGCTTTTTGTTCTCAACTGGGATACTCACCTCGTCTTCACTGTGTCGAGAGGCTGAGTCACGTAACTACAATAAAGGTCAGCAACCAGAGTAGAATACGTCACCATGGGAAGCTACCAGCACATACACCGTGATGATACCCGCTAATCCACCGATACCAAAGGTAGCAAGTGTTCCGAGTTTCTCTCCCGGAGCCACATAGCCCTCGGCGAACTGCTTGATCGTTGTGTAACTTGTGAACCGGGTGGCCGAGTTAGCGGCTTGCCGAGCAGTAGTAGGCACAAAGCCCTGGAAGAAGCCCCGAATTCCGCGCTCCTGCCAGATGATCTTGCTGCCGTGGAGGAATCCGTTCATACGCGGCTTGGCAGCCTTGCGGTCGTCGATCCTACCAGTACAGCCATGTTAGTGATGGGCTGCCGGGGTTGAGGGACGAAAAGGATTACAGACAGTTGGGTCTTAATACTCTCGAAGGGAGTCACCGCGAGAAGAGACTCGGTGAAGCCCGCACCGAATCCAGCCACGACCGTTCTCGGCCCAGAGATCTTGCCGTTCTCATCCTGGAGAGATGCCTTGATGGCGTCAAACGCAACGAAGCCTGTATGATGCAAATGAGCTTATAGTCCACGCAAACCGAGCTGGACACACGCACGAATTCCAGCCTTCAACGAGTTTCCAATAATCAACGTGGTACATCCAGCATACCACTGCTTGCCGAATGGCGGCCACGGGAGTTTCTGGCCCTCCGCAAGTCGGCGGTTGAGTTGTGTCCGGGTTTTCGCAACTAGGTCGTCAATTAGCTTGGCGATAGAGAGTAGGTAGAGGACTGCGCCATGCGAGCGTACATTCAGCTGGATAAGTAATTGCTATTAAGATGCGGAGGTTAGCGCGCGCTCATTATGAAGTGACACATGCGGGATACCGATCTCCACGGCTCCAGCGGTGGAGCCTGCAATGATGGAGCGCAGAGCGCTGGGCTATCAATTTTGACTGATTAGTCTCAAGCCTGCGATTACAATGACCATGGGCTCACCTTTGCCGTCGGATCCTTGCTCGCCGTAGCCATCTCGAGCGACGATGAACAGGTTGAAAGTGCTGGACCTCGGGTTTTGTAGATCGCTCATTTACGGTCGCCCACAGCCCCACTTTGCGCAGCTCCGTTTACTCCGACGTCGGTGGTTTTCTTGATATTTCATCCTCTATCGGACATTGATCCTTCTCAAGTCAATAGAATTGGCGGGTCTAAAGCCGCGTCTTGCGGGTTTACTTGAATACCTCCTAGTGGTATGTAGTGTAGCTGGTGTACCTAGGATACCTGGTCTACTTCATCTACTGTCAAGGACACAAACAGGATATCAGAGGGATTCTTTGTCATTTCACAAGATGCTATTCTAGGTGCTTCACATCTTAGTGCTCCTCCGATATTTTTTTCTTTTTGTTTTTCAATTTCGTGGGTTTCGAGTTGTTGTGGGGGAATGGGGGGAAATTCGACATTGAAAGGCATCGGACATGATGTGAGAATATGCCATATGGAGATAGGTAAAGATGTCGAGATAGCGTGGTATCGAGGCCAGGTATGATTGGCACGAGGTTGAAGGGAGTTGGAGAGTGATGCTGGCTAACAGACTCCCAGATTCGAGGGCTGAACCGAGGAGAGGAGAGATAAATGCAATGAGGAGATGGGGGAGATCGAAAACCAGACGGCCGCATGGTGGAATTCCATGGCATCGTCGAGGAGGGTCGTAGCTCTCTCTGAGCAGCACAAATAATAGGAAATGAAGATCAAATAAAGCCGCATCAAAATCAGCATCCGCCGACCCCGTCAGAACGCCAGAGTCAATCGAAGATCCCCGAAAACGCCACTCGCCCTGCAACCTGTCGAAGCATAACCATGGTGAACGAGCATATGTACACCTTGTGCGGAGTGGAAAAATCAGGATCGCAGAGCATTCACGGCACCGGACAATGCACCATGCTCAAACCAAAAAAAAGAAACCCCAAAGCGACCCATAGAGATGATTTCAGTGGGAAATCTTGAAGAGCAGAACGGGGGAATTATGATACACATATCGCACCAGCACCGTAGGATCATGACGAGAGAAGACTTTGTGAGAAAGCAATGGTAGGCTTCATCTTCGGGGAAGAGTCATTGGGTGAAGCTGCCATAGTCCATTTGAGAAGAAAATTCTTCGAGCTGGACACAAAACATGAGCTGGGGAAAAGCCAGAGGGAGAAAAGCAGGTAAAGAATCAGATAAAAACAAGAAGGAAGCGATGCGCAGCACGATTTGGAAAGGAAACCATCAAGGCAGCTGTGGCATAGATCATCAAAGCCAACTGGCAGGGTCTCCAAGAACCCCAGCTCAGATCTAAGATGATGAGGGGATTTAAGACACGGGAGCTGGCGGCTTCAGACCAACTTGGCTAGGGGCAAGGGCGGGCTTGTTGGGGTCATGTTGCTGGGGACCACGGCGCGGGCCTTGTCCACGACCGCCACCACGATAAGAGCCTCCCCGACCCCGGCTGTTGCTGTAGTATTGCCCGTTATTCTGGTGATTGTGCTGACGACGGGGTTGACGGTCACCGTTGCTAGGGTGCTGAGGACCCGAAAGCATGGGTTGCGCGGGGTTCGAGATAGGACGAGGGATGTTTTCGGGAGAATCGTAGACGTAGAGCTTCTTGTCAATGTTTTGAGGAATGGGTTGGATCTCAGTGCCCAGCTCCTGCTCAATCTTGTACAGATTAAAACGGTCTTCCCAGTTGATCAAGTTGATGGCCAGACCCAGGTGACCAAAACGCCCGGAACGACCGATACGGTGAAGATAGGTCTCAGCGTTCTTGGGGAAGTCGAAGTTGATGACGACGTTGACCGCTTGGATATCAATACCACGGGTCAGCAAGTCCGAGCAGACCAAGTTACGGCAGACGCCGTTGCGGAAATCATGGAATACGCGATTACGGTGCTGCTGGAGCATCCGAGCGTGCGAGTAGAAGCAAGAGTAGCCCAACTCTGTGATCTTCTTAGCCAGTAGCTCAACGCGATTGGTGGAGTTACAGAAGATGATGGACTGATTGATCTGGAGCTTTGAGAACAGGGTGTTCAGGCAGTGGACTTTCTGCTTCTCCTCCACGAAAGCGTAGTACTGCGTAATACCGCGCAAGGTGAGCTCATCCATAAGGTTGATCTCATACGGATTACGCATGTGTTTGTCCTTGAACGACTTGACGATGAGAGGGAAAGTAGCACTGAAAAGCATGACCTGACGATCCTTCGGATGGAACGACATGAGTTGCTCAATGACGGGGGTGAACTCGGGGGAGAGGAGTTTGTCTGCCTCATCCATGACGAAAGTTGGGCATTCGGACAGATCGGCAACACCCTTGCTAGCAAGGTCCAGAACACGGCCGGGGGTACCGACCAGGATATGAACAGCGTCGTTCAACCGGATAATATCATCCATGAGGCCAGTTCCACCGGTAGTAACCATGACGTTGATTCCCAGATGCTTTCCAAGAGTCTTGCAGACCTGGGATGTCTGAAGAGCCAGCTCTCGTGTGGGGACCAGGATCAAAGCCTGGGTCTTGGTGCTTTTCGGGTTGATACGTTCAAGGGTAGGAATGACGAAAGCAGCGGTCTTACCCGTGCCGTTCTTGGCTCGAGCAAGGACATCTCTTCCTGTGAGAGCAACGGGTATCGTTTCTTCCTGGATAGGAGATGGTTTCTCGAATCCAGCCTCGAAAATACCCATCATCAGTTCCCGCTTAATGTAGAAATCTTCGAACTCAAGGCCCTTGGTGGCCGTGACGTCCTGCAAGTCTGGTCAGTTTCCTGCGTGCATGCACACGAGAAGCAGTGAGTAACCAACCTCAGTCTGGGGTCGGGCATCTTTAGGAGGTAGCTTGAGTGTGTCCTGGAGTCTGGGTTCTGCGTTGCCATCCCTAATCAGATGAATCAGGTCAGTAAGTGGTCTGCTATAATGCAATCGCACCAGATGACCTACCCGAGGATGGTATTCTTGAGTTGTGAGGCAAGGGCGTCGGCCATGATTGCTGGGGATGAATGAAGGAAACGAGGTGAGTGTTGTTGAGAAGGGAAGTCAACGAGATGCGGGCTGGTGGATGTGAACCGTGCGATTTAGTGAGAGGGAAGTATTGTTCGAGCCACAAAGGTGTTTAGTAGATAAGGCTGTGAGAGTTGATGAGAGGTGAAGCCAAGGGAGGAGAACGGAAGACGTCTTGGAAAGTTCCGCAGAGCTCGATGAGAGGGGTGAAAAAGGACGAGAATATTGGAGTCAGAGCCGCAGTCGTTCAAATTGAGATAGGTCTGCTTGAAGAGTGGTCAAAGCGGATGCCCAATGAATAGTGGTAAAAGACAAGATCAAGTAAGATTCTCGTGGGCAGGAGGTTAGGAGGACAGCGAAATTGGGGTGGGGAGATGAGGTTCAGAAGAGTGAAGGGATTCACGGGAAGTCAAAAGACTTGCGTGGGCGGCCATCACGGTTGCCCCCGCTGGGATCACGTGATATGTGATCTACAAGGGGATTGAGAAGACCATCTCCTTACAATCAAAGATATGTGGAGTGCAATCCACAGCTATCGGTGAAATAGGCGATACCTAGTCAAGAACTCTGTAATCGTATATACTACTAGATGAGATTCTAGCAAGGCCGTAATAAAAGATTCAATGGGGTATAAGCTATCGAAGGAAACCATGATACACCCCAGGAAATATGCAAAACGAACTCCTATGTACACCACCAACCCATATTATCATTCAAATAAGCATTACCTTTGGAAGGGCAAGGTTGTTTGGCCACGTTCTGGCTCTGCTAGTTCCTTCACCCGTACATCAGGCGCTATGGTGATATCAGTCTTGGTACCCGGGGTGATCAGGATGAATTGACGTCCAATCGACCGTCGGGCGGCGATCATCTGGAAGCGAGAGTCAATAATCAGACGCTGGTGTGATTCAAACATAGGAAAGACTCACGAGCATGTCAATGGCCATTTTTCTGTTGATATGGTCCATGTAAACATCACTAGAGAGTGGGTAAGTAAAGACGATGCATCAGGACGGTGGGGCAAAGGATACGCACAATTCATCAAGACATCGAATAGGAGACCCCATAGCTTCCCACAGGGCAAGTAGCAGGCAGATCTGTGAAAATGACTTCTCACCACCTGAGAGTGTCCTGGCTCCACGACCTGTACTATCGTCTTTCGTGATATCAGGCTCAACCTGAGGCAGGTAAAAAGCGTCAGATGATGCACCTCTGGACCCAGGGAGTGGTGGATCATAACGTACCTGGAGGTCTAACAACTTGTCTTGATGGTTGGTGAGTAGCCGCCCTCGGAAGCTGCGCTCACTCAACAAATAGGTGAACTGGGCCTTGGCTCGGGATGAGATGTGGGATCGGAAGATCTCCCACCGCTTCTTGCGGTTCTCCAAGGTGCTTTTGAAAATCTGCCTATTGTTAGAACCAATACGAAGCATTGGACAATCAAGAATCTCCCTCGAGCATATAAGTACCTCGGCCAACGCAGTCATATCTTGCACCTGTTTCAAGGCGAGTTGGTACTTGGCCTCTGTTGCAGAGGCATCATTGGCGATTTCCTCCCTTGAAGCACCGAGCCTAATAACGGCGCTGATTAGCGTTGTCAAATCAACTCGCAAAGGTCAGACATACTGATCACTGTATCGCCGCATGTCCCGTTCCAACTTCTCCAGCTTTGTTCCGAGACTATCAGTGGTTTCGCCTTCGTCCACAGGAACTCTCGTCACAACCATGCTGGCCTTCTCGGTTAAATCGAGGACTTGAGCGACCAATTGGTCGCGTTCCTCCCGGATTTGGTCCCTGTGTCGCTTGTCATCTTCGATGCGAGTAATGGCCCTATTCTTTTCGCTGATTATTCGATGGCGCTCATTGTCAACTCGCTGCTGCTCCTCCTTGGCAACAACGAAATTCTGTTGCAGGGTCGTCATTTCTTCGACTTTGTCTTTGACCTCCCGTCGCAAATCCTTCAGCTTCTCTACTGCCTCGGCTACGGTGCTCTTGCCATCCTCAAGCGATGCCTCATGCTCTTGCAGCTCGGCTTCCGCTTTCTGCAGAGCTATTTTCAAAGCTTCGAGCTGCCCATCCTCGTTGTCCTCAAGAGCATCTTTGAGGGACTCGGCATGTTCTTCCAGTCGCTGCATCTCAATCTTCAAATCTTGAGCCTTTCGTTGATAGTTCGTCAGGTCATTGTTGCATGATTGAACATGCTCGGCCGCAGTCTTGCGCTCTTGTTCAAGATCATATACTTGACGTTTGAGGTTCTGGATGACCTCTTTCTGGTGACTGCAGACGGGTAGGAATTAGGATCTGGAGCATTTCTTCAAGAATAGGGGTGGATCATACTTGATTTGAGAGGCCAGGTCTGACTTCATCCGAGGATCCCCTTTGTACGGCGGTACTGGCGACTGACTGGGAGCACCTTCTTTGTTATAAGAGAGATGAACTCCCCGCCGTTGATCCATTGAGTCAACACTGAAGCACCGGGCGACATTTCTGAGCCTTTGACCGTCGAACATCAGCGACGAGGCCTCTTCCAAATCCTCAATTAGCAGCATTTTCTCGATAGTGTGTCTGACGATAAGATGGCCGCGAACTAGATCATTGTCGATCTATGGACCCAACATCAGTGAATTATCTTATTGGCGATGAGATCGTTGTCTCACCTGCAAGACTCTCAGAACCGTGTCATACTGACTGTCCGGCTCATTTCCTGTCGTGTCGATGTTCTCATTAGACCCGACCAAGATTGGGCATTGACTGCAACTGCTGTTAGAGAGATACAACTGCTGGAAACAAATCACGAGATCGATTCAAAAGCTTACCAGCCCACCCGCTTCATGATGCCACTGAGGATTTTTTGGTCGCCATGGGTTTTTACTACAAAGCTGGACAGAGTGTTCCCAAGCGTACTCTCAATAACAGAAGCCCATTTTGGCTTAAGCAAGGTGACGTGACGCCCAATCGGTCCGACCGGAGGAGATGCGAATGAGCGTTCTTGCTGAATTGCCCTTAGGAGCGCTTGTGTTTTATTGGGGAAGCCGTCCTTGAGTTGTGAATTTTCTTTTGTGAGTTCTCGCAACCTGTTGTCGGCTTGATTCAAGTCCTTTGTCTTAAGGGCGCACTGCTTTTTGGCATCCTGTTCTTTGCTCTCGGCGGACTTGATGGCTGCTCGCAAAGAGGGTTGGCGTTGTTGGTACGACTCATATTCGGTCCGCGCAGCTGCAGCGTGATTTTTGGCCTCCTCACATTCCTCCTGCTTTCGAGCGTAACCCCCATTGCTTACCTCAATGAGACGGAGTTCCTCAGCCTCCACCTTTCCCTTTGCCGTTTCAAGACGTCCAGTCGCTTCCGTGACGTAGTCTTTGATCCCTCGGTGATCGGACTGTGATGTGTCAATGATATTCTCACCTGGAAAGTTTAATTTTGGTCCCTTTTGCGTACCTTGGCCTCGTGAAACACAGCTGTCTGTTTGATCACCTTGTCATCGGCCTCTTCTTTCTCCTTTCGACACTCCTCTAGGGCACGGTCTGCTCTATTACGATGATCTGCTGCCGTTTCCATCTCGACGTCCTTGGCCTGGAGCGCATCGTCGAATTGGCCCAATTCGGCCTCAGCGTTCGCAATTGCATCCTCTGCCTTGGCAAGTTCGCTGGTGAATGAATCTCTAACCTGGACCTTACGTTAGCATACACCAGGTATGGGATGGGTACGGTCACTGACTCGTTCTGCATCCTCCACATGAGACCAAGCCAGCTGTCTCCGATAGGTCCTGATACGTTCCCTCAGGGAGTCTTGCTGGTCAGAAAGTTCCAATTTTTTCTTTGCCATGTCTCTCTGGTTCTCCAAGAACCGAATATTTGGCGCCTGAGTTCTGAGCTTCTCCTCAATCTGATCCACGGATTCCTCAATCAAACGATAATCCTGATCAAGTTGTTCCAACTGAACACCCTTGACAAAAAACTTGTATTTCTCTGCCGGGCTGGAAGTGCTGAGGAATTGACGAGCCATATCCTGCGAGAGAACATTCATGGGATTATCAATTTGAAGAGAAAAGTAGTCGGTAATGGCGTCTAGTTCGGCCTTTTTTGTCGACATGATGCGCCCCTGCTCATTTTTGATCTTAAAACCACTTGAGCCGCTCTTTGTGAAATGGCGCTCGACGATTATGGACTTGCCATAGTCGTCAGGCAAGTAGGCGCCTTCGCCTTGATTCTTGATCCGCACGATGATGGATGCGTTCTCTTTCCCTTCCTTGATGAAACTCTTCAAGCTCTGCCCGCGGTTTGTCGCGGACGCTTTGCCACCTAGGCAGAGCGTTATCGCGGTCAGAATGGCGCTTTTCCCGCTGCCATTCTTCCCAACGATGAAATTTATCAAAGGTCCGAGCTCCACAGAAAAGTGGTTATGACACATAAAATTGTAGCATTCTACACGTTCGAGAATGCCGTGTTCTGCAGGGATGTTGGCTTCATCGATACGGTGGGCGTATTTTTCCTGAACGATTTGTGTCTGTCGCAATTCGAGCTCTTCCTCGTCCTCATCTTCGTCGAGGAGCGTATCATCGGCGGAGGGGGAGCTGGAGGGGGAGCTGGAATGTCGGTCGTTCACTGCCGACCCATCAGAAGAGGTGGGAGAATCGGATAGACGGGCTCGTTTTCTCTGTCCTAGTCTCAGTAACCTTTGCTTTGAATAGTCCACAGACTACAGAGAAAACGTACCGAGTAAGGCGTGGAGTTGGACGCGGCGCTCTCAGATCCCCCGTCGTCACTTTGGTCCTCAGAGTCTGAGGGCGCCTGTACACGTTTAATGGACGGCATCGCTGAGGGGTTTGGAAAGAACAAAATCCTAGCGCATCGCGAAAGAGATCACCTTGGCTTTAACAACCGAGTTGAACAAAGAAGGTCCAGACTCGCGTCAGCGCGCACTTTCGCGTCAAACGCGGGAGATGAGTAAGCGGGACCCCCGAGGCTGCCCGCCGTGCCCAGATACTACTGCAAGAAAGAATCATATCAAAATATTGATCTGCTTGTATTGATTTTAACCTATTGTTGTTTTGAAGTTACATGGGACATGCTGTTTCCATTTATTTTGCGGGCATGTTCAAATCGAAGTGGCATAAATTATTCATAAGCTGACACTTTGGTTGACTGGCTCCAATTAGAGCATATGTTTTTAGCACCGACAGGACTGCGCACGTTTACTGCGTCGCGGGTTCCTCAGCCACGTAGTGCAAGTAAGCGCCTAGCAGCTTGGTTCCTTCAATATAATTCCGGCGATCCAGCTTCTCGTTGGCCGAGTGAGCAGCATCGGTAGAGCTGCCCATGGGGAGCAGGAGGACGTTCTTGCCAGTGGCTTGCTCGAAAGTCAATGTGACGGGGATACTATTCAACCCAGTTAGATTCATAGCACCAAGAAGGGAAAGAAGACCTGTAATGGAACTCAGGGAACAAGGGAAAACGACTACACATACCTTCCACCTTCACGGGTCATGTCCGGCTCGACACCAAACACCTGCTGCACGGCCTTGCTAGCGGCACTGAAGTTCCAGTGCTTGGGGCTGGCAACCCACCACTTGCCATCGTGCTGCAGCCACACATCCAACTTGTTCTTGCTGTTGAGCTTGGCGAACTCAGCCTTGATGTGGTCGAATACCAGCTTGTTGACATCCTCACTCTCCATGTTGGGCACAGTGCGAATGGAGAACTTGCCGATCACCTTGGCGGGGATGACCGTCTTAGCACCAGGAGCGGAATAAGCGCCCTCAATACCGTGAATGGACAGGGACGGGTACCGCCAGCGGGCCATCAGAGTGCGCTCCTTGTTCGGATGGATACCAGTCTCACTGCCCAAGGACTCGTGCAGGTTCTCCATGGTGTAGCTAATGTTGCCGTAGAGCGACTTCTCGTCCTCAGTAACAGGAGCAACCAGGTCCATCAGGCCAGGAATCAGAATGTTACCCTGAGGATCCACCAGCTTCGACAGGACGGTCACCAAGTCGGTCATGGGCTCATGAGCAGAGCCACCGAAGACACCGCTGTGGAGGTCCTGGGCAGGACCCGAGACACTCACGGAGTAGTAGTTGCAGCCACGAAGACCGTAGGTCAGGCAGGGCTTCTCAGTGCCCAGCCAGTAGTTATCCGAAATGCACACTGCATCGGTATCCTTGAAGTACTTCTTGGCCTCAGCCTGGATGAAGTCATCCAGGCCCTCGGATCCATACTCCTCCATTCCCTCGAAGCAGCAGAGCAGGTTGACGGGCAGCTCAACACCGGCCTTGCGGTGGGCCTCGATCACATTGATCCAGCCAAGAACGGGGCCCTTGTCATCCGTAGATCCACGGCCATACATGCGGCCCTTCTCGTCGATGGTCAACTCGAACGGCTCGGTAGCCCAGCCATCCTCCTTCTGAGCGGGCTGCACATCGTAGTGGCCGTAGACCAGGATGGTCTTCTTGTTCTTGTCGTTACCGTAGCGGGCAACGACGACGGGAGGCAGATCGAGGTGCTCCTTGCCGGGCTGCTTGCCCAGCGGCCTTTGCTCGACCTCAGCACCGAGCGCAGTCAGTTCGTCCGCAAGGAATTGGGCCATCTTTGACGTAATAGACACTGGTCAGTTATCCGGCAGCCTCGTGAGGGGTAGCTGTGTAACACTCACGCGGAACACATCCTTTCGGTTCTCATCCTGGGCTGAGATAGAGGGGATCGCAACTGCCTTGCGCAGACCTATATAGATATAATAGATCAGTAATCCGACATATTTTGCTAGCCTGGCTTTCCGCGGAACCATCCAGGTTCACTGTAAGCATGGGACTTTGGTACATACGATCAATGAAGCTCTCGGACGACTCGTCGACCCTGTCAACACGCGTGAGTTGGACGGACTTTTATTTTTTCTTCTCCATCTACAAAGGGAACATACTGCTTGAAAAAGGGCTCCAGCTGGGGCGCCATCTTGGTATCACTGATATGTCCGTAGAAGAAGCGGCGAGGGACGATTGGACGAGCGGATGGGGAAACTTGGAGAGAAGAGATTGCCCAGATCTTATGAGCGAGGGGATGCGGAGGGGAAAGAGGGGCAGCATTTGCAGAAAGTGAGGGCACCAGTCGCACCGAAAAGTATCTTATCACGTAATTAATACTTTAGCCCTGCAACCCTGAAGTCCCGGCGGTAACCGCCAAATCACCAGTGGTGGTTGATTTTGATTTTCTTTGGTTCCAGTAACCAGTGATTCACCTCGGCCCTTATCGATTGGCGCTTGGGCCATGGAAACTAACAATGTACGCGTATGCAGACTGCTGTACCGCAGGACAATCTGGAGATGGAGATGCCAGACGCAAAGCTTACCTTAGCTTTCTTCGAATTACTAAGTGGCCTGCTAGTAACTAACGTTGGTTAGCTCATTATATGGAGCATTAAAATCCTTGATCCCTCCGACGATGTTACACTACCATGATAGCCTTATCGCCTAATTGGGTAGATCCGCATACGATCACGTATGTGTGTATGTGCCACGGTAATTTATTATTGACAGGCGACCCACTCTCTTGACGAGGCTCAGGACTACAATACATTCCCGTGGATACAAAGCTTACGTGACACAATCAATCAGAACAGAATGAAAATTGTATGGATATGAGAATACAGAGAACAATGCTAGAATGTTAGAATACATGTCGTTTTTACACGAGGCTGCGATTCGCAGCTCCCCCCACACAGAGGCTGGATACCATCTCAACGGCGACGGCTCCCCCTTTGACCACACAAATCCTTGGCCCAGAACAACATTCAAGTCAACCGGGAAAAGAGGCATACTTGAATCACTCATCACGGCCCCATGCCTCCCGACGCAACTTCCGGTCCTCCCTAGCCATCCGTCGCTTGGATCCCCATTGTGATTGCACGGCCTCCAGCACCTGTCTTTGGATCTGCTTCTTCTCCGGGCTGGCCTCGCAGACCATCGCAATGAAGAGGGGCGAGCATTCAAAGCGCTTCGCCAGCTTGTGTCGGCTCCAGGTCATTGGGTCACTTAGTCGGAGCTTGCGGATTTCCTCGACATCCGCGGGGGTCAAGTGGTACTTTCTCTCGGGGTCGCTGCGGTAGACGTTGGGGAGATCTTGAACACTCTCTGTCGCATTCCCCGCGTTTTCAATGCGCATCGACCTGCGAGCATCATTGGAAGGCAAGAATTTGCTCGGAGTGTGATAGACAGAGGGCGCGCTGGAGGGCGGGTTGTAGATGATCTGATCGTGACCCTGGTGCGATGAGCCAAAGGTAGCATCCGGCTTGACACGGAGGCGTTGCTTTGTCCGTCGGTATGAAGATTGATAACGTCGAGATCCCAGAGCAAGAGAATCTGACCATGAAGGAAGGAGGAAGGGCAGTGAGAGGAATGGCCGCTTGGAAGCAACAATTGAGGTGGCCATCTTGACGACTGCGAGCCAATGCCGGGCTGGGAATCGACAAGAGTAAGTACAAGTACAATAAATCTGGTCTTAAGTTGGAGACCTACCAAAATAAGAGGGTGAAGGGGTCGACGAACGAATCGTGATGGGTGGACGGGGCCAAGGTGGACGTGTCGAGCCCGAACTTTTTTCCCCGAGTCTTGAGTCTCGTGACTTGATCCCGATCGGGCATGGCGGGCAATACTATATTAGGTAATCTGTTTGGTAATCTACGGGTATTCGGTACCTTAACGTCAACGGGCGCGCCCCTTACCATCTGTGTACCCGGTACTTTTACCCCCTCATAACATACATCCCGTTGGATCAGCTGGATCACTGCATGTCATCATTGTCTCCTGGCAAAAAGTGTGATGACGATCCCCATCCCATCCTCTCCTTTTCTGAACACTTTCCCCCCCTCCTACTGCTGATACTTTTTGTTTCTTCTGTCGAGGTACCCCTGAACTGTCTAGAGACGTTTTGGGTCATGGCTATCCTCTTCTAGAAACTTTGGGCCCCGGTTTCCATAGTTCATCGACACCGTTATCTACGCCAGCTTCTACTGGCCTCCCCCTCCCATTTCACCATGCCGGACCCTCGGAATGTGCTGCCAGAGTCCATGGATGGACAACTGCAGAATCCTATCTCATCCTCTGCACAGCTGCACGACGATCTTCTACACTCAGCAGACAAAAGCGCTCCCCTGGTCGGGAAGCCAGCGACCACTGTACCGGCTCCCAAGCCCGCCAACCTACCTTGGCCCCAGGTACAGCATGTCGACAGTGACCAACATGCCGACGGCACAGCTATGGGATCTGGAGCCCTGAGCAGTGGACCTGTATCGCCGATATCGCCTGGAGACTCATCCGAAGCCTTGCGAACGCCAGGTGTTTCAGACCGACAGAAGTACACGTACCATCCCTCGTCCCCCGGTGGGACATCACAGTTGCCTCCCCGTCTGCATTCCCCAGCCTCTCAGATTTTTGAACGGAGTGTTCAAGAAGATATTCTCCCTCAGCAAGCGTCCCCGTCTATACCCGCACATATTCGCACCGAGAATTACATTCCTCCAGTGCTGGAGGCCTCATCAGCCGCCATCACCGACGATCAATTGGACCCGGATTCGGTGGAAATCATCACTCATAGTATGCACCAGTCCGCTGCCGCAGGCGTGACCGGTTCGTCAACAGCAGAGCATTCACTCACGTCCTCCGGCTTTGTTGATCATGCGGGGTTCCACTCTATCGAGGCAGATGAAGGCTCCTCCACTCATGCAGCACTGGAGTCCACGGATGTGCGACGTCTGAGCTTCATTTCATTTGCTGATGTCGTCAATGCAGAACATGCAGAGACCGGAGAATCGGTGTATAGTCGAGAACCCTCCCAGGTTGGAGGAGCTGCCACCCATTCGATTGCCACGGGATACCAAAATCGGTCGCCGTCACCGTTACGATCTCCAGCTTCTTCACATGGACTGGGAACATCACCACCAACCAGCATTGCGACCTCCTTCAAAGGCCTCGAAATGTCGCCAAACCATGGCACTCGCGGCGCGGGAAGTCCCCTCCCCTTGGCTCAAAGCCCAGTTTCCTCCAGTTTCGGTGGTGAACTGAATATCGAAACGATGCGACAAGCGCTCAGAAGAACTGGCAGTGGAGATCTTGGAGGGTTCGCCAGCCAGACTGCTAGTGCCATCGGCAATGATGAGCCCTTGGATCGTCATTTCTGAATTTCGGCCTGAAGTAGATTTTAACTACTTCACCTTTCCCAATGTCTCTTTCGATACGCGTTCACTTGACTCGGACGATAGTCCTGGAACCGTCAGTATTGTGTAGCGGCGTTGCTCTGCACTTGTCCCCAACGAGAAATGCAAATCCGTCGAGGGTGTGCCGATTTCACTCTCGGGCTGAAGCGGTCGGACGTCATGACGATGGTGCTCTGTCTATTTTCATCATCGCGTTACATATAACCCAAATCTATGGATCTGGATATCCTTGATTTTGCACTACTTCAACACCTGGCGTTTTTGGTGTTTTTTTTTTTGATTATTCATATCATTTTGTGTATATACCCATTGAAATGTAGGAAGTGACTGTGCCTGCGCTCATACTGGCTAAATCTCTATGAATGCAGTCCGCCCCAGAGCGCTGCACTGGGGCTATTAGAAAATCTCTGAAGGTTGAGCAGATTGAGTTTTGTTGAAAACGTCGAAGCGCCAGCGAGTCATCGAGTCTATTTTTGCACCTTTTCCACTGCATCCAGAGCCCGCTGGAATCGGCGACGTAAATCGGAGATCTCCTCCAGTCCAACGCTAATTCTGACCAGGTCAGGGTCGACATTGAAAGACCTCGCCTGTATAATCCAGTCACATGTTAGCTTGTTGTCGCAGAGAAGAGGAATAGTCGTGGGAGAATCGAGGATACCATACCCAGTCAAGTTCGAGATAATGGGCAAGGACGACATATGGAGAGCTGTAAAGAAGTCTAATTAGTGCCATGCCAGGTTTTAGCGGGTTTTCGAAGGCAGTCGTTACTCACCTGAGGGTGAAGTTTGTGCCAAGACTAGGTCCCTTCAAGACCTCGAGGGTATCATAGAATGCGACAGATTCCGCATTTGAGTGGAACGTGACAGAGAAAAGACCACCATAGCCACCATTGGGGTTACGAAGGCTGTCGTACAGGGGTCTCGTTGGGCTGTATTTAGGGTAGTAAACTTCTTTGACTGTAATACGTTTCCAGTTAGTGCGAGCAGCCTCAAGGGAGAGCAGACGTTGGCTTACCCAGCGGAGAGGCCTTCAACATGTCGGTAATTGCTTCGGAGGTGGTGTTGATCTTGTCAATTCTGCTGATGAAGTCTCGGCTGTTCCGCTCTAGGAACACTGCATCTTCTGCCCAGTAAAGGTCCTCATACTCGCGATTCAAGGTATCTTTCAATTGCTTATAGTAGGGGGCTTGCGGGTTTAGTACTGCGCTGCCACCCATGACATTGCTGTCTCCGCTGAAAATTTTAGTCAAACTGCTGACGACAATATCGGCATACCGAAGGACGTTGATATTGAGGAAATTGCTGATGGTCTCATCAACAACCACGGCAAAGCCATACTGGTCGGCCAAAGCTCTGATTCGCACGAGATCCGGAGTCTTGAGCAGAGGGTTACCGGGGGCTTCGGTGAAGAGGCCAAGGAATCGCTCGCCATTCTTAAGCCGTGATTCTAGATCATCCAGGTCCTCTGATGAGCCGTGGCCATAGAACAAGCAGCCTGGTCCCCATTTTTGCAGAATCTTCAGGGTATCGGTATACGGGAAGCCGAAACAAACGCTCTTCAAGGATCCGCGGGTCGTCAATAGTGTCTGATGCGAGTTGAAAATGGCACTCATGCCAGAAGGATAGAGATAAACATCGTCCTCCGAGATGCCGGAGACTCGACCCTCGGCCGAAGCGGCTTCAAGCACCTCGGGCAGCTCAGCATCAGCAGTGAGCACGCCAGCAATCCGTCTCCGCACAGCAACCGTGGCTTGTTCAGCTAACGCAGTACTCAGGTTGCGACCGAAGCGTTCCTCAATGAATTGAGCGTAGTCTCGGCCGTCTTCAGCGCCATTGGTCGCCACAGGGCTGTCCGTGGGTGTGGGAGTCGAGGCCGAGGAGCCCCGTGAGACTCCACTGATGGATCCCTTACCCTGGTAGCGCCGAGGGCCCTTGCAGGGCCGCTGCGAAAGAGACTCAGATGCTTCAGACTTCTTCTCCTCCACCAGGAAACCATCCTCGAGGGCGCGCAGACAGAACTCTCCCCGCCGACTCGATATACCATTTCCAGAATGTTGCCAGACCTGTTTGGCAATGGGTGCAAATTCCTTCTGATAGACGACAGCCACCAACGAAGACGAAATCGTGGTAGATCCTTCACCGGTTTGCTGGGAGGGCACGAAGGTCACGATCCGAACTTTTTGCGCCTCTTCGGGGGAGACCTTGGACACGATGAACGAGTGACAGATACGCGCGGTCTTGAGGGTTGCGAAAAGGGTGGCAGTCTCCGATTCGGGATCTCCGACGCGACGAACAATCTCTTGGGCGAGTTTCTGAATGCTAGGGTGTACGAAGAATCGAGGATAGCCGCATTGCATCTTGCCGATGACCCAGTCCTCTCCCTCCTCGTACCCAATATTGGACCTCCATGTTGGTAGGGATACACTAACGGCCTTGTTTGTTGTCAATAGAGTGTTTCAAACTGGACATGCAAGTCTCCAGTTCGTCCTGGGTAAAAAAACGTATCCCATAGAGAGAGCATGGAGGGGTACATTGCGGGGGATTGGGGACGACGTACATGGTCAGTGTTCGGGGGCACAGGCCCTCCGAGTGCTTGAAGCATGGTGAAAATGAAATTGATAGAGAATGAAGAATCAAATCCAGAAAAGAAAAGCAAAATAGTGAAGTGTAGCAAAGGAGGGAAGTGAATCAACTTTCGACTCATGTGTAGATTGCGACTTCGGCGCCATGACTCAGCACTGGTTGGGCCCGCGGAATCCACACAAGTTCTAGTATGGGATGTATTGGGTTCGCCAGTTGGTGGCTGCTGGTTTCACCGCCCATACTGCCCGCCGAGTTCTGCCCGTCTGTTATCATCCGCTCAAAAAATTTCGAGATTATCAAAAGATCGGCTTTGGTACCTCGAAGCTCTGCAAACTGCACCCAATACCTCCTGATTTTGCTTGGCTGACACCTCGCCAACGCAAGGATGTCGACACACACAGTCAAGCGAAGGAAATTAAGTCCTTCACCTACAAACGACACCTCGGCGACCCAGTCGAAGTCTTCTAACGGCGCATCTACGACAAATTCAAAGGGAGCCACCGAGAAACCAGCCCATGTTTCCGCGCGGAAACCTGACAATTCGTCAAAGACCAACTCAGCCCATCGGGCAAAAGATGAGCGTACTGCAGAGCTGGCAATGGCTAGTGGCTTCTACAAGTCTGGTTTCTTCAAGCTGCAAGTGGATGAACTGACGAGCGGATTGAGAATCAACTATGACAAGCGGATCTCGAAAGTCCAGGATACCCTACACAAGGTGAAGAATGCGATGGAAGGCCTGCCTGAAATCTCGCCGAAGTCAATTGTGGACGCCGAAAAGGAACTGCGCACTGCCTCTGGAATCCTGGTGCCGTGGCCCGAACCGCGCCCAAGCAAGGATGCGAAATACACCATCTCGTATGCGAAGCCGACCAACATCAATGTGGTAGGAAGCTTTGGGCTGAGAACGGGAGCCAAGTCTGCCGAGTCTCGTCCAGTCGACCTAGCTGTGACGATGCCTAGCTCTATCTTCCAAGAAAAGGACTATGTCAACTACCGCTTCTTCCACAAAAGAGCCTACTATATTGCTTGTCTGGCAGCCGGTATCCAAGAAACCGTCAACAGCCTTGGATTAGAAGTCAAATTTGGCTTCCAAGATGGAGACAGTCTCCGCCCAATAATTTTGTTGGAGTCTCGTTCGTCGAAAGAGGAGACGCCGCCGTCGCAACCCCAAATTCGAATCCTGACCGCGATTGATCCGAACTTGTTCCCGATCACACGAACGCTCCCGATGAAGAACAACATTCGCCAAGGTTCCTCGACCGATACTACGGAAGCTGGTGAACCGACCCCCTACTATAATGCCAGTCTTCGATCCGAAGCCACCGTGTCTCTCTACCACAAATACCTCTACTCCGCCTCTCAAAAATGTGACTCTTTCCGCGACGCTTGTATTCTGGGACGTACTTGGCTCCAGCAACGGGGGTTCTCAACCTCGTTCCAAAAGGGAGGGTTCGGAGGTTTCGAGTGGTCCGCCCTTATTTCCCTGCTTTTTGAAGGTGGCGGACCTTCCGGACAACCAATTCTATTGCGGTCTTATAGTAGCTACCAGATTTTCAAAGCGACCATGCAATTCCTTGCTGGTCGAGACTTGTCTACTCCTTTGTTCCTGTTTGCCTCGGATGTTCCTGTTCCTGATGGCGGGCCCGTGCTATACGATGGTCGCAGAGGGCTGAATCTCTTGTACAAGATGACTCCATGGTCCTATTCGATTCTCCGTCAAGAAGCTACGACCACCCTCAAGATGCTGAATGAGTCTCGTGAAGATAACTTTGATAGAGTCTTTATCGTGAAAGTTGACGAGCCGGCCTTGAGGTTTGATCGTCTACTCACTTTCCCCAAGTCGTTCAATGGTGATACTCTTCGGTCTCTCCACGACCAAAAGTCGGTGTATCAAGTACTGTCCAGGGCTCTTGGAGATCGAGTCAAGCTCATCTCTCTGACCAGCCGCTCCGCTGATTCATGGCCTGTTAAATCAAAGGCTTTGAATAAGAAAGCCAGCCATGATCTGTCCGTTGGACTGATGCTCAATGGCGAAAATGTCGGCAGGACTGTTGACCACGGACCGGCCGCGGAGGAGAAGGAGGAAGCCGCCTCTTTCCGTGCCTTTTGGGGGAGAGAAAGCAGAACTGCGTCGATTCAAGGATGGCAGTATTGTGGAAAGTCTTGTTTGGTCCGACCAGCCCGACGAAGACTCCATTGTGCATCAGATCTTGGCTCATATCCTGCAACGGCACTTCAAGATTGCTGAAGATGATTTCTTCCTGCATGGTGACGAGTACGATGACATTCTGTACGACGAAGGTGACGAGGTCATTTCGTACTCCAACTCACCTTTCCAGTCAATCAACGACGCTTTCGGCGAACTGGAACAGTCACTTCGAAACATGGAGGAAGTTCCATTGTCGATTCGACATGTGGCTCCCGCCAGCCCTCTGCTTCGTTATGCAGCCCTTCGAGTGCAGGGTTCCGATGGAGACAACGAAGCAGCTGACATTGTGCTCCAGTTTGAAAGCTCATCACGCTGGCCCGACGATTTTGCAGCTATCCAGATGACCAAGGCGGCTTTCCTCGTCAAGGTTGGAGACTCGCTTCAAGATGCGGGTGCAGCATCTTCTTGTCGCGTTGGTGTGGAGAATGAGTCCAGCAAGGTGCTCAACAGTTTCTACTTGGATATCTTCCACATTTCTGGATTCACCTTCCGCTTGAGGATTCACCACGACCGCGAACAGACTCTGCTGGAACGTCAGCTCAAGAACAAGTCTATTAGTCCCCGGGAACGCGAGGAGATTGCCTACGCACTTTTCTCATACAAGAAAGCTTTCATTCAAACTCCTCGCTTGACGCAAGCACTCCGAAGCCTGTGCACACGCTTGCCACTGCTGTCGCCTACGATTCGGTTGGTCAAGCACTGGTTTGCTTCGCACCTGTTCTCTGCTCAGATCAGCGAAGAGCTGATTGAATTGATGACAACCCGAGCCTTCACACAGCCCTACCCCTGGGAGTGCCCGTCGAGTATCATGACTGGATTCCTGCGGACTCTTCACTTCCTTTCCCGCTGGGATTGGCAGCAAGAACCCTTCATTGTCGACCTCAGCGGCGACCTCAACCCAGAAGTGACCGAGACAATCAAGACCCGGTTTACCGCGTGGCGCAACATCGACCCCGCGATGAACACCATTGCGCTCTTCGTGGCTTCGGACCTCGACACCGAGGGTGTGACTTGGACACAGTACGAGATGCCCTCGAAGGTCGTAGCCGGCCGCATGACTGCGTTGGCCAAGGCTGCAGTGAGCCTACTCCGCAAGGAACATGACGAGCTGGATGTGGCCGAATTGTTCCACACTTCATTGGCACCTTACGACTTTGTCATCCACCTGCGCTCAAAACTACTTGGAGACGGATCTGCTTCAGCGTCTAAATACAAGAACCTTGCCGAGGCCAATGTTCCCGGCCGCGCCAGCAAGTTGGCACTCGTGAAGTCATTCGTGCGTGACGTCCAAGCATGCTACAACCAGAGTATTCTCCTCTTCCACGGCGACGAGCGCTCCGACGTCATCGCAGGTCTATGGAACCCGCAGACGCTGAAGCCCCGAACCTGGAACTTGAAGACGGCTTTTTCGACAGCGCCAGTCTCCTCATCTGGTTCTTTGGAGAAGCAGGACAGCGTGATCATCAACCAGCCTGCGATCCTGAACGAGATTGCCCGACTTGGTGAGGGGCTCATTGAGAAAATCGAGACTTCGCAATAAGCGTGTCAGAACGAGAAGTGTTTATATTTCAAGATTAAAATTTTTTTTATCCTATTGGCGAAATGTACATTACCTGCTAGCGCCGCTGCAATGCAAACTGTCTCACAACCACATAAACAAACGAACAGAGAAATATTGTAAGAAAAGAAATTAAAATCCAGCGCCAGCATCAGTGAATCAAAGCGCATGAAATCACATCATATTACATTCATGAACTGCTCCGGTCCGACTTGCCCGTCGGCACCTGAGAGGAAAAGGAACAGAATTTGTCCTTGATAGCGACGACCTCGTAGGTACCTTCGTCCGAAGTCTTGATCGTCTTCTTGTGTTCGTAGGAGATATCGTGCTTGATGTCAAGAACCTCCGACTTCTTACCCTTGCGAGCATTGGTGCTGCGAATGTAGCTATAGAACGCCATGTCAGTTAAGATAGACGCCGAATCGTACGTACAAGAAAAAGAGTAACTTACGTGAATTCAAATGGCGGCGTGCCCCAGAACTCGAAGCTCAGCTCAGCTTCTCCACCCTCGTGAATGTCGACCACGGACACTTGGCCCTGGCTGATGCGAACACTGGGCATCTCGTGAATGATCTTTGTTATGTCCTTGTGGGCCTTGCACTTGCCACTGGCCCCATCACCAACGGCGGTAATGGTGAACTCTCCAGGACGCTCGGCAATACGACGGAAGTTGGTATTTGGAGAAGTGGCCTTCCTTTGCACGCCGTTGAAGGTATAGAACACGTCGAAGGGTGCGTGGCCAGAAAGGGAGAATGACAGGCGTTCTCCAACGCAGTAGTCTACCTTGGACTCGAGGGGAATGATCGTGGGGACATCTGAAACGGCGACACGAACAGACGAAGCATCGAACTCGGTGGTCCTCTGGCAACCGCGAGAGTCACGAACCTTGTGAATACTGACCACATGCTGGCCCAGATCGAGGTGGCGACGGGGGAGGGGTAAGTTGTGGTGGTTGGAGTTGATCTTGGGGATGGTGACAATCTCCGGCTTAGCGTTGGAGTGGTGCTTGATGGTGATCTCCAGCGAGAATGGAGGCACACCTTCCAATGTGATAGGAATAGTCTCCTCACCAGTCGCATCCTCCTTGCAGAAGCCGTAGATGTGTCCCGGAGAGTCGAACTTGGCAGATGGAAGCGAGTTGACCTTTTGTGTGACCACAAGACCACTGCTCTTCGGGTCATAGTCGTACAGGTTGTCGCCCACCTCGGTGAACTTGTAGGTGTATTGGCCTGGCTCGGAGGTATCCATCTCCATGGAAGCAGAGTTGAGAGCGGTTCTGATATTCTTCGAGCGGGCTGAGGCTTGTCCACGGTCTGATTTGCGGCGTTGTTCGTATTGAAGACTGAACGGAGGGCTGCCAGACAGGCGGAGCTCTAGGCTATCATCGTCACCCTGGCAGACCTCGGGCTTGGTATACTCACCCTTCACGATGGGAGAACCGTCCACGGCGGTGATCTGGGGTCGTGGAATCCAAGAAACTTCAAACTCCTTAGCTGATTGGTCCACGAAACCGGAGCAGGAGTTATCATAGACTTCAAGGAGCTCGTAGAGACCCTCACGGTCCACAGCCAAACGGCTGTTCTCGTCCCAGAATGTTTTAGTCAAAGGCGCAGTGTTCACATCCACGTTCTTGTACTTGATAGTCCACGGCTTCTCGCCGCTCAGTCGCAATGGAATCTCAATTCTAGATCCCGCCAGAGCAGAAACTGTTCTCTTCTTGTCAATCTGGCCGAATGAAGCATGCGGTGGCTTGGATCGAGCATCAATCTTGATGCTGTCCTTCAAGTTCCGTTTGCAGTTCGACTTGTCCTTGATGCTGGTCAATGCAAGTCTGTACTCGCCGCCGCTGACCAGCTTGTCCGTAGTAATAGTGGCAACATCAGTCTCAGATTCCAGTGTGTGTTTTGATCGCTTGCCATTGTGGACAAGCTCGTACTGAAGTGTCCATGGAGCCTCTCCCAGGAAAGCCAGGTCCACGGATACAGACTCGCCAAAGCAGGCCTTGCGAGTGTCCCTGGGTCCGAGGAAGTGAGCCGACGCCGGTGGCTTGACATCCTGTTCGAGAACTGAGACCTTGTCCTTGAGAGACCGAGGAGAGTACACGGAATCTTCAATATCCAGGAAACGATACCGGTAGGAACCAGCCTCGGACGGTGTGAAATCCAGCTGGGATCGCAGGCCATCGATGATCTTCGTCTGCGTTTGCACACCCTTCGGGCCTTCGGTGCTGTACCGGATACGGAAGGAGGGGATCCGGTGAGGTCCAGATCAACAAGAAGACCAACAGCATTGTTAGCGCAACGGTCGAAGACCTTCTCCGACTTGATGGACAACTCTGGCTCGGGAGGATTGCGCAGGTAGCAAGACGAAGGCTCCAAAACTTCACCTGGACAGTGCTGACTCGATACTGATAACAAGGAATACCAACCGGGTTCTTTGATGGGTGTCTGCTGATCAAGAGTCTTCAAGACGACAGTCATACTATCCTTTGAATCTCCTTCCTTCGGTTCGGCACCGGTGGCGCTGTAAGAGTACGTGACAGTGAAAGGACCGTCGCGATCATACGGCTTTGTGGTCTGTTGGAAGTTGATTGGCAAGTTGACGCTATCGCCACGAGCAACCTCAAGCGGGCGCTGCTCATTGCAGCCAGACAAGGAGACCTTGGGACGCTCGTGGATCATCAACTGGTGCCACTGAGACGAAGACTTGGGCGATGGCCGCTCTCCATCCTCAAATATTGAAGAATAGTTGGCAACATTACCAAGAGCATCATGAACTTCCTCAATGGCATAGAACCATTCACCATTCACATTCAGGGACTCATTCAAAGGGACATCGATTTTCTGGCTTTGGGCCCAGGAGATGTCGGGCTGGTTGACGCTGAAGAGGGCACCAGTTGGTTTCTGATTCAAAGGGGAGTGCGCAAGTTGTCTGGCTGGACGTTTTGGAAAGAGACCCCGCGGTCCTGGAAGTTGACCTCCCGGCTATACTTGATCTTTAAGGGAGGTGTGCCTTCAACCTCGAGAAGCACGTTAGACAGTTCCCCTCTGCATTTGTCAGTGTAGGAGTTCTTGATCAGCGCGCGAGGGCAAGTGACGACCAACGCGTCAGAGGTCCGCGTGCGAACATCCAGCTGAGACTCATCCACCACACGCTGAAGGCGATAGATACCAGTCTTGCGCACGGGGAAGAAGAGATCTCGGTGCGGAACAGGCTCCAAAGTGGCATGTCTCTTCTCGGCCTGACGCTTGAGCTGTTTTAGCTGCTTGGCCGGAATAGTCAACGTTTCGTTTTCGCCAGTGTGGAGGTCAAGGCGCAACACTTCAATGAGGATTGGGTCGGTCTGATTCACTCGGATGGGGAGGTGCACGAAGTTTTTCTGAGAATCCAAACAGAGCGGCTCACGTTCAGGATTGAGAACAGCAGATCTATAAGAGTCAGTAAGGTAATGCGCGATTGCAAATCGGAGATCGGGCCTCATGACTAACCCTTCTGGCAAAATGTGCACGATTTGCTTTCCCAAAATCAACGAGGCATTGTGAATAATGTCCCCAGGCTTCACCTTCCGCTCGGAGATGGACAGTTCTCGATCGTAAGCTACCTTGACCAGGCCTCCGAGCCACGCGCCCAAAGGAATCTATTTGAAGGTTAGAAGATTGCCCGAAATCGAATTTAGGAAAAGATGCAGCAGCTCTCACCGGGATACGGAACATCAGAAAGACGTTGCCCACGACGTGCAACAAAAACAGGGCCAGGGTGGTTGGGAGTGCCCACTCTAGCCATGGTATGCGCAGAGCTTGTAGACCAAACAAGAAAATGCCATCCAGAGACACCCATTTCAAAAACAACCACGTCGAGTCCAGCTCGTCGGAGGCATTCCAGGATTCGTATATCCGATACGCATTGAGCCCAAGGTAGAAAGCCACCACATAGAGACGTTGCGAGGGGGCATCGATCACGTCGGTAGGGACGAGCGGCGTGTTGGTGTTTGGGAGCGGCTTGGGCACCTTGGCCGGGGATCTGCTAGGCGACTTTGGATCGCGCACATCGCGAGGTTGTGCACGAGACGGGGTCTCAAAGAGCTTTCTTCTCCTTGGAATAGTCGTGGGCGTCTGGGGAAAAGCAGACGGAAGGCGGGGAGTGCCGTTCATGGCATGCTGTGGTCGCCAGAGTTTCGTGAAACAAGGTATTGATCCCACGTATGGGAGGGCAGAGCGAAGGCGGAGAGGGGCTCGTAGTTGAGCGCAAAGCTCGTGTAGGAGCAGATAAGGTCGTATAGACTGCGCGAGTCAATGGGGCGAGGGAATGTCGCGGTCAGAGACGAGCAGATGGGAAAAATGAGAAAAGTTGGAGGCAGCCGAGAGACGCGGGAAGCGCGTCGAAGCTTGGTCCACCGCCGAACATGCCGCTATACATTCTACCCTCTCTGATTGTGCCGGTTACTCCACTTACTGATCCCATACCCTACACCTGCTACAAGCCTACATCAGCTTCATCGTTTGCTGTGGGGCTCTTTATTGGGAAGCTCGTAAGTTGCCTAATTAGGACCTAGGCGATTGTCATTGTTCTTCTTTGAGAACTGATCCAGGGGAATCTTTCCTTCTTCCTCTTCTTCACCACCACACCAAACCAACTCTCTTCAACATCTCTGCGGCCTGAGGCTCAACACCTCCAGATTGACCCTTGGACCTTAGTGAGATCACTTTGACTTGCCGGCATGGGTCCTCGCAACAAGCGACGGCGACTTACAGACCCGCTAGATGAGCAGAATGCCTCAGATATTTACAAGCCAGCGAGTGAGCTGGAAAAGAACAACTGGAATGGATTCTGTGAGATCGAATCAGAGCCGGTGAGATGAACTCAGCTTCCAGCATGAAAGTCAACGCTGACAGTTTATAACAGGCTCTGTTCAATGTAATGCTCCGTGAATTCGGAGTGAGAGGTGTCAAGGTCCAGGAGGTAGTTTCCTTGGACGAAGAAATGATGGCCTTCCTCGAGTATGAGCTTCTAGTCACACTCAACTCCCTCTCCCTGTTGCTACGATTCGAGGACTAACAAATGATTGCACAGCAAACCTATTTACGGTCTGATCTTCCTCTTCCGCTGGCGGGAGGATGACGCCGACAAGCAGGAAACGACCTGCCCAGATGGGATATGGTTCGCAAACCAAGTATGCTTTCCAGTTGGCCGGTCGATGGCCTCTCTGCTTTGAATTGCTACTAACTCGAGCTTAGACTGCTAGCAATGCTTGCGCTAGTGTAGCTCTGCTAAACATTGTGAACAATATCCCTGGCATAGACCTCGGGGAGAACTTGCGCCATTTCAAAGAGTTCACAATGCCCTTTACGCCAGCTTTACGGGGAGATGCCATCAACAACTTCGAGTTTGTGAAGCGGGTACATAACTCCTTCGCCCGGTATGTCTCCCCGTGTCGCAAATTGGTTTCATGTAGTCACCTTACTGGGTCTGAGTGCTTATTTCTATTTGGTCCCACAGCAAGATGGATATTCTCAACTCCGATCTCCAACTCCAGTTGGAATCAAAAACACGTAAAAAGTCCTCTCAAAACCAAGATGAGGTTGAGGATGACTCGTCGTTTCATTTCATTGCCTTCATGCCGGTCATGGGCCAAGTCTGGAAGTTTGACGGTCTAGAGCGGCAGCCCCAGTCCATCGGTGAGGATTGATGACTGCATGATCAGAAACCGAGCGTGTGCTGATTGAAAATCAAGGTGAATGTTCCGAAGACGACTGGCTAGACCTAGTCCGCCCGAACCTCCTAGATCGGATGGCGGCCTACGAAGAAGACCAAATCGAGTTTTCGATCCTCGGACTAGTTCAAGATCCTCTCCCGGGCCTCGTTCGAGAGCTCGCGGTCAACGTAAGAAGCCTGGAGATGGTTCATCAGCGCCTCCTGTCAGACGGTGATGCCGCTGCAGCCGCCACCACCACCATCACCGATTTCGAAGGAACGGTGATCGGCCCAGAGCCGTCCCTTGCATTGACCCGCGGGGCGATTGATGCGGCCGAGATCCCAGCGGCCACGCTGAAAGAATACCAGAGCTGTCCGCCCAGTCAGCTACACCAGCATCGGCAGACGCTCAGCCAGGCACAGGGGGAGCTGCGGTCCCGAGTCCGCGAAGAGCAGCAGTCGCAACGTGCAGACGACGACTATGCGACCTGGCGGCGGTATGACTACGGACCAGCGGTACGAACGTGGTTGAAATTCCTGGCCCGCAAGCAGGTGCTGGCCGAGTTGATGCAATAGCGAGGGAGGTCGAGACCCTCGTGGGGCAGCGATTGGCCAACAGCCCTTTTTTTGGGCGGTGGTTCTTATAGTCCCGTCATGTTTCCCCTTGGAGAATACCTTAAAATACTAATCCAAGTGGACATTTGGGAAGTATCGAAATGACCTTTCCCGGATGTAGATGGTACTTGCTGGGTACTTGGTTCCTTCTTTACTTCCCCTATTCCCACGCCTTCGATCCGAGTACTTTTGACAGTCGCATCTTTACTGTAGACACAACTCACCGAGTAACCAACCCTATTTTCCGTCTCCACTATTTTTAATCAAATCTAACCAACCAGCCCCTCTCAAATCAAAAACATTGACCCAAGTATAACTCAATTAATCTCGTCAAGTCACTACCAAGTCCCAGTGACCAGACCAGAGGTTCCCCACTCGGCAAAAAGAAGTTCTCACGTCACCGCCTCCCCCCCAAAGTGTTTCCCCCCCCAAATCTCCAACGGTTGACCAACAGACCCTTGGCCAACTCCTCTCCTCCTTCCTTTCGTTTCTTTTCTGGATTTTGTTGGGTGGACTGCTTTGGGACCCCATCTGCATATTTTTTTTTTGGTTCTTCTTTCTTCTTTTGCTTAGCGTCACGCCCTCTTGAAACAACCCCTACTACTTGCTCAAAGCTGTTTGCCACACTACATCTTCCCCTCGGAGTACAAAGCTTCCCGGTTTCTCACCCCGCGCTACTCGAGACCATGTCGGCCACCGTTGTGCCTGAGAAGACCCCCGATGACTCCTCCAAGCTGAAGACCTTCCTCTCGATCTTGCGAAAGTATGTGCATTTTAATGCGCCGAAAAAAATACAACTTGCGTGGAAGTACTAACAGACGGTCTTCGAAACTATTAGGTTCGTGGGTGTGACAGATATCGCATCGGTTCGCTTCTCGTTGCCGGCTCAACTTCTCGAACCCCGACCGAATCTGGGTATGTTCGAAGGGAACAAAGGGACTCTGGTGGGGCCCAGGGGGCGAAGACAAGAGAAATAAACAGCTAATGGGGCTTGGTGTGCTAGAATACTGGAACTACTTGGATCGACCCGAGACCTTTGCCAGGTCAGCAACTTGACCCACGGCCCACCAATAACGACCGCGCATGTGCTGACCCAGACTATATACAGCATTGGCAAATCAGACGATGAACTGGGGCGGATGCTGGAGGTGTTGAGGTTCTGGTTCACCAAGGACCTGGTATATTTTGACTTGCTGTTGCCATGAAAGACAAGATGTGCTGAACCTCCAACAGAAATACATCAAGGGAAAGCCATGCAAGCCTTACAATTCGACCTTGGGCGAGTTCTTCCGGGTATGTCTCCTCATGATTGCAGCTACACATGGCTGTCATGGGACACCTAGCTGATCATATTCCCCTCCACTTTACCAGTGCAGTTGGGAGGTGCAAGACTTTGTCCCCGAAGAAGCCAACCTCCCTGGAGTCAACGCTGCCACCAACGGTACCACTGTCCACGATGGCGATGAGAAAGTCAAGGTCTGCTATCTCACCGAGCAGACCTCACACCACCCGCCAGTCTCGGCCTTTTACATTGACTGCCCAGAGCGTGGAGTGTCTGCACGCGGATTCGACCAGATTAGTGCCAAATTCACCGGCACCAGCATTCGTGTCAGCCCTGGTCAGCACAACCTGGGAATCTTTGTCAACATCGAGAAGCGAGACAACGAGGAGTACCAGTTGACCCATCCCCATGCTCACCTCGGAGGACTGCTGCGCGGTGCTCTGGCGATTACCGTCTCGGATGCCTGTTTCATGATATGCCGCAAGACACGTATCAAGGCGATCTTGCAGTACGTAGAAGAGGGATGGATCGGCCGGTCTCAACACAAGCTTGAAGGCGTGATCTTCCGCTACGATCCCGACAACGACACCATCACAAGGCTGAGAGATGTAGCCGAGAGTGACGTTCTTGCCCGAATCAGCGGGTCCTGGCACGGCAAGATCTACTACACTGCCACGGGGTCTAAGGAACCCCGTCTGCTCATCGACATCACGCCTCTGCACCCGGTGGACAAAATTCTCCCTCCCGCCGAGCAGCAATTGCCGAACGAGTCTCTCAAATTCTGGGGACAAGTCACCAACGCCATCCTAGACAAGCAATTCACGGAAGCCACGCGGATCAAGCAGGAGATCGAGGAGCGCCAGCGCCAGAAAGCCGCCGAGCGCAAAGAGAAGCAAGAAGAGTGGCAGCCACGCTTCTTCATCGGTGCCGTAACGCCGCTAGGCAAACCTGAGCTGACGGAGGAAGGCCAGAAAGCATTGGAGGGCGTTCGGACCGGAAACTACGCATTGGAGGAGAGTACAGTGCAGGGCGCATAGAAGCAACCCATTTTAATCGTGTCGGCTCTTTTTATCTTGGATTCCAGCAACCACCACCCCCCCTTGGCGTATCTGGTATGCGACCATTCAACACGGCGTCTTCTTCTGAATCCCCTTCTTCAATTGCTACCTCCCTCCACCGCACTATTCCTTGCTGTTGGTCTTTTGTTCTTATTCTTCACATACTTAGATTTCATATTGGGGGATGTATGTTGTTTTCACTCTTCCCCGAATTCCCCCATTCTTGTGGATAATTCCTCGCGGGCGAATGATGCCTTTATCGTGGGAGTTCGTACAGTTTGACTCCCTCTGCGATCAGAATGAATATAGACATTTTGCACACGCTTTCATTCGTGAATCATTAGTGCTGGCAATGTACTCGTATTCTGCGGGTTCTTAGTTGTGCTCTGGTCCGTGGCAACTCAGATCATCAGTAAGATCCATATACCTTCGAGTCCTGGAATCCCTTTAGACGGATCGAATATTCCCACCTGGATCGAGTTATTAAGGCCTTGAATTTATAAACTACGGTTTATTGCATTATGGAATCATTGAAGTTGAAAATAAAGATTCATGTTTGATTCAAAACTCCACAAATGACGGCAATGCCCCAACCATCCACCAACACCTCCAGCCAAGCATCCAAAGACGAATATAAACAGAAATACAGTCATCAAAACCATTAAGACATCATCAATCACAACTGAAAGAGCAGACCAACTACGCTGACGCGCTGACCGGTGCCGTGCTGGCGGGTGTGCTGGCCGGAGCTGTTGTAGACCCGCTGACCACCTTGTTAAACCCAGCAGCGACGATCTTGGTAATCTCCTCATTCTTATGAGGGAGCAATGACAGCGCGTAGGCAACATCGTTCCACTGGCGTTCGGTCTCGCAGCGAGGCAGACGAGCAGCCAGCTTGTCGGAGAGCTGACGGGCATGTTTTTCCTGGTGAAACAATGTAAGTAAAACGAAACACTTGAACCAGACGAAATGAGGCTTACCTTCTCGACAAAGCCAATGAGGAACTTGACAATGCGACGCAGAGAAGGTTCTTCCAAGTTCCGCTCGGCACTCAGCAGACTGAACATGTCCACGAAGTGGTTGTACACGGCATTGTCCTTGGTGGCCAACTCGGTGAAGAACATGCGAGCCAAATCCGCAATCTTCTTGTCATCGTCCTCCAAGCACTTGGCCATCTCTCCAAGCTGACCCTTGACCTTGACCTGACCGGCAAGAATGAGGAAAGTCAAGGTCATAAGACAAGTCCGCTTGACGGAGGCATCGTCGTCATTGAGACGGCGATACAGAAAGTCAGTGTTCTCGTCGATGAGATGGTTGAAGCAGACGGCCATATCACCGAGCGCAATCACGGCATTGCTACGCACAATCGGGTCTTCCGAGCGCTCCATGATTGTGATCAGAAGCGGAAGATTCTTCTCACAGTACTCAGCAGACACGCACATAAGTTTCGCCATACACAGAGTCGCTGACGCCTGGAGGTCACGGTCTGGATAAGCATTGTTGTTTGCACAGATCTCGGCTACCAATGGGCCGAACTTGGCTAGCAGTGAGTTCTCCCCGTACAGAAGCTCACGCTCTCGGATGTGGGCCATGGCGTCTTGGAAGTCATCCTCCGTAGTTCCTCCAATAAGATCCAGTTCATCGGCATCGGCAGCTTCGCCTTCCTTTGAGGCAGTGGCCTCTGCTGTCTTGGTCTTTTCCTGCTCAGCCTTCCGGCGCTTAAAGTCCAACTCACATAACTCAAGGTGCACGATTTGTTTGATGGCAATATGACCAACAACGTACAAAAGTTGTGAGAGAGCAGCCGAGGAAGGTTTGGGCTTTGGATTTTGCTCTTCGGTAGAAGCAGTTCCTGGCCTTTGATCCTCAACGCTGGCAGTGGTGTGAGAAGAAGATGGGCGTTCATGCTGCTGCGGTTGGAAGACGAATCGCGTCTTGCGTCGAAGAATGTCAGAGCAGAGAACATCGGGGTGCTTAGATAGAGCGTAAATGGCACTGATTGCCTGCTCAGCAACGCCGTACCATTCCTTGCTCTCGGAGACGATCTCAAGAATGGCAGCAAGTTTGATCAAAACAGAGTGATCATTGGCGAGTTTGGGAACGGTGACGACATCCTTGGACTTGGCCTGGCGACCTGGCACCATGCGTCGCAGAGCAATACAAGTATACTTGGCGAGCACAAGGTCCGATCGACCCAAGCCGCCCAAACCAATGCGTAGCATCGCCTCGATTTCCTTCACGACCACGTCAGGATCTGCCAGCGCCAACATGCCGAGTACAATGATAGAACCCCGACGCTGGGTCTTTGAGATCTCCTTTCTCTGAACGCTGTAGACCTGCCACAACTTCGCAATGACTGCCTCTGAGATATGACCAGCCTTCATCATGGTGCTGAGCAGCTGCTCAAGGCAGGTGAGCTCTGCCGGCGTTGCTCCAAAAGTCAAACTGATCATGTTTCGGGCAATGTAGTTCGCAGCATCATTCGAGCTGAAAGAGTCAGGTGCGTCAAAGAAGAGGCCCTTGTAGCAATCAATCAGGTGAGTTTGGACACCCTTGCCTTCATCGCTGTTGCCCTTGGTCCAGATCAAGCGAAGCATGCGCCGGATGCCGCTGCGAGCCGTCTCTACCTTGTATGCATCAAGCATCACGAAGAAGTCCATGGCCTCAATAACCTCGCTCTTGTTGCGAGACGACAACAGTTGAGAGACAATCGCAGATGCCGAATGGAGAACCTCAATGAAACGAATAGCCTCATTGTAGTACTTTCTCGTAAGTTGCAGCCGGGTCAACAACTCAGATGTGGCGGCTTGCTCAGCTGCCTTTTCCATGGCCTCCGCCTTTTCCTCCTCTGTCATTCGGGGCGCCTTCGATGGAGAGTCGTCGGGCAATTGAGTTGCGTCATCTAGTAATTCAGGGTCCACAGTCGTAACGTCTCCATCAAACCCGGGGGTCTCTGCAGGTCGGAGCGAGTTCAGCTCCTGATCGACACCATCAAGTCTCTCAGTCCACTCTTTCTGAGACAGCTGACCACCGTGCATGACACTGAATGGATGAGTGGCCACTAGCTTTGATAACAACTTGATTGCGTTTCGCCGGACGTTGCTGCTCTTATCTTCCAGACTTCTCGCAGCCAATTGGGCGGCAGCTTGTCGCCTCTTGGGGAACTTCTGTTCCAAGTCACAAATTCGCATCAGAACTTGAATTGCACGGCAGCGGCAGTACGGGTTAATGTCGAGGAAACGCTCTTCCAAAACATCGAAGAACGCATTGATTTGCGTCTTGGAGTTTTCGCTCGGCTCTTCTTGTCGGCTCAAATCAGATATCAGGTTACCGCACACCTCGATGACTGCGCATCGAAGGGTATAGGCCTGAAAGGGTTGTCAATTCTGTCCATATGTAAAGAGGGAGGATAACGCATACCTCGCTATCGAGCTGCTTTGCTAGAAGGGTCATTTGTTTTATGATCAATCTTGGGGCAAGCTCAGACAACTTGATGATGAAGGCAGAAACTGATTTGGGTCCTCGGGTGTCGTTTGAATTGAACTCTTTGTTTCCAAGCTCCCTGGTCCGAGGTTAGCCACTTCTTCCCCTTTTAATGAAACAGAGCAGGTGACGTACTTCAGAATCTCATCCGAAAGCTGCGGGTAATCATACTGCTCCGCGAGAATGTGGAGGAATTCGGCCATAGGCTCTGACAGATGTTCAAAGTATGTCAAGCTCTGCACAATCGAGGTTTGCGCGCCTATCGCAGTAGTCAGTAGGATGGCCATACGAATCGATGAATTCCCCGACGCGTACCGAAAGCATGACCATGGTGCTTAACCGCAATACAGAGGACCTTAAAGGCATGCATGCGAATAGCCATGCTCTTCACTCGCTGTTCGCTCTCAAGAATCAGATAGATAGTGCGCGTGAACAGATTGATAAATGTATCGCGGTCCGAAGTCGTCATAAAAATACGGCCAAGCTTGAGTTTCATCACCTTGCACATGGTCTCCATGGAAATCTGGATCTGGGGGGTCCAATCCCACTGTCCATCCTTGGCAGACTTCGACCTAGACTTGGGGCCTCCCCGACGCGCAGGCGCAGACTCGGCCGGTTTCTCGGCCGCCTTTACCTCCACGGCGGACAGAGCCCACTGGAGAAGAAAGCCATACATCTCCAAAAGTTGCTTGTGGTGTTGAATCGCATCTTGTTCGTCGGATTCGAGGTCGCTATGAATAATGTCGGCCTCAACGGATAGTCCAGAGACAATCAAGTCAAGGACTTTGCTCAGGGATTTCGTGGGGAGAAAAGTGGTATATCTGCAAGGGTTCAAACGTTCAGAATCGGGTCCAGGCGAATGAAAGCCTCTGTGGGGGGCTTGGGAAGGGACAGGGGCGTACTTGAGTAGAAATTGCAGCGATTCGAAAAACGATGATCTCGTTAGTCCTTCTGGGTTCTCCGCTACTGCGTCAACGATCGGGTTCAACACATTGTCAACGAGCGCCGTCGACAGCTGGTTCGGGTCGGACTCGCAATCCAGCAGCTCGGGGTCTGCCTCGGGGGTCGGGATAGAGGCCGGGTCACTCAAGTAGTACTTGAGCGACTCGTTGATGTTGAACTGTATTCTATCCTCCATGGCGGCGGGTTGTTGTGTTGTGATGATGAGATGAAGAGAGGAGGAGGGCGGGAGTGTTGATCAGCGGGTGTTTGGCTTTTGCCCTTTTCGGCCGCTTTCTTAGGTAACCGCGCGTAATTTACGTTGTTTGGTGTTCTCCGCCCGCCAACACCGCGGGACGGTATTGTCACCATCGCGTATTGCCGTGTTGCTGTCGGAGAAAAACAACGGAGCTTTGGTTGGCATTGTTTGCGCTGCCCTCGCTTCCTCCCCCTCGACACCCTCGGCACTTCTCACGCCCTGTCTCTTGGTCAACTTACAATTGAACTCTTTGATTGTGCTTTGAATAACCTCTCATTCACCTGTGTACTCGGGACGAGCCTACAGTCGCTATGTCTGCCCTGCGCGGGGGTGCCCGCGGGAGTCTTCGAGCTCAAGCGCAGCAGCTCCGGTCAAGGCCTCCAAGCAGCAAAAGAACGATACGCGTCTGAAGAAGAGGATCGGAGGACATCTCAAGCTGAACGACCTTATGGAGAGAGCGAATACGAGGAAGAAGAGGAGGTGGACGAGACGGTGCGGGAAGATATGAGTAAACTGGAAGACACCTTTCCAGGTATTTCAGAACGATTCCGACTGATCAATCGGATTGGAGAAGGTATAGTATACTTCATCTCTCTTAAGACGATTTTAAACCGCAATGACTGACAACTACCTCCAATCAAGGGACGTTCTCTACCGTGTACAAGGCCGAGGATCTACTTTACGACCATTACCATAACGACTGGGATATTTTCAGCCAGGCGCAAGAGCAAGAGCAAGAAGAATGGGACAATCCCCCGTCAAAAAGGCGCCGGGTAGATGGGAATTCTGGAGGACGCAAGAAGGCTCGATTCGTGGCGCTCAAGAAGATCTATGTCACAAGTAGCCCAGTTCGCATCCAGAACGAATTGGAGCTTCTCCATGATCTTCGAGGGTGCAAATCCGTGTGTCCTTTGATCACAGCCTTCCGGTATCAAGATCAGGTTGTAGCAGTCCTGCCCTACTTTCCGCATACCGATTTTCGCATTCAGTACCGCACGTTCATGGTAGCAGACATGCGCCACTATCTGCGGTCACTTATAACGGCACTGAAGTCGGTCCACGAACATGAAATCTTGCACCGAGATATCAAGCCAACGTATGTGATGTCGACGCGTTCGAGTTTATTTCACCACTGACATGTCTCTCGCAGCAACTTCCTTTACAATCCTGAGTTGAAAGAAGGTGTTCTTGTTGACTTTGGTCTGGCCGAGGTATGTGCAATTATACAATCGCTGTTTTGGACCTGAAATCTCGACTAATTACTTTTCACTATAATAATAGCGGCAGGGTTCCGAGTACAGCAGCCCATGCCTGTGCTCTCACCAGAACTATGTCCGCCGCAGCCGGATACTAACCAGCTACTTTTCCAAAAACCCGCCATCGAATGGCATTTCAAGCGGTTATCCCAAGGCCGATTCCAGGCCATCAAGGCGTGCAAACCGCGCCGGAACACGTGGCTTCCGAGCACCGGAGGTCCTATTTAAATGCACTTCACAGACAACCAAAATCGACCTGTGGTCAGTCGGCGTGATTCTTCTTACATTGCTTGGACGCCGTTTCCCATTCTTCAACTCGGCTGACGACATTGATGCTATGATCGAAATGTCAAGCATCTTCGGTACTCGGCGGATGAAGACAGCCGCCGCTATGCACGGGCAAATCTTTGAAACCAATCTGCCCACCATTGGAGAAAAGGGATACAGCTGGGAGAAGCTGGTCAAATGGTCCAGCTGCGTGGAAGACTTGACTGAAAGCGAGTCTCAAGCGACCCGTCTGCTGGGCGGATTAATGGAACTCGACCCGTCCAAACGCTTGAGCGCCGAGGAGGCTCTGAATCATGAGTTCTTTACGGACCCCGTTCTCCACGATGTGGAATGGGGCGGCCACCCAGAGGATGCCAGCGTTGATTCGGAGGAGGATGACGAAGCGGGCGAAGACGAGGCCGATGAGGTCGCCATGCTATGAGATCCAAGATTTGTACGATATATGATGCAGTTCTGACCATACCAAGTACCTGCTTGAATCTTTTGGTATTTGATGATCCAATTGTCTTGGGACAAACCCCGATGTTTCTCTAAAAGTAAGAGTAAAAGTGAAAAAAGCCTTCCTGTCCATGCCAAGCTGGGTCAGCTCAAAGTCCGCGCCAAGTTCCCGCTCCAGATGCCATATGAACAAAAATAATCTCTGATCTAGGGCCCGTTATCAATCAAGCCGCTTCTCCAAAGTCGTAATGACCAGTCTCTGCCGCATGTTTCGTGGCCCCCTTCTCTCCAGTAAAGGTGCCTCCGCAAGTATTGCAGCGCACCAAAAACCCCGCTGTATCTGTATAATAGTGTTTGTTCTGCAAGACACGACACATCTCCTTAGCCTTTTTCAGTACAACGGGATCGGCAGCATCAAAGATTTTGGTGTCATTCGGCGCAAACAAGTTGGCATGTGTATAAGGGGGATCCGAGGGACAGAGTGCAAGCACATCGTAATGAATACCCGAGTACACAACGATACACCGGGTCGGGGCTCCCTCGTTGAACTGGAAAACATGAAGCGTCTGCACATCGATGGAACAGATCTCGATGTTGAAGTACTCGCTGATAATCTTGAGTTCGATGGCTCCGCCCCAAGAGTCTTCGTTCTGAATCCATTGGCAATACTCATCCGGCTTCTTGCCCAAAATCGCCGCAGTGTATTCTGTCGGATTCGACTGAATGGCGCCTGCGACGATCGATCGTAGCTCGACCATGGTATCCATATTGCCCATGACCGCGGCTCCTACCGCGCGGAACAGACAGGAGTTATCGTCCGGCATGACACGCAACACGAAAGTGCCGCCGTGTTCGGGGGAGGCAATCTCCGGCGGATCGTCGGCGGTTTTCTCTGGCTGTTGCGACATTGTAGACGAAGGCTGTGGTCGGGGTTGTAGCGGTGGTTGTTGCTGGGAGGTAGAGCCACTGGGCTGGGCAAGGGTCTCGCTAGAAGATGCGCCAGAGTCTCGCTGTGCGACGATAAGCTGCTCCCCATTCAGGTTGATGCCCGTGTCGGATAAGAGTTGGTTGGGTTGAAAACGGTCGAGATCCAACGGCTTGAGGTCTGGATATCCATATTTAACATCGAAAGAGGGGAGGCCTGTCTTCTCCGCGATCTGTCCTCGTAGGTCCTGGACGGTGGCCGAATCGTCCAGAGTGACCGTTGACTGGCCCGAAGGCCCGCGCACTCGTAAACGCATAGGAGGTAGTTGACTTGATGGTTCAAAGCTCTGCTCACGGTTGTCCAAGGGTGTTGAGAACGAAAACGACGGAGACTGGCAGGGACGCAGGCAGGTGGTTCCACTGCGATAAGTGAGGGAGCTATGACGCTGGGGGTCCGGTGTGGGGTAAGCAGAGCACTTGACAGACATCGGGCATCTCGCCATGAAGTCGTCTCATGAAGAGTTAGATAGCCGCTGGATACTCAGCACCACTGGCAAATATTCATCTTTTGAGGGTCAAGAACATTGGAGTCTCCAGCAGCAAAGTAATCACAAAATTCAATATTCGGTTCCATCAGTTCGAAGAAGCCCCGACAAGGCTTCAAAATCATCCTAGCAGCCACTTATTCAATAGAATGATAATTCGAAAGAGAATGTGCAAGACCCCAAATAAAGACAATTTAAGACATCATTTTATAGGATCTTTCACAATAAAGTAAGTAGGCATTTCTGGGTTGGACCGTGTCTCTGGTCTTTATAGATTCGCAATGCGGAGATCAACATGGCTTCCCCCCCCCCACACATGACCGTGTCTGGCCAATACGATGCCAAACTCCCGCTGAGAGAACTGGCCACTCTTCTGCGTGATTTACAACTGTTTAAAAAAAATCTAGACGACTACGAAGTATTTTGGGGCTGTTGGTGCCTCCGTTACCATCTACACTTTGCTCCGGGCCTTGTTAGCCTAGCAAACTAGGCCAGCACTTGACAATACAGCGGTATCTGAGTTGTAAAAATACCAATGACTCAGCAAAGCGCAAAACATCGTCCCCTAGAGGAGATGCAACCCAGCTCTCCTCAAAAGCTCCCTTGACTTCCTCGTCTCATCTCCTTGAACGCACACCACGCGCACTGCGGTGACAATGAGCAGCATGGAGTCGCCCGAGCGTGAGAAGTCTGTGCCTCAGCCCGAGGAGCCCGTCAACTCCATCGAGGATGACGGCGCCGTCTCGGAGGATCAGTGGCAAGGCATGGGGGATATGCTCATGGCAATCTACGATTTTCGCGAGCCAGAGTAAGTCCAGTCCTTGAGGTGGCTGACACTTATTTCGATTGTCCAGCTAACCGCGCCGTTGTAGTGGTCACGATCCCTCGCGACTGTTCCATCGAAGTGTCAACAAGCGCATCGTTCCCGACTACTACGATATTATCAAGGAGCCAATGGCGCTCAGCATCATCAAGCAGAGAATCAACAAGCGGGAATATAAGCAAATTGCCGATTTTGTGCGCGATTTTGCCTTGGTAGGCTACACCTGCACATCTCACCGAACTTTCAACGGCTGACTGACTATTCCTTGTTTCCCAGATCCCTCACAATGCGCAGACCTATAACCGGCCCAAGTCGCAAGCGTACGAAGATGCGCTAGTCATCAAGGTATGTAGGCGAAGACTGCATCGACCAGTGCCGACAAGAGCCAAGGAACGCGACTGACACCACTGCGCGTCTAGGATGTCATCGTCTCGGAGCTGAAGAAGTTGGTCGAGAAAGATCTACTCAACGCCGAAGAATCCGAGTTGCCGGATCTAGGCGAAATCCCAGAGGCTGATCCTCTACCGGATGATGATGAGGAAGATGAGGAAGAAGACGAGGACGACGAGGAGGATTCCGACGATGAGCGCCGGAAGAAGAAGCCAGGCCCGAAGCCAGGTTCCAAGCGCGGAGGTCCTAAACAGGAGCCTGATACTCGCAAGAAACGCGGGAGGCCCCCACGGGTGGATACTCCAATGGAAACTCGGATTAAGACCATTCTCAAGGGAATCCGCAAGCACAAAGGCCCCGGTGGGCAGCTCAAAATCTCCCATTTTGAACGGCTCCCGGACAAGATCGCCTATCCTGATTACTACATGGAGATCAAGGAGCCGATTGCCATTGATATTATCAAGCGCAAGGCGAAGCGCAAGAAGTACAACTCGGTTGATCACTTCATGCGGGATCTCGATCTAATGTTCAACAACGCCAAGGCGTACAACCAATCAGAGAGTCAGATCTACAAGGATGCTGTGGATCTACAGGCCGAGGCGCGCAAATTGGCCGAACAGGAGAAGAAGAAGCCTGATAGCGAATATTTGATGGAAGACGGGCGCTTCCCCTTGCCAGATGGCATCCTCCACAACAACGAACTGTGGAAAGTTGGCGACTGGGTTCACATTCAAAATCCCAACGATGTTTCCAAGCCAATTGTCGCCCAAATCTATCGGACGTGGCAGGACTCGGAGGACCAAAAATGGATCAATGCATGTTGGTATTATCGCCCCGAGCAGACTGTCCACCACTTTGAGAAGCACTTCTACCCCAACGAAGTGGTGAAGACTGGCCAGTACCGCGACCATCGGGTCGAGGAAATTGTCGACCGTTGTTTCGTCATGTTCTTCACGCGCTACAGCCGAGGCCGTCCACGCGATCTCCCGCCAGATAAGGACATTTATGTCTGCGAGGCTCGATACAATGAGGAGAAACACAAGCTCAACAAGATCAAGACATGGGCTAGCTGCTTGCCCGATGAGGTGCGCGAGAAGGACTATGAAATGGATCTATTTGATGTACCGCGCAAGATCAAAAAGGTCCCGAGTCCGATCAAGCACCTGCTTAAGAGCGATGCCAAAGAAACCGACGATCTTCCTCGACCGACTTGGGGCGCTGATAATGCGCCGCCAGTAGTGGGTGCAGTGCATCGTCGCCCTCGAGACGAGAATGTAAGTTACTTTTGAGGTCTTTTCCAGAGAACCCTCCAACTAACGTGCCTGCTCCCTAGGAATCTCCTCCCCCAGAGCCCACACCGTCTCCACCCCCTCAACCGCCTGCTCTGCCACCACAGGCCATGCCAGTAGCCACTCCCCGTCAACCTATGAGCCAACCAATAATCGCAAACGCCAATATGATTCCCGCAGGAGCTGTGGCAACTCCACAGCTTCAAGCTCCATCACCCGCAGTTCCAGTGGCACAGACGTCACCAGTCCCCGTTCATCAAGCCCCATACCAGGGTCAGATGAATCCGCAAATGTACCAAGGACCGAACCAGCGGCGCCCAAGCAATTTCGTGCCACAGACCCCAACTGCAAGCTACCAGGCCTCCCCGGCAGCACCGCAGTATGCACCAGCTCAACCATCACCATACGGCAACTACCCCACCAACCGCATCCACCCTACCGCAGCCCCAATCTACAATCCCAATGCGCCGCGTCCAATCGAAGTCTACCATCTCAACGACGCCGCCAACAGCGCAATCCCGGCCGACATCCGCTCCCAATTCCACTGCGACGCACAGGGCCATGTCCTCTTCTTCTCCGTGCCACCACTAGACCTGATCCCACCATCAGAACAAAAACTAGGCCACTCACTCAAGTACCTCGCCTCAAAGGAGGAACGAGCGAAGAAAGTCGCCGAGCGTAAACGCAAACGCGCCGAAGAGCAGCGAGACCGCGAAGAAGCAGCCAAGCGCAAGCGTGCCGATGAAGAGAACGCCTTAGCGGGCCAGATCGAGTCATTGACCCCGAAAGCTATTGAGACCATGGTGCTACAAGTGGTTTCTAACACGGATCAATTATACCAGGCTATCTACGATAACCAAGCAGATAGCGTGCGGGCCGCAGATGAAAGGGTCCGGGAAAGCCGAATTCAGGCTGATCGAGTCAAAAGCCAGTCGACCGCGCGGATTCAGGCGCAGACTGAGGATGAAGGGTTTGTGAGTTTGAAAGGGAGTGCCATGTATCTGGGGGATATTTGAGCGCGGAAATGAACATTCTGCAGTGGAATGAATATCAGGGAGATAGACCCCAAGTAGAATTGGGAATTGATCGTTTCTTTTCTCATGTTGTCTTTCCATTGTGCACTTTATTACCCGTTTCACTGGGTCACGGCAGGCGTTTATTGAAGATTGATGATTCTGGCAGGGGCAATGGAAAGGCAAGGGCGTTTGCTGGGAGATGTATTCACGTTGCTGTATTGATACTGCCAAGGAAAGCCGAGAAATCAGATTGGAAATTAAATCTGAAGTTAATCATGTGAACAAGATCACTATTTAAAACACAAGACTACGACCCAAGATTATCCATGCAATATACAAAGGTTACAGGTGAGAAATATTCAGAGTAGTCAGTTGATAAACCGGCAATATTTGCACATCTCTCATTTATCAATTGTCATTTGTACAGCGCGGGCAACCCAGGCCAGACCAGACTGGAATGCGACGAAGGTAAAAAAAGGGCATCTCGAAAGGATCCCGAGCAGAAAAGGAAAACACCAGAACCGTCCAAATAACAGAGAAGGGTAGAGAAGGGAGGGGGAGAGGGAGAGGGGGAGGTCAAGGGAATGAGGATCGTTGACTGATAGAGAAGAACAGGCCAGGCAAGGTTAACAAAAAAGGAGAAGAACCATCAATGACCAGCCTGTCAAGCCTGCACTTCCCAAGATCTATCCCCCGATCACAAAGATCACAAAGAGAAAAGAAGGAAGATTAATACAAGAGTAGGGCAAGAGCCCAGATTCGATTTTGAAAGACAACAAGCCCAGTCTGGAGGAGCCCAATGAAAATGGAAAAGTGAAAGGGAACAAGAAAACTGAAAGACAATGCGACAGGTCTCTAAATGATCCAGAAGAAAAGGACAAGAGAAAGGTACGTATAAAAAGCAGAAACCACAAAGGACTGTCCAAAAGCCAAGTTCCAAGTAAGAACGACAGAAGAAAGCGGCAGAGTCAGTCTATGACGAGCAGAGTCGGTCGATGAGTCTTAGTATGCCCCGGTAAGTGAAGGATTGAACTCACGAGTCCTGGCATGAAGAGACCGAGAGACGCGGGTGATTGGTTCAATCCAGTCAATCCAAAAAACGGAGGAAGATCAGTGAAAGGGGGTGGTGCACTTTTAGATTCCGAGATATTTTGACGCTCCGTGATGCTGAATGTGCCCTCAAAGATGGGAAACAAATTGAGAAACAATAAAAACAAAGAAAAGGGTGACAAACTCCAATGACCTCTTTTTTGATATGAGTATGTCCATAACTGTGGACGCCGCTTGGCCCGTGTCGTCGTGATCGTAGCGAAAGAGTGCAATGTGCAGAAATGCAAATTGCAAAATTTGCAAAATTGCATGTACAGAAACCAAAAAAAAAAATAATTAAGAATCATTTGAGCTCTCTTTGCTCTCAGAGTTCCAGGAAGAGCTGTTGCGCTTGTTCCCTTCTTCCTCCTCCATGGAGAAGACCAGGTCACTCTGTTCCTCCTCGTCGATCTTGCTGGTTGTTGAAGGGATGGTGCGATCGAGGCGGCCGGGGCCGGTGGAAGAGTGGCGGGCCGAACCGGGGTGGAGAGACAGACCGCTCAGCTGTTCGGAGATCATAGACATGGAAGACTGGCGACCAGGACTGGAGACGAATGGTGAGCCATCGTACGAGGTGCGGCTGCCAATTGGGCCCAAACTGGGGCTACCGATAGCGTTCAATGACGATTCGCGGAGTGGAGAACCAATGTGAGGGAAAGATGAGCCGACGGCATCTTCTTCCTTCTTTTGTCGCTGTTTGGCAAACAGGGCACCAAAGCGAGATGGACTAGATGCGAGCGGGGATCCATTCTTCGAGAAACTAGCGCTGGTCATGCCGAGGCTGCTGACGTCGCGGTGGCTGGAGCTGAGGTCGTGGTCAGTTCGGGAGAGGCGGCGTAATTTCTCCTGTGGTGTAAGAACATCATCATGCAGGTTCATAGGCAGGTAGTCCTCCTCCATAGGGAAATTCTCATCCCAATCGTCAAGCAAGGCAGGGCGAGGCACACTCGCAGAGAGCATGCGGGGGCTTTACGGAACGGGAGGAGTGCAAGAACCGGGGCCCGATGGAGTCTTCAGGTGCAGGGGGAGAAGACCCAATATTCGACGATTGCTTCCGCATGTCGTAGCCCACATCACGAATATTCCGGAAAGGATCCGAGGGGCCCATTCGCTGGGCTGGAGGGGAGGAAAGCTCCAGGCCGAATTTCGAGGGCACCGAAGCAGCCACGGGACCATAGCGAGCCGCATGGGAAATTCCCTGACTATCAAACGACGCGGGGAGCGGGGCATCCAGGGCCGTCAGATGGCGGGCACTAGGGGACATGGGAAAGCGCACATCATCCGCGGGCGAGCCGTACTTGGAGCCGGCATCGGAGGCGAGTCCGGTATCGATTGTGGGGATTGCATCGTAAGGTGCCTGTTGCTGCTGACCCTGGATAAAGCCGGTCTCTTCTTGCGGGGGAAGCTGCTGGGGATATCTAGGCTCGTGACCATTCAAACGCTGCTGCGAGAGGACGGAGTTCGTCAATGCAGAATCCTGGTTGACGTATGCCTGCGGATTGACACGGCCTCCCAGATTCAAATGACTACCACCACCAATACCCATACCACCACCGCCGCCACCTCCACCAGCTCGATTCACACGGCGGCCATCAGGAAGGATATGCGCGAGAGCGCATTTTGCGCCGAACTTGCAGTTACCCTAGAAGGAAACCAAAAAAAGAGAGCGACCTTGGTCAGCCGCCTGATCAAATTTGGGGAATGCATTGAAAAACGGACTGAGAGGCGCGAGTCAACTCATACCTTGGTAAAGTATTTACAAGGCGCATAGTCGATTGCGGCATCGGTCGAGTGCAGGAACGGACAAGCGGGGCCGGCCTGGCAAGCACCCTGGCGGAAGAATTTGCAGGGAACATGTTTAGTGTCTGCAGAGTAATCGGAGAAAAAGATAATTAGCTTATGGTTAAACGGACAGCGACAGGTAAACGAGTTGGAGAAAGTGGCAGATGGGGTTGTGGGCGAGATCGTAGAGCACGTACTCTTATTGCTCGGGTTGGGCGGGCTGCGAGCCATGTCGAGACTGGAGGGGTTGCGGGAATGGCCGTTTTGAAGGCCCGAGGGCACGGGGAGAGGCGCACGACCTCTCATTTCAGGACGATTGGGACGAGACGAAGGAGGGCGAGAGGCCGAGAGCATCGCCTTGGGGGGAAATTCAATTTCGATGGGGGGATGAGGGGAGAGGACTGGAGGGGTTTTGGTTATCGGAGGTGAGAGGGGAAGAGTCGGCGCGGGCGGTGAAGCTGTGGAAGGTTAAAAAAAGTACTTCACCCAGTACTTGTAGGGGAAGACTGACATCCACGAGAATAAGAATAGAAGAGGATAAAGAAGAAGAAGGGAAGAAAAGAATACTACTAATACACAGGATGACTGTCTATCTCCTGATAAGTATAGGGGCCGGGAATGGGTGTGCAGATGATGATGATGGGTTGTTCTCCTCGAGGAAGTCCTTCTCCACAGCGTCTCGTTGGTCGTCCACCACAACCACAGCCCAACAGGCTCATCTGCACTGTTCATCTGATGTGCCTGGAAATAATAATAATTATTATTATGATTATTATCATAATCGTAATAAGAGTCGCCTCCCGGGTTGCCTCCATTCCGCAAAATCCGCTCGCATATCTCCGAAATCTCTGATTCCCTGAATAATCCTGCTTCAAACACCTATCAAAGCGTGACGAATCGTCCCCGGTCACGCCCTGCCTTCGCCTGCGCTCACTAGTACTGCTCAAAATGGATTTCCGTATCAGAGAGAGCAGAAGAGCAGAAGAGCAGAAGAGCAGAAGAGCAGAGAGCTCAAGGCTCCGCTCAGGCCGAGCCGCAAATCACGCTTGTCGAATGATGTGATCGTGTGGAGAACGAAGCAGATCAAGCGTCCGTACCCGACCAGCTCTCATTGGAGCGTTCCTTCAAGCCCCAAAGACTCCTGCTCGCCCCGGTCAGTACTTCGTCCGCGTTTCTCAACTTTTCCGCTTCACTCGACTTGACCTTGTGTGTGGTGTGGCTTGGCTTACCCATAGCTCCGACGCAGTCGTATCTTCCGGCAAAACCTCTGAGCACCGCCCCCACAGTTCGCGACAGATGCGACGGCGGATGGCGGCATGTTGCTGCCATTGTTTCCAGTCGCGCTCCAGTTGAGCACGCGCCTCGAGGGACATTTGAGGTTGATCGTCACCGTAGAGTTTGCCTAAGCGTACTTGGGCGGCGTCTCGTTGCTCCTGCAGGCGGCAGATGTCCTCTCGCAGAGTGGAGAGTCGTGGTTTAGCTTCGAGGGCAACCAAGGCAACTCGGGCCTTTTTCTCATTTGCCTTGATGGTCGAGAGTTCCTCTTGAAGCGTCTCGATCTCCTGACCCAGAGCTACGAGGACCTCGGGGCTTGCGCTGTCTGATGATTTCTGGAGGACATGATAAACTGTCTGTTTCCCTGTAGATAACCGCCCCATTCAATCAGGGAAATGACCTCAGGCTGCGCATGCGGGGTGGGGGGAGGGTCCACATACCTGCAGTTCGTCCTTCGATCTTGCCATTCTGATGCAATTCCTTTAACACCTTGGCGGCTTGAGCTAAGATAACACCATCAGCTCACTGGGAATATGTATCAATGATTGCAGGTTGCACTGGGCCGGACTCACCTTTCGTGACCTTGTTGTGTAGATTCGCCGAGACATCGATAGCCTACGCTCACCACTATCAGCGTTTTCTTGGTCAAGGCAGGATGAAGGCGCATACCGAATATGGACGACTGCAAGCCGGAGAGTCAGTGTTAATCCTTCGCGCGAAAGGGATCAGAATTATTTACTTTTGTTCACCTGCAACAGCATTGAATCAGACTCTGTGGACCAACTAAATACATAGCCATCGGAAGAACTCACGGAGGTAGTCAAGAATCAGAGTGGCATCTTGTCACCTCGTCAGCATCCAGACCTGACAACATAACGAGATCTACAGAAAAACACACCATCAGTCCCAGTCGCTTTCTCGGCTTTATCCTTGCGAGGTGCCATGATGGTTTTTGATTTGGCAAAGGCCAGACCGAGTGGAACTCGAATTTAAGGTGAAAGTTGGGATGAGAGATGAAGGAGATGATGAGATGAGGTGCCAAATTGGACGAGATCACCACACCAAACCCAAATCCTCTACCGTTTAAACTACAAACTACACATACACAAGAAAAACCAAACATACACAGCACATCTTCACAAAATGCATATTGAATGCTCTCATAAACGACTGCGCCGCGTATCTAGAAAAACAAAATAGACGAACAAACATATGTCCAAAGGCCCCACCCAGGGCAGCCATAATATCCGGAGCGTAAATGCAAATATGTGGGAACGAGACTTGGGAAGAAAACAACAGAAAAAGGAGACGTCGTCAACTAATTCACCTCCCGAAAGACAAATGTAATTTTAAGAGGGGGCTCCGGATTACAAGAAGGTATAAGAAATTGCAAAGAAAAAGCTCGAGCAGAAATGAAGCGGGGTGTCGGGGAAAAAACAAGGAGGAGAAGGGAAAAGACCAAATAGATGCAAAATGAATATGCCCACGGAAGACATGGGATGGCCAAGGAGGGAAACAAGCTCCAATGGAGAATGGACGGCGTCCGGGGTATCAATCACATTATAATCTGAGGAGATGGTTAGCTCATTCAAGTACGAAGAACGGCAAGCCCGAAATAGAGCGAATGAACTGAAATAGGGATAGGATACGTACGCAATCGCTGTCGTTCTTCGCAGAAGGGACACCCATTTCCTCGAATGTTTTGGGGCCCTTGGATGGCGGTGGAGCAGGCTTAGGCTGCTGTTGCGCGGGCAGTGGGCCCGCCGGCGGCTGAGGCGTCGATGAAGCCGAGCCTCTGGATGGCTGGCGCGACTCGTTGCGGGGAGGGAAGTTTGCAGATTGAGGGGAGCCCATGGGTCTAGGCGACGAAGGGTGACGAGGGGAAGGCAGAGGGCCAGGGCTGTGGCCAGAGACGGGAGTCCGCACGGGCTTGCGGTCTGGTGGTGCAGAGTCGAGGCGTGCAGGGCGACGGCGGTCCGCGCCTGGAGGTGGAACCGGTGCTGAGTATCCGATGTCCAGTCGGGGTGTGCCGCCGGGGCTGATCATGTTCGCGGACTGAGGGCTGGTGGGGCCACTGAGGCCACCCGGGCTATGCTGTCGGTAATTCATAGGTCCAGGTCCAGGAGGACCCCCAAGACCACCAGGGCCGCCAGCGCCGTAGGGCGGAGTACGACCTCCAGGCGGCCCGGGTGGGCCACCATAGCCAGGACCCGGGGGGACCATTCTGGCGAAGGTTGGGGTTGACACCAAACGCGGAACTTGGGCGAGGATCCGGCATCTGGTAGTTCTGCTGGCCTGGAGGTCGAGGACGAGCAGACCCACCTCGATCAGGATAGGGAGCGGCGGATGGGGGCTGATCGCTGAGGCTCATGCGTGAAGGGTCAGGCATCTCGATGTTCTCGGCAGTTGGTTCCAAAGAATTACCACGCTGGTGGGCATAACGGGTCGACTTTATACGAGAAATGGCAACATTTTCATGATCCTTCCTGGACAAAGTCTTTGATCGCGAAATGCTATCAATGCGCCCAGATGCATCTTTGTTGCCGTTGGCAGCGGCTTTGGAATACCAGCTCCGAGCTTCCCTGATATCGACAGGAACAAAGATACCGACCTCATAGAAATAGCCCAAGGCGAATTCGGCGGTGGGCAGGCCACTTTGTGCTGCACGTTGGGCATACGTGAATGCAAGCTCGTCATTCTTCTCAAAGACACCTTCATGACCACAAAGGAACCATTTGCTGATCGCCATCTCGGCTTCGGGTTCGCCCTGGCGGGCCGCAAGCGCATTGTAATGCAGGGACAGTGCGGGGTTGAAATCACATTGTAGTTGGCAAAGCTCGTATGCGGCACCCATCTTGACCTGAGCCTTGGCGAATCCATGATAGGCAGCTTTTTCGATGTTGACACGGGCAATGTTGAGATCGGGAGTGAGGTAAGGTTCGGGCACGCTGACTTGAGGGAGCTCACCAGCCAACAACATACCGTAGACCTAAGGTTTCGGTCAGATCAAATTTCACCGAAGAGGACCCATCCACCGGGGCTGGTTCACTTACATAGGCACCCTGCGGCGCGTTCTGGTCGCAGGATTGTGCAGCCAATCTGATATACTCCAAGCCTCTCCGATAGTCCTGACGCTGGCCATGTTGTCCGAGGAGAATCATCATTCCCAAGCGCTAGAAGAACAAAGTTAGAGATCCGATCGTAGCCCTCCGTTATCTTCCTCCCGGAAACAAGACATACGTAGCACGAAGCAGAATCCGACATTGACACACCGCGCTCATAATGTCTAATCGCCTTCTCCGGCTCTCCAGAGCTCTCAAACTGCATACCAATGCGATACTCGGCACGCGCATATCCCTTCTCCGCCGCACGCGTATAGGAGCGGAACGCTTCCTTCCGGTCGACACGGTAGCCGAACTTGCCAAACTCCATCCACATGCCCTTGATAAACTCAGCCTTGGGGTGCTGCTGACCCGCCAAAAAGTTGACAATGTTCATCGCATCCGTTCGCAGCTGACTCTCGACTTGAGGAGTGTGAGGCCGCGGTGGTTGAGTGGTCGACAGACGAGCTTCATTCTGCGCGGCGACCTCGACATAAGCGAGCGCATCTTGTGCCCATGCCAATTGCATCTCGGGGTCGGTGGTGGACAGAACGGCCATGCGGGCGCGCTCGAGACTTGCTTCCCGCTGCTCATCGGTGGGCGGGACATTTGGCGGGGGGTTCCGCAAGACGGGGAATGGGGAGAAATTGGGGTGATCCATGCTATCGTAAGTGGCAGACTGCGCGTAGGCGCCGTGATCATGAGCCTCAGCTTGCTGAGGTTGGCTCTGAACCGCAGACGACGTGCGCTCGGGAAACTGAGACCGGGGGGCGTATTGCGCGGGCGACTGCGGTTGGGCGCGGCAGGGGTCGTGGGCGCCGTGTTCCATCTGCGCGATGTTGTCTTGCATGTTTTCGGGGACTTCGGGCATGACTCTGCGCGGATGAATTAGCACGCGAACCCGCGGCATCGTGGGGGGAAAGAGATTGATTGACAGATGCCACAACAGGAAATGGAGGGGAGAAAGATCACACACCTTTGAGGGGAGGGGGAGATGACCTCTGGCATGTAAAAGTCATCCTGACCCCCTGGATACCAAGTCGCCCCCAGTCGCGGCTGACCACGACCCTGGCCCTGTTGCGGAGGGTGATTCATCTCGGGTATAGTGATTGAAAATTGGAAAGTAAATCGGCTGGGCAGCTGAGAAAGTACTGGGATACCCTCAGTCGCGGAGGGCAGCACCCGCGATCACTTTTTCCAAGGTAAATTTTGGAGAGAGAAATCGAGAGGAGCGGAGGGAGGGGGAGGGGGGGGGGGGTAAAGAGGGGAGGAGGAGGGGCGAAGGAAAAGATGGGAGAGGGGGAAGAGACGCGCCGAACCGGCTCTTTTGGAACTAAAGGAAGGCGATGGAACGAGGAGAAGAAGAAGAGGCGTTCGGAGATTATTATGATTATTATCTGGGTCGCGGGGCTAGCTTAATAGGGTCTCATTGAGGACTGTACCCTATCCTGTAACTAGTTGTAATTAGTTGGTTAGTTATAAAATCCAAATGATGACTGTACTATTCTAGCGACTGTAATCCTGCTAACAGCCAAACTCCAGTACACTGCCTGAGCAGCGTACCGAACAGACCGAACCACAGCCTACTTTAGCGCGAGTTAGGGCCCTTAAACAGGTGGCCTTTTACCTAGTGGAGGAGTCCAGGAACCAGTAGAAGACCCGATGGAAGACCCGATGGGCTGGGTGGCATGAATTTTGGAAATTACATGCTGTCTATCACTATCTGAATGATGGAGAAGATTGATTCTAGTATACTCCGTAGACCACATAGCACGGTAGGATATACATACTGTACTACAATCTCAATATCCAGGCGTATTATGGCTGTATAGCTATCTCAAAAGAGGTAGTTACCGGTCGGAGGCATAGTCCTACAGTTGATCCTGTAACCAACAGGCTCATTGGGCATGATACCCAAGTACGTAGACCATCACTTGATTGCTGTCCAACAATGCCCTGCCACACTCAGCTGAGGCTGGTGCAGAGAGTATTATTAGTCTGCGTAGGTTTAGAGAACAATGGCCAGAACCTAACTAGGCTGATGAATCAAAGGACAATGTTCGAGCGTTACAAGGGACTTTTTCTGGGATTGTTAGGATGATAAACTCCAGACTTCTGGTGCTGGAGGAGTTACAAAGTGCAAGGGTTGTTTGTTTGTATCTAGTTAATTGACGTTTGCTTGTGTCGTACTACTAAGCACGAAGCGGACTATACAAACCCCCACGTTTGGTTGGGGACAAGGCTTCGGGCAGTACTTACGACTCTCTTGTACTGTAGATGGATTTGTATTTCTTCGCCCATCTTCTATTTCCAATGATTAATCTATTCTTCCTCTATTATGGCATTTGCATTTTTCTTCCACAATCGGAGTCAACAGACGACCCCGACCAGGCCCGCACAACAAATTCTCTCCCCCCCTGGATGTTGCAGGGGCACTACTGGAGTATGTCTCTCCTGGACTCCTCTGGGGGCTCCACCAACGGGCTCTCGGGTGTTATTTTTATCAGCCGCGACTTTCCAGAAAAAAACCCTACCCGCTGATGCTGATCTTTTGAGTTCCCACCAGGTGATTTGTGTGGTTCTTTGGTCTATCTAGCTTAAACTCCAGGCTGTGTATCTGGCCACTGCCACCACGGCCACCAGCATGGCGACCACGGGGGCGCCACTGGATTTCCACCATCCGTTTACCCCGTACGACATCCAGCTCCAGTTCATGCAGGCCCTCTACGGCTGCCTTGAGGACGGAAAAGTCGCCGTCTTTGAGTCCCCCACTGGTATGCGCTAAGAGCCCCTCTTCCCCGAGCAAGGCCCCCTGATTTACTCCGTGTCTTCCGATCTGACGGCCGTAGGTACTGTACGTAGCATGTCTCCACTGCTCTGGTGATTCGGATGAGATGCCACCTTTGGCGAGATCTTCACATTCCCCCCTGGTATACTAAGACATTATTTCCTTTCAGGGTAAATCACTGAGCTTGATCTGCGGTTCCCTCACCTGGCTACGGGACCACAAGCGCAAGGCCTTTCAGGAGACCTTAGATCAGGCAGCATGTATGTGTGTCCCACCCTGTAGCTCTTGTCTTGCGTCATAGCTCATCTTATTCTGTCTCATTTTTTTTTGAACTAGGCGATGATGATGATGACCCAGAATGGATGGTGGAATTCGCCAAAAAGAATTCGCGTCGTGCCGTTGCTGAGAAAAGACAAGAGTTTGAGGCGCGATTAGCCAAGATTAAACGGGAAGAAGAGCGATTGAAGCAGGCCTCAACGACACAAGACCGGCCTCGTAAGAAACAGGTATGCATAACCTAGTCTGAAAACGTGTCTGTTCAAATCTCATCCCGACAACTCTGCATTTAGCGATTGGATGAGCCAGACTCGCAGCCAAGTCACGATGACGAGGAGCAGTTTGTCCTGGATGACTATGATAGCGAGTCTGAAGACCGCAAAAAGTCAAGCGAGTCAAGCGGGGTTGACGGCCTGTCTGCTAGTACCCTCGCTCTGCTAGAAAAGTTCAAGGGAAGTTTTTCGGCTCCGAAAAAGGACGACGACGAGGAAGATGACACAATCAAGATCTTCTACTGCTCGCGAACCCACTCCCAGCTCAGCCAGTTTGCAGGTGAACTGCGTCGGGTCACATTTCCATCAAGCATTCCCTCCGACCCGGAGAAGGACTGCAAGGAGGACGACCTGTCGAAGCTGGAGGAAGCCGTGAAGCACCTGTCACTTGGCTCCAGAAAGAATCTTTGCATAAATCCCAAGGTCCAAGCTTTGGAGAACAGCACCGCAATCAACGAGCGTTGCTTAGATCTGCAACAATCGGGTGTCGCTGCCGATAAGAAATGTTCTTTCCTTCCTTCCAAGGATCACGATGCATTGCTTCTCCAGTTTCGAGACCATGCCTTGGCTACGGTGAAGGACATTGAGGATATCGGGAAAGTGGGCAAGGAGATTGGCATCTGCCCGTACTATGCATCCCGCTCCGTCATCAAACACAGCGAGGTCAGTAAACATGCGAGTTCGACTACTGGAAAATGTATGTTGCTAATTCTTGTTTGGCAGATTGTGACATTACCATATCCACTTCTTCTCCAGCGATCTGCCCGTGAAGCCCTCAACTTATCCGTCAAGGGCCATGTAGTCATCATCGACGAGGCGCACAATCTGATGGATGCCATTGCCGGTATTCACTCGGTGACCGTCTCGTTATCCCAACTGCAAACGGCAATCACACAATTAACAACATATGCTCGCAAGTTCAAGAACCGTCTGAAGGGCAAGAACCGAAACTACGTTGCTCAAGTGATTAGGCTAGTGAGCTCTATCGCCCGCCACCTCCACGAAATTTCACACCAGAAGGGGCCGGCTGAGGGCTCGGTCCAAGTATCCGACCTCATGGCTGGCAAGGGAGTGGATCAGATCAACCCGTACAAGCTATCTCGGTACCTACAAGAGAGCAAACTAGCCCGGAAAGTCGACGGATATGTCGAATCATCGCAAGAGTCGCAAGGTTCACGGTCTCGAGACCGGTCCACCGTACCCGTTCTGTTCCATATACAGAGTTTCCTGTTACCTCTCATGAATCCATCGGAAGAAGGCAGGCTCTTCTTCCAAAAGGAAAAAATGATGTGCAACTTAAGTACATGCTACTTGATCCGACCAATCACTTCCGAGAGATTGTCGAGGATGCCCGAGCTGTGATCCTGGCCGGTGGTACTATGTCTCCCGTAAGTCTTGGACGAAGAAAAATGATTAAAGCCCTGCGATCTTTGCACAGCTAATCTCGCCACAGATGTCCGATTACATGAACCACCTATTTTCCTATGTCCCGCCAGAGCGACTTGATACATTTAGCTATGGCCACGTCATTCCTCACACCAACCTTGTAGCGCAATCTCTCACAAAGGGACTCATGGGCTCGGACTTTGATTTCACATACGAGGCCCGCAACTCCGAGAAAATGGTAAGCAACAATCCTGTTTTGCAAAGACCTGCCTTCGTACACGCTAACAATAAATCCACCAGATCACCGACCTTGGAAGAACAATAGCAACACTCTGCCAGGTTATCCCCGACGGTGTAGTCGCTTTCTTCCCCAGCTACGACTACCTCAGCCAAGTAATCAGCGTATGGCAGAAGCCCATCCCAAATGGCAACGGCTCAACAACCCTGAGCCTAATATCCAACAAAAAGAAAATCCTTTACGAATCACGCGACTCAACCGCATCCACAGACACCCTCCTACAAGAATACACCTCTGCCGTCTCAACGGGCCAAGATGCCCTCCTCCTCTCCGTGGTCGGCGGCAAACTCTCCGAAGGAATCAACTTCTCCGACGAACTAGGACGCGGGGTCCTAATCATCGGACTACCCTTCCCCAACATCCGCAGTGCCGTCTGGCAAGCTAAGATCAAGTACATTGAAGAAAAGACGCACAAGCAGCACTCCGGGATGGAGGCGGAGAAGAAAGCTAGTGCGGCGGCGGCTGGGCGGGACTTTTATGAGAATGCTTGTATGAGGGCCGTCAATCAGTGTATTGGGCGGGCTATTCGGCATGTCAATGACTACGCGGCTATCGTGATGATTGACCGGCGGTACGAGACGCCGAGGATCCAGGCCAAGTTGCCCGGGTGGATTAGGGGCAGTTTGGTTGCGAGTCCGAGTGAAAGGCCTGCGCAGATGACGGTCCAGCGGTTGTCAAAGTTCTTTGCTGAGAAGGCGAGATGAGAAGGGAGAAGTGGTGATGATAATGATACAGCGGTCAAGATAGCCGCACAAGAAGAGTCTTCGTTGAACAAAACATGGATCCTTATGAAGTAAAGGGATCTACAAGTCCTCGGGCTCGTGAAGTAAAGAGCAGACAGTTGACAACCACTGCGGCCATAAATAGGAAGACAAGACAGGAATTTCCATCCTTCGCCTCATAGAACTGCTCATTTTGGGGCTCTATTACCATGTCTCTGAGAAGTGTCACTCAATTCGGCCAGCCAGTAATTTGTATAATTAGACTACCACATGCATTACAAACGTTGATGAATTAAAAATAGCAGAATCCTTCTACCCCCGTGGATTGAACCCTCGGCTTTTTCGTCGCCACACAAACATCTCGCGACACTCGACGATGCTCATATACTTCATGCCGATGCGCACCCCCAACAATATCACCGTCAAATACCACCAAATCTCTTTCACCTCTTATGAAAGACTATTTATAATAGAATTAATATATTCTCCAACACTTTGGGATTATTTTGATCCAAAAAAAAATGTTTCAAGAGCGCAAAGACCTATCCGTGGTGGTGTCCTCTATATCCGGGTAGCATAAAAAGGAGGTAACCCTGCATCTCCGAGGACCCCTTCCTGGAAGGCGCCCATCTAGTGGGAAACTCGGCCGAAGCCGATTTCTTAAACCACTAGACCACTGAGGCGGAGGGTTACTGGGAGGAACTGGAACTGGGTTATAACCTCTCCTGACTTTGTATTGAAGGTAATTTATTGTCTGGAATACCAAAGCTTGGTCTAGTCTGGCCGGTCAATAATATTGATCGCTTTACGAGTTGCTGTATATTTATCTCATATAATGGTTTCTTAAGGAAGCTTCCCATGATGAACGATGATGCTATACAGTACTATCATTACCCGATATGGCTAGAACCACCCTGCGGGTCAAGGCGGTGGCAGAACGGAGACCAGGTGTCCCACGTGACCAACGACAACCCCAGGGCAGGGTTTGACCCTATCACGGGACAAGCGAATTGCTTAGCGCACAGTCTAGCTTTGCGAGCGTGGATTTCAACATCCGAGTCGGCAGCATCACGACCCTTCCCCCTTCAACGCCTAATTCTCAGACCGGTCTTGTCGCCAACACACCACCCGACAAGATGCCTACCCGTTTGTCGAAGACTCGGAAGCAGTGAGTCGACCTTTTTCCACCTCCCTCGAAATGTGTTCGTGATCGGCGCAACGTTTTCGATATCGCCGGCGCTTTTGCATATCGCACGACGCTCTCGACATAACACCTTCACTTGCACATCATACAACCACAAATACTAACCTCGTTCTTTTCTCTCTTACAGCCGCGGCCATGTTTCTGCCGGTTACGGTCGTGTCGGCAAGCACCGCAAGTCCCCTGGTGGTCGCGGTATGGCCGGTGGTCAGCACCACCACCGTACCAACATTGACAAGTACCACCCCGGTTACTTCGGTAAGGTCGGTATGCGGTACTTCCACAAGACCCAGCAGAAGTTCTGGAAGCCCACCATCAACCTCGACAAGGTACGTGAAATCGAAACGAGCCGGTCCATTTTGAAAGGAGAGGGAAGCGAAAAGTCCGGGAAGGCGAGCGAGGGGAAAAGGGCATCCGATGCATATTGTATATGCCCAGAGGACGACAGCTAAGACAACAAGAGCACGGGAAAATTGTTATACGATAAAATTGGGTGGAAATCAAAATGGACCGGCATCGTGAATATTGAACATGTTTCAGGAAAAAAGTCATGCTGACTTGGATTCTTCTTTCTACAGCTGTGGACTCTCGTCCCCGCCGAGAAGCGTGAGGCCTACCTGAGCGGCCAGAAGACCGACACCGCCCCCGTCATCGACCTCCTGCCCCTCGGCTACTCCAAGGTCCTCGGCAAGGGCCGTCTCCCCCAGATCCCCCTCGTCGTCCGTGCCCGCTACTTCAGCCGTGATGCCGAGCAGAAGATCAAGGAGGCCGGTGGTATTGTTGAGCTGGTCGCATAAGCGTTGAATATTGGTGCTTTTTTCCCGGAGAAGGCGGGTGAATCGGGGCAAGCGTAGCCCACTGGATTTGTGGGGGGTCTACGTTCGGTCTTGTGGAGGAAATCTTTCAACGTCTTATCCTGTCGGAGGAGGACGATTGGAAACTCGAAAAAAAGGCCGCCACGAGCTGAGATGGTTTGGTTTGGAGGCGTTCCAAAAGAAAAAGGGTTTTTGTGTATGCAAGCAGCATAGCATAGCCTCCGAATGCCCTTACGATTTCACATTGTGTTAAACAAATACCACAAGGAGGATTTTCAAACTTTTTTTCGCTCGATCTACTTGATTGTATGTGTGCCCGGGGTATTGTATTCAATATCTGGGTTTGAATATGCGGTTCATTGGTGGGAGTTCCCATCTATTATCTCTCGGGACCTATGCGAGTCTGGCCTATGGTGCTATGCTCCATCTTTCGAGTATGTGCTGGCAAGGCAGAACCCGACTCTCCATTGTAGGTCTGTGTATATTGTACCTTGGTCCAATGTGTATCATTCGATGCTATTTACAAGCTTCTCTATACCCGTAATCTATCAACCATGACGCCACTCAGATCTTCGACTCCGGCACCGAACCTCTCCGACCAGTCTTGTCCGCACTCATCGCCAGTGTTTCACTGATAAACCGAACAGCCTCATCAACCATCTTAGCCGTCGCCTCATGACCAGCAGACTTGTCAATGATATCCTCAAAGGTGACACCGCCATCAGCGAACCACCCATTCGACCCAACCGCGCTCTTGAACCAACCCAAAAACGCTTCTCCCCGGTGATACGGCACCAGCTTATCAATACCACCGGACAAGTTCAAGATCCGCTTACCAGCCAATAACCGTGTCAACAGCGGACGCAGCTCCTGCTTCTGTTGCTCCGTCGGCTCCAGCAGGGGTCCATCACGTTGCAGGCTCCTTGCGCCAGTATCCATGTAACCCAGAATCAGACCGGCGGGGTCATACTGCTTCACAGTATCCACAAAGGAAGACGGGAAAGCCTCTGAGCCGAGGATCTCGGCGCCAGGCGGGTTGGTCTTTGTCCAGGAGGGTAGCTTGGAGAGGCGGGCGCGGTCGGCCATCAGATTGAGGTAATCCGGACAGCCGATGATAACGACACCGGCGCTGATACGAGGCTCGTGCAACAAGCAGCTCCATGCGGCATGTCCGCCCAAAGACACGCCTAGCACCAAGTTCTCCGAGATTTTATGCTCGCCATTGGGGAAGATATACGCAGCAAGATAGTCCATTAGCAGCGAGGTATCGCGCGCGGTGCCCTCTATGAGTAATATATTAGCGCCAGTCAACTCCATAGACACCTTTGCCCGGCATCGAGCATGTAGTATGTAAGCACTCACGGAAAATAGAAAACATATCCTGCGCATGACGAGGATTCCCCTGCCTCCAAGCCTCATTGGCAAGCGGATCAACCATCCTCTCACCGTGATTGCGCTGGTCAAAAGCAACAGCAATCAAGCCCTTTGCCGACGGAGTAGCCTGAGTCTTGCCATTCCAGTCATTGATAGTTGCATCCGCGATACCAGTCATACGCGCCTGCGTCGCAAGACGGGGGTGCAAGAGCCACAGGCATGCGACATCTGTAGCCTGGGAGCGGAGTTCCTCGAGGCCGTAGACTGTGATGGAGATACCGGCGATGTTGTAGACCTTTTGCGAGACTGGGGCGGGCTTGGGGCGGCCGGCGTCGTCGTAGGACTTCAATGGGTCGGTCATTGTGGCAGTGGGTTGGTCTGACCAAGGTGGATGTTGATTTGGGAGGACTTTGTGGGTTGGATAGAGAGAGATGTTTTCTGACTTGATCAGTTGGGTAAGCAGTTCCCCGAAATAATCGCTGGAGTGGCGGGGAAGTGCCGTGCCGACTCGGGTATATAGCGAAGGAGCCGAGGCGCGCCTGCCGGCTTAAACGGGGTTAAATGCGAACTCTCTTAGATGCTATAACCCAGTTCCAGTTCCTCTCAGTAACCCTCCGCCTCAATAGTCTAGTGGTATAAGAAACCATGACAACCCCGGCTGAGTTTCCCACTAGACGGCCCCCTCTAGGAAAGGGTCCTCTGAGGTGGAGGGTTACCTCCTTTTTATGTTTGCCCTAATATTGAGGGGCTATCTCTATACCACCCTATGATCAAATTTTTGTGCTTTTTATACAAAGATGTTCGTATTAATAGAATTTTTAGAGCGATTAGAGTATATTGATAATTTTTCATAAGTATCTATAAGGAATTTTAAAGATTTGGTGGAGATTTAGGTGTCGGATCTGATGGGGGTAAGCATTTGGGGGAAGTCCTTGAGCATCGTTGAGTGTCGCGAAATGTTTGTATGGTGACACAGAAGTCAATGGTTCGATTCATGGGGCTGGAGGTTTATTCATTGATTTCTGGTGATGTTTTGTGGCTGGGCTGTTGGATATGGCCTGATATACTTCGTAAAAAAGAGCAAACTAGATAGCCCGGTTACCAAGTCATTCAGAGTTTCCATTTCGATGCTACGATATCAGGAGGATCTCCTTGGCAAGTCCCGATAGAGTATAATTAATTGAGTTAACCTTGCTACCATAATATTTCTGTCTGTTACTACTGTTGTCCTCCATACTCGTTCTGCTTGAGCTTACTGCTATGTCCCCAGCTGGCATTCCCACAAAGTTTCCTCGTTGGTACTATACCCTCTTGTATATACTCTCTAGTAGGGGGTACATCCAGAGTTACTATGCAGATCTGGGTCCAAATCTAACAAAGAAGAATGAATATCGATATGGCTGTCCAACTCGGTAGGTAATCAAGGAGAATTTTTGTCTCGTTCGCCCCTCTCTGAGTACCCTCTCTGAGTCTCTGCTTCTTTCTTCTTCCAAGTTCATCACGCCCCTTCATGTTGCTATACTTCATCAGCTTAATCCTCGTGCATGAGTTATGACATTTCAAGATTCTCCCAGGGTCAAGCTTTGACCAACATTTCAGGCCTATATGGCCACTCATCTTTCCTTTCAGACTCTTTTTCTCCCACGGGTCAGCCGTCGCTTCATCGAAAACTCGTCAGCAATTTGACAAACTCACCGTCCACCGTCCACTTCGTGTATTTCAGTATATCAGAGACAGACAGCACTTACAAAAGCCTCAAAAACTTCACTTATACACTCGAACTCACCTCCTAGCTTGGAGTTTGTTTTACTACGATGCTATCGATCGCCCACAACCGCACTTCGCGGGATTCTTGAAGATACTATCATATAATGTGGGCTGCTTCGAGTATAGTGTCTTTGGGGTCCATCACGACACAGCCGAGGAATTCTTCCTCTCTTTGCGAGTATACATGGCCGTTCATGCCATGAGAGTGGGCACGGGTCGATGAATCTCCGGAACCCATGTGTACAGCGTTGGGAATATGCGCTGGGAGACTTGGAAGAGCCATGCAGAGATACCGTGATTGGAAATTGCGAGCCGCGTCGGAGGCGAGAGATCGAGAGCTGTCATGCGACATCGACGTCCGGGCTGAATCTGATGCCAGCACCAATCTCCACCACCATGATGAGTTTGGTGCACCGCTTGATGGTACGGACACGCACGCTAATACGAATATCTCCAGACAACTTGCCCGTCTGTCCTATTAGAGGAATTCGACAGTCACACGCACTCAATATCGTTCGATGCGTTTATCGAAGCTAAACCTGGCTCGTTACTTCAGCGGGTATCCAAAAGGGCCCTGAACAAGCTACTCTCTGACCTCATGCTTCTGATGCCAATCTATCTTGGAAGGAAGCCGCCAGGAGAAACCAGTATATTACTTGATGGATCTCTCAAAACTTCATTAGAGATCCCCGAGAGATATTGGATCCAGAACGAAAGTGCCTCCGACCTGGAAGATGTACCCTTCTCTGAGGACATTCAAACTTTTGCAGATTGACGATTTCCCATTCAGCATGCGCCTGCAAATTTTGTGGTATGAGGAGATCGAATGACGCCTGGGCTTGATTACAAGATGTTCAGGACTTTGACAGTCTCGATCACTCGGAGTTATAATCAGAGTTGGAGATTTTCGTTGCCATATCGGAGACGGCACTGAGGATACCTGGCATACGCAACGGGATGTTGGTCTACAGGTAGAGACCTATCACTCGGATGGCATGTACAGCAGCTAACACTGGTCGGTCTGGTCTATCCCGAAGATATAAAGCTTTTGAGCATGATGACTGTCAGGTATCTTGGTCGAGTCAGACGGCTGTCAATAAGCATAGAATTTACAGGGAGGATTTTTTGGGTGAAGAATGAGATTCAATTGGCAATCACAAGCGTTAATATAGCTAATGATTTATCATTTCTGAGTCCAATAGCATTTCAATCATCTTGAGCTTCATATAGCCCTCAACTCGACTAGTCAAAAGTGATACCTTCTTATGCGAGAGCCAACCCGTAAATATATACCACGTGATTCATGGCTAATGCCAGTTTAGACTCGGAAAATACAAACTGGTTGATCTTGAATATCCTTGCACTCTGCCTTCAACCTTTTCCTGAAGGTCGGAATCTGTGTCTACCAAAGACATTATCATTAGATTTACCCCTGGATATCCCCTGAACTTCTTCTGGTTTCAGGAACTGACCGCACACTTCTTGGCTAGCTTGGCGGGCCTTCTCCAGTCGGAGTGATTACTGCGGCGGAGCTACTCCACCGCGGTCATGCACTAATTCAAACGACCAACGCTCCTTAATTGTCAACATTCGCGCGCGAGATGCTGCTTGCTCGTCAATTCTCTGCCTCAACACTTTGAAAAGCTGCAATTATAGAATGACAGCGAGATATTCGAATCATATCCGACAGGGCCTCGATTGATCCCGCATGTATGCAGCTAGGTCCCTGACCTGCCAACTTCCCCGCGACCTGCAACTAAAGATCATCTAGCAACCACAGCATGGCCGACGCTCAGTTCGCCCCATCTTCCCAGAAGGAGGCTGGACAGAGCCCGGAAAGTGAGACGCGCAAGAAGCCCGACCCGATCTCAGTCTCGAATGGTTCAAAGCTGGCCTCACCCTTCCCGTCTCCCACCGACACGAACCGACCCGCCTCTCTGAGACAACCTCCGGCGACAGATACGGTAGAGAATGAGAGAGGCTTGGAAAGAAAAGAGGCATCCAAAGCGACCGGATCAATCGCCTCGAATAAGGAAAATTTGCGTGCCTCCTCAACGCAACGTGGCTCTCCAAAAGAGCATCCCTCCCCTAAAACTCGACTGCCGAACAGTGACAGAGACTCGCCAGTGAACCGTCACAGACACCAGGCTTCGATACCTGGTGTGTCCCCTCCGTCTCGTGCGCCGAGTGTCCAGTTTCGCGATACAGACAACGAAGCCCCTGATGCGCCCGCATCCCGGGGGCCATCCCGGCCCTCATCCGTGTACGGGGAGGATGGAGAACAACCGAGAGGACGGTCATTCATGACCCGATTGAAGTCACTCGCTGCATCCCCACCCTTTGCATCCCATTCCAGGTCGGCGAGCGGAGCTACGATTGGTGACTTCCGTCCAGCACCGGCCGACATGGTGACTCCAGGCTCTGAGCGGGGTGAATTTCGCTTCCCTGAGCCCCTGACTGAGGAGGGCAGTGACGCAGACGCTGATGCGGAGGAAAGTGGTGCTGAGCAACAAGCTGAACGCCCCAAAAGGAAGAGAATCCTGCGTCGTCGACGACAGACGGACGAAGAGGTTGGAAACCGCACTTCTCCTACAACTCCTAAGACTACACGCCGCCCATCTTTCCACTTCGCATCCTCCTTTGCTCCTTTTGAGAACTACCGGACCAATCTATTCCCTCGCAGAGCCAGCACCACGGACTTCACGCCTCAACCCCGCGAGGGAGTGTCCGAGGACGAGGGTCGTGCTCAGCTAAGCAGGCGCAAGAGGAGTACATTGAGCACACGTGGCTTCTCTTATATCGGGAGGACACAGCAGGATGGTAATCAGGATGAACCGCAGCGACCTAGTCAATTACGGCGTCTTACCGGCATTGGAGGCCCATCGGACAACAATGAGAGCCTTGCAGCTACCTGGAGACGCCATCGAAACGAACGAGGCACTAGTGCTAGTGCACAGCGCTGGAGGCAAATCAAAGCTGGTCTCAAGCTGATCGGTCAACGGCGCAGGCCAGAGAATGCGGTGGACAACAAGAAATCAGCAGAGCTGCTCGCCGAACTGTCTTCCGCTGTACCTGCTGCTCTCATCTTAGCCAGTGCGTTCCAACGCGATGAACACGGAAGCAGGCGAATTCCAATTCTATTGGAGCAATTGAAAGTTCGTGTTACCGACAGTCGCATTGACTCGCATTCCGGTGACCGTCACCTGGTGTTCCGTATTGAACTGGAGTACGGAAGTGGGATGACACGAATGAAATGGGTCATCTTCCGGACTTTGAGGGATTTCGCCAACTTGCATCTCAAGTACAAGCTTCACCTTGGCACACAAAAGTACATTCAGCTACGAACAAGCGAGAATAGCCCTAATCTTCCTCGTTTCCCCAGAAGTGCTTTCCCTTACATGCGTGGTGTTCGTGGACTGGAAAGCGAGTTTGAAGATGAGGAAGAGGATGGCGGATACGAGACCGAGGCCATGAGTGGCACCGAAAAGGCAGCAAAGAAGAAGGGCAAGAGCCCGCAATATCAGCGCAGACCTTCTCAGGGTATTGCTCGCAGAAAGTCTAGCATCACCAACCAGGAAGGGGAGTCTGCTGCTGGACCTTCGTCTACCCACGAAGGACCTGGTGGTAGACGGGAGACGTATCCTGAAAGACAGCGGAAGAAGCTCGAGCTTTACCTGCAGAAGATGATTCGTTTTTTGATATTCCGAGCTGACAGCAACCGTCTCTGCAAGTTCCTTGAGCTGTCTGCGCTTGGTGTACGCCTTGCCGCCGAAGGGAGTTACCACGGTAAAGAGGGCTTCCTCATCATCCAATATTCAAAGGGTCTCGACTTCCGTCGAGCCCTAACGCCCTCGCTGATCACGAAGCGGCACTGGCCCAAATGGTTCCTTGTTCGTCACAGCTACGTGGTCTGCGTGGATTCCCCCGAGGAGATGAACATTTACGATGTCTTCATGATTGATTCCCACTTCAAGATGCAAACCAAAAAGATAAGCCTTCGCAATCAAAAGGCAAAGGACCTGGCAAAGTCAGCAAAGGATTCGGCTAGACACCCCCAGCACCACACTCTTCGACTTGAAAACTCCGAGCGCAAGTTGAAGTTGTTGGCCCGAAACGAACGTCAGCTTTTGCAGTTTGAAGAGTCGATTCGTTTCATGGCTGAAAACACCCCGTGGATGCAGCCAAACCGGTTCGACAGTTTCGCTCCGGTGCGTCAGAAGTGCTTTGCGCAGTGGCTAGTTGATGGCCGAGACCACATGTGGGTAGTATCCAGAGCTATCAACCAGGCGAAGGATGTAATTTACATCCACGATTGGTGGCTCAGCCCAGAACTTTACATGCGACGCCCTGCCGCCATTAGCCAGAAGTGGCGCCTGGATCGTCTCTTGCAGAAGAAGGCCCGAGAAGGTGTGAAAGTCTTTGTGATCATGTACCGCAACATCAACTCTGCCATCCCGATTGACTCCGAATACTCTAAGTTCTCTCTGCTTGAGCTCCACCCAAACATCTTTGTCCAGAGATCTCCGAACCAGTTCCGTCAGAACACTTTCTTCTGGGCCCATCACGAGAAGCTGTGCCTCATCGATCACACGCTGGCTTTCGTTGGAGGAATTGATCTGTGCTTTGGACGGTGGGACACGCCTCAGCATTCGCTCACTGATGATAAGCCCACTGGCTTTGAAACTACAGACATGCCCAAGGATGCAGATCACTGCCAACTTTGGCCTGGAAAGGATTATTCCAACCCTCGTATTCAAGATTTCTATGATTTGGATAAACCTTACGAGGAGATGTATGATCGATGTGTCGTGCCTCGTATGCCCTGGCATGATATCTCTATGCATGTCGTCGGCCAGCCGGCCCGAGATCTAACTCGCCATTTCGTTCAGCGCTGGAATTATATTCTTCGTCAACGGAAGCCAACACGACCAACCCCTTTCCTGCTGCCACCTCCGGACTTCAACCCGGCTGACCTGGAAGCTTTGGGTCTGGATGGAACTTGTGAGGTGCAAATCCTGCGCTCCAGCAGCATGTGGTCAACTGGCACACCAGATGTCACTGAACACAGTATCATGAACGCTTACGTCAAGCTGATTGAAGAGTCCGAGCATTTTGTCTACATCGAGAACCAGTTCTTTATCAGTACCTGTGAAATCGATGGCAGGAAGATCGAGAACCTGATCGGTGATGCCTTGGTTGAGAGAATCGTCCGAGCAGCCAAGAATGAGGAGGCCTGGCGTGCTGTTATTGTGATTCCTTTGATCCCCGGTTTCCAAAATACCGTGGACAGTGAGGGTGGTACCAGTGTGCGTCTTATCATGCAGTGTCAATACCGCAGTATCTGCCGTGGTGAGACATCCATCTTCGGGCGTCTTCGGGCGCTTGGCATCGAGCCCGAGGACTACATTCAGTTCTTCAGCTTGCGAACCTGGGGCAAGATTGGTCCGCAAAAGCAGTTGGTGACCGAGCAACTGTACATCCATGCAAAGTGCATGGTTGTCGATGATCGTGCTGCCATTATTGGATCGGCCAACATCAACGAGCGATCCATGCTGGGATCTCGCGATTCCGAGGTCGCTGCCATCGTCCGGGATACTGATATGATCTCATCAACTATGGCTGGCAAACCTTACCTTGTTGGCCGATTCCCACACACTCTGCGAATGCGTTTGATGCGAGAGCACCTTGGCATCGATGTCGATGAGCTTTTGGAGCACGATTTCTCTACCGAAGAGGAACTTCGCAAGATCCAGGTTGTCGAAGAAGGCCCCCAGCCGACTAATGGGCGAGAACGACGCGAATCAGAGTCGTCCATGATCGAACGACAGGATGAGCGTGAGATGATGGAGCGCCGTCATCGCGTTCAGGATGAGTTCTTGTCGCGCTCTGAGCACATGCACAGCTTCAACCATGACGTTGACTGGGAACAGGGTAAAAACCCCAATCTGAAGAGCAATCGCCGCCTGACTGCCGATCCGCGTGTTACAGACAATCCTGAGCACAAGAAAGACGTCGACGGCGATGGTGTCGACCACTTGATTAATGCGGAGAAGGCTGGCCTGGGAGTCGGCCGTGATTCTCAAATGTCACCAGACGGACGGGAGGCGCTCGTTTCGCCAATTGCTTCTGAAGGAAAGGGTACATTTGAGCAGCCCAAACATGCCTCGGAGCGAAAGTCGTCTCAGGCCCCATCAACTTCCAAGGCCGGCAAGCAAAGCTCGTCGGCTGAAACTGCCCGTGACTCTGAAGCTAACACTAATTCCGACACCCCGTCGCTGGGACATGCCGCCTCTGGTTCATCAAGCCGCGAGTCCGCTAATGGCAACGGCGGCTTATACGTGTTCAAGGAAACCCAGGGCAACTCTACATATGACAACCCGCTTGTCCCTGATCTGAAGCGTATCTTTGTTGACAAAGACTGCATGAAGGACCCGGTCAATGATGCATTCTATCTGGATACTTGGCAGGCCCTTGCGGAGAAGAATACAAAGATCTATCGGTCTGTTTTCCGGTGCATGCCAGACAGTGAAGTCAAAAACTGGAAGGAATACAAGGAGTATGCAGCATATGGTGAGCGCTTTGCAGAGATGCAAAATCACCAAGGCGGCAAGCCGGCTCCTTCATCCAACCAGAAGCAAACCGGCGCTCCCAGTGCTGGTGCTAGTGGCAGTGCCAGTGGGCTCGCCTCTTCAATGTCGCTTGGCGGCCCTAGATCTGAAGGATTCGGGGACTTGAAAGCTCCTCAAACAATCGACGAGAAGGCCGATGTCAACAGCGCTAAGAATGAACTCGAACGGCCGCAATCCGACCTGGCAAAGCAGGAAACCTTGTCGTCCATTGATGAGAAAGTAGCGCTGAAGACGGCATCCGAACCTCACTTGGTGAGTACCGCCGTGAACAACGAGGAGAGTCTAACCGGCGAGGATGCCGAAAAGCCACGCTCCGCATCGGTCCATGTCGACTACTCCGAGGCTGTGAATTTGAATGCGACATCGACATCGCAGTCCCGCAGACGGAGACGGCGGGCTACCACCATCGGATCCAAGGGCGGCATCCATGGAACGGACGAAGTGATGGACAAGCAACGTGCTGAAGATCTTTTGAACAAGGTCCAGGGTCATCTAATCCTCTGGCCATATGACTGGTATGACCCAATTTTTTCTTTCTCCATTTACACTGGCATTTATGCTAACTAATATTCCTATAGGCTTGAAAAGGAAGAGCAAGGCGGAAACTGGCTATATGCCTTGGACCAGATCTCGCCTCTGGAAATTTAGTAAGTTTCTTTTCTCGTCTCGTTGGCACGCAAAGTATCCCCGTTACTAACAAGCTGTCCTAGTAATTAATTTCTTTTCATCGACTTGCACTGGACGGCGTCTGCGTGAAGAACTTGCTTCTCACTCATTTCTATCGTCCTCTCTCGGTCTCTTGTATATTTGAGCGCTGCTGTTCTTGCTTGCTTCGTTCTATGCATTGTACTACCTCGTTCTTGTTTTATTAGACTAATATCCCTTAAAAAACGCGGGACGTGATTCTTTTGATCTCGATGTGTAGCTACGGCCTATTGACTGGGCGGGCATTAATTCATATGACAGCCAATCAACTGCTAGTCAATTTTAAAAAGAGCCGAGACGAGCTTGTATACAGGGTATCAAAAAAGTAAATCTAAATCATACAGCATCCCAGCTCAAGAGGGCTGCGATCCAGCACAATCCAAAATCTGCTCCCGCATCCTCTCCAATCCATCGAACTTGGCCCGCAGAGCTTTCGTCAGAATCGACATCTCCTCCGGGGCTCCCTCCCAACTCTCACATGCCGAGCGAAGCTGCTCATGCGCAGTGGCAAAGACACTCTGCAGCTCGGGGGTGCGTGTACACGACCGACCCAAGTCATTCATGTAATGCGTCGGATCCTGCACGCATAACCGACGACTAGCAGGCAAATTCCCTCTTGCAGCAGCAGTACGCTTAGCAGCAATGAGGGACCGTTGACCACGAACATACGCAGACTCCTCTACCCCATCAGTTTCCCGCAGAGTACCCGCGTCAAAAAAGCTCGGTGGATCAACCGCGACGCCGACGGACCTCAAGTCAACATCCCTGCCGTACAGCTGAAGGAAAGCAAGTAACTGATCGCCGAGACGGTGCGGACCAGGGAAGCGGCCGTGGTTCATCTTCAAGAATGCAACTAACAGCATGGATAGTGCATCGGAGCTAATACCCGCTTGCGAGGATCCGAATAAACCACGAGCTTCGAGCAAAGCACGTGTTGTTGCGTGCAGCGGTCGTAGAGATGGGTACTCTACCAAGTAATCCTGTAGATACTCCGTGAACGCAGGTACCCGTTCACCACAGTAGAATTGCAGCAATAAGCCCGTGGGACGATGTCGAGCTTCTAGCACGAGGCTGCGCTTTCCAGACAGACGGACTTGGTCTTTGAACTCTGGAGCACTCTGCAACGTTGATTCGACTTGACGGAGTAGATTCAAGTGTGCATCTCGGATCTGAGGACGAGTCGGACTTGGTCTGCGAGTTCTCTCCAAGGACCGCGGGAGATCTTCAAAGGGTAGGAGGAAGTCCAGGTCTGAATGCGCCAGCGCAAGACCCGTACGGCGGGATCCGATGAGTGTCGGTGTATGTGGAACAATTGATTTCAGTAACGAAGAGACTTCCTCACCGAGCCGAGAAGCTCGGTTTTCCTCGCTGGAGCTCGGAGCTAAATAGCGGTGCAAAGCTTGTATCTCCGCATCCAAGTATGCAGAAGCATGACCAGGAGCACCAGCGTTGGCCAGATAGCTCAACCACGGTGTTTCACCCAGTCGACCACAACCCACATCACCCACGGACCGAATTGCATTCCTCTCGGGTCGGTCATCCGTCGAGTGGGTGCTAGGTTCTGGGGTCCGCCTGCGTGAGCGCTTTTTGGCGCTCGCCTTCCCAGACAGATCTAGCTCGGGGCTAATCACCGGTGGCGATAGCGGCGCCGGCAGTGGTGGCTGGTAACCTGCACGGTTTTCGGGCGGAATGTAAGGTCTAAAGAGGCCCGGAGATGGAGCACGAGGGTAGGTTTTGCGGATGAGACGAGCGCGGTTAGAGGCGCGATGCGCCTCTAGGGTTTTGCGCAGACTGTTGGCGAAAACGTCGTCATCCTGGGGAGGTTGGATGGTGCGGAATCGCCGGGGGATGTGGAAGAGGCGAGAGGATTGGATGCCAGACAGTCGCATCGCCGGGCGATCACCGAGGCGGCATATTGTGGAGGAAGGAGAAGGAAGAGAGGTGGATGAGGATTTGAGGGAACGGGACTGTGATAGATGGAGGCCTGAGGCAGGACAAGTGGTGTATTGATCAATTGGAGGGATTGGAGGGTCAACTGGCAAAAGGAACTTGGATAGCCCTAAATAATATAGATTGGTATAATATGCTTTCAAGTATACAATTGCATCATTGCTTTGTATCCCTGTGTGTAGCTATCTCTGTTCTTCTATATCATTGACGATGATCGTAGACATCCTCAACTGTGACAGGGTTCTTGTCTGTAAGTGTACTGTATGTACTGGACGTATGAGCCACTTATAGTAGGCGGTAAGTATCATATCGAGGACAATTCTGCAGTCTTCGGGTAACTTACATACTCTGTACCATCATGACTGTATTATATCCTGCCCTGGCCGATCTTAGCATGTCCGCTCTAAGATGCTCCCCATGAACTATACAAAACTACGAAGAACTCGTTCGATCACAAACGATTTTGTCTCGAATCTTCGACATCTAGCCCAGGCTTTCTAGTCCACCAGCACCAAGCCCCTATTCATCGGCTGTTACTCTTTTAACCTGGCTCCATAGTCCATATGACGTAGGACTGAAGCCATTATTCACCGAGCAGTCCTGAAGCGAAGCGTTCCTGTTTCGGCCAGTGGCTTCATTCACCGCTCTCCCCTCCAAACCACAACCGACATCGACCCTTCCGTTTCTAACTGCTTTCTGGCTCTTGTGTTTATTGCCATTCTAACTCTCCTCTCCTTCGAACGCGTCTGCTTCAATCTTCAACTCTTCCTTGTCCTGCCGATCTAGTGGTGTACTGCTTCGACTCGTCATCCATGGCTTGCTCGCGCCCATAGTTCCACTCTCGTGTCGATCAACCCCTCGACGCCCGTCTTCCTCCGAGGTATGCAATGTTCACCCTCGTTGCGTCTAGGTCACCAACCGTCATAGTCAATTGCGTGGCCTTGAGCATCGGAAAAGTGTACATGTGACAATTGGCAGTGCTAACAGCTGGGGCTTCTACAGTTGAATTGCTTGGTGTGACGCATCGTCCTCGTCCCTGATTCCGGAACCCCACACATCATCATCATGTCTGATCAAGGAAGCCCCGCGAAGGTCCCTGACGGACAACCAGACCCAGTCCTCGTTGGACCGGGGCTTACAGCTTTAAAGGATGAAGCTTACAAAGATGCGACTAATGCTACGCCGAGCTTGCCCGCCGATAAGAAACACCAGATGGATAGTGATGCGCCTTCGTACTTTGCTAGCATCCCGGGCGTGAGGACCGACGCACTGGACTCCTCGGATGCCGCTCCGCCACCAGGCCGGAGGAAGATGTCTTCAGGACAAGACCTCCTGCGCCGGTTGAGCCTTACGGGGGACGCATCGCCAATGTCGCCTGAGATTGACCCTCGCTCGCAGCATCCAGGGTTGAAGTTGAGTGGCCGACTGATCAGCGCGGCCTTTTGTATCCCGTACAAGCTCTATCATCAATCTGGTTCAAACTGGGTACGTGGTGATCCTTATGATAATATTCCATTTCCTTGGCAAAGATAACGATACTGATACTTCTTATCTCTCTGTCTAGGAACTCAAGCCGCGGTCCGGAACTTCAGCCCTCTTCGATTCATTCGCTCATCTAGCCTCTGATGAGACTCAATGGTCTCATACGCTGGTGGGATGGACTGGAGAGGTCGAGCCTGCATCTGATACGAAGATGCCTCTCCAGCAGATTCCAGTAAATGCGGCTACCAAGCTACCGACTAGTGCCAGCGCTGCGGGCGCGATCCCACTCAACAAGGCAGCCGCACCCGTTCCGGTAAATGCGAGTCAGAAACCCCCTTCACACCCTCTGATTGATGGAATCAGCATTGAGAAAGAGGACCGGGAAAGGCTTGATCAACAGTTGGCCTCTGGGCGTTATGGCCGGATCTTGCCAGTCTGGCTATCGGATGAGTCAGAGGAGCCACAAGACACCGTCCTCCTCAAAGACCAAGGAAGGTGGCGCCGGTATGCAGAGAGAGAACTCTACCCTCTCCTGCACTACAAGCAGCATGGCCCTACGGACGGTCGTTCGGAGCAGCGGTGGTGGTCTGATTATACCCGCCTGAATCAACTCTTTGCGGATCGCATTGCGGCGGACTATCAGGAAGGCGACGTGGTCTGGATTCACGATTACCACCTTTTCCTCCTGCCCAGCCTACTACGACAGCGCATCCCGAATATCTACATCGGCTTCTTCCTACACTCGCCGTTCCCCAGTAGCGAGTTCGTCCGATGTTTGGCCAAGCGCAAGGAAGTCTTGACCGGAGTCCTCGGTGCCAACATGATTGGGTTCCAGACATTCTCCTATTCACGGCACTTTTCTTCATGTTGCACCCGTGTCTTGGGCTTCGAGTCTAATTCTGCTGGTGTGGACGCATATGGTGCCCACGTTGCCGTGGATGTCTTCCCCATTGGAATCGATGCTCGAGCGATACAAAAGGCGGCCTTCGGATCGCTGGATCTGGAGAAGACCGTGCAAGGCATCCGCAAATTGTATGCCGGAAAGAAGATTATCGTCGGCCGTGATCGTCTTGACAGTGTTCGCGGTGTGGCCCAAAAGTTGCAGGCTTTCGAAATTTTCTTGGAAAGATACCCTGAATGGCGGGATAAGGTTGTTCTCATCCAAGTGACAAGCCCGACCAGCGTTGAGGAAGAGAAAGAGGATCCCGAGAACAAGATTGCTGGCCAGATTGCCAACCTTGTTTCCACGATTAATGGTCGCTTTGGATCGCTCAGCTTCTCTCCGGTGCAGTACTACCCACAGTATCTGTCTCAGCGGGAGTACTTTGCTCTTCTGCGCGTCGCTGACGTGGGACTGATCACCACTGTCCGCGACGGTATGAACACCACGAGTTTGGAGTATATCGTGTGCCAACAGACAAACCACAGTCCCCTCATCCTTTCGGAATTCTCGGGCACTGCAGGCACATTGCCCAGCGCTATTCACATCAACCCCTGGGACTTGGTGGGTGTCGCTGGCGCAATTGACAAAGCCCTCAAGATGCCGGCCGATCAGCGCAAGGACCAGCACCTGAAGCTGTACAAGCACGTCATCACCAACACCGTCAGCACTTGGTCCACGCTGTTCCTCCACCGTCTCCTCACCAACCTGTCCTCCTTTGACCAGTCTGTCGCTACGCCTGCCCTAGATCGCGGTAAATTGATGAAGGCATACCGCAAAGCACGGAGACGGCTGTTCATGTTTGACTACGACGGTACCCTCACGCCGATTGTAAAGGACCCGCAGGCCGCAATCCCGTCCGATCGTGTCCTGCGCACTTTGAAGAGCTTGTCTGCTGATCCCCGAAATGCCGTCTGGATCATCAGTGGACGAGATCAGGCCTTTTTGGATGAATGGATGGGTCATCTCCCCGAGCTAGGCCTCAGTGCCGAGCACGGGTGTTTTATCCGCAAGCCCCGGTCAGATGACTGGGAGAATCTGGCCGAGCGGACCAACATGGGCTGGCAAAAGGAAGTAATTGAAGTTTTCCAGCACTACACCGAACGGACGCAAGGGTCATTTATTGAGCGCAAACGTGTGGCATTGACCTGGCACTACCGCCGGGCCGACCCGGAGTATGGAGCCTTCCAGGCACGTGAATGTCGCAAGGCCCTGGAAGATACGGTTGCCAAGCGGTGGGATGTGGAGGTTATGGCCGGCAAGGCCAACCTCGAGGTGCGGCCGACTTTTGTCAACAAGGGATTCATTGCGACACGGTTGGTCAACGAGTATGGTACGGAGCCGGGTAAGGCGCCGGAATTCATCTTGTGTCTGGGCGACGACTTTACCGATGAAGGTATGCATGACCCCCCTACGTTTGGATTCTTCCAGTTAACAACTTGGGAAACTCGGAATTTGCTAATTATGTCTCAAACTAGATATGTTCCGTGCCCTTCAAAAGTTCGACCTGCCGCAGGACCATGTGTACTCGGTGACCGTTGGCGCCAGCTCGAAGCAGACCGATGCCAGCTGGCACCTGCTTGAGCCAGCAGACGTCATCAGCACTTTGCAAATGCTCAACAGCAACTCGCACCAAGATCATTGAGACTCGACAGCTAACTCCCCGATGCTGGTCCGTAAGCCTCCATGGGAGCGACTTTGCTGTGTTCTGCATGTTCCCCCTCTTCTAGCCTAATGATTTTGTTTCTTGATGATTGGTCCCTACATTACATCCTAGCATGCACGTACACGAACGAACTCATACAAGCCGGAGAAACCGGTGTCTTTTCCCACTCTCTCGTACAGCCCCATCTGCCTTGTTAATTGCTATTTCATTTCAAATGCAGGGGATGTCTGGCGCAGTTGGAATTTTGATTTTGTTCGTTTCTCAGGGTGTCGAGCCCCTATCATGTGTTTTTTTGTTTTCCGTGGCGGTATTGATTCCTGTTATGATCTGGGCATAGATGTTTCAGCCTTGAATTGTAAAGAGCGAGTTGTTAGACGAATGGAGTTGCAGAGACATCTGATCTATCGGGGGAGGTATCTCCGATGGCATCCAATCTGGTTTCTCATGAATTTTCCAACTGTAATGCTACCAGTTCCATGTCGATCGTAGTACGACTGTAGTTAGGGTAGTCTCCATCGGCTCGATGGGATTATAAATCCAACCTGTTTCTCTCGTGCCGCGGCCCGCAATATCCGACAGCTTGAATTAGATTGGCTATCAATGCCGGGATACTGATAGGTCCAGTTAGGTCCGGTTATACTGGAGACTATTCCTGTACCGTAGACTCGAGCACGCCTTGACCTGCGGGGGTTACGAGGTCTTCTCCACAGGGGATTGAACAGTAGCAATATTCTCTACGTTTGTCTTCCAGTATATACCACCTCTTCATATCATGATAATATCTAACGTCTATTACACTGCTATACGTCTCGCATGTGTAACTACCATCAGCCTCAATTTCTCCTCCTCCTCCAAGTAGTGGACCCTCCCTCGGCGAAAGTCCTGGGAAGGCGCCTTGTCTATTCGGCAATCTCTGCGAATTACCGACGCCATTGCGATCGGCACGAATCCCGTTGAACTTGGGCCCCGGCCCGGGCATTTAGATTTTTTTTTGACAATGACTGGGTCTAGTAACTAACTAAGCACTTTACCATGAGTCAGGTAAGCATTTAATTTGGGGGTCTGCTCTTGGGGTAGAAATTAATGAGTTTACCCGGTTCTGGGTTCTCGTGCTCTTTTTACTTGAGCAATTTAATTCCTTCATCTTTCCTGGTTGATACATTTTTAACTCCGACTCCGTTGACAACTTCTATATTGACTTGTTATATCCCCATCACTACGGGGATTTTTTTTGGTTCACTGATCGTATCACATGGAGACATGAGTGACGAGACAACGGCGTCTTTCTAAACCCAAAAAAAACAAAGCTCGACTATATAACAATCTCGCACGGCATAATTATATCCGACCTGCGAAGCCAACATCCCATGGCCAATTCCATATCCGACTCCTCGTCCGAGAAGATTCAACCCTCGAGCATGATGGTAATGGTCGACGAGAAAGAGTCCCGATACATCGATCCAGGCGCTCTCGAAGCAAATCATCCACCACGACGCAGCCCATCTTCCGACGAAGAATCCACCCTCGACGAGCTTCACGATCACGACCACACACACAATGACCTCACACAAGTCCCGACCAACGCCAGCGCAATCGCTCGCACCCTCTCCGCCGTGCGAACGCGCGGGTCCGGCAAAGATCTAGGTCCACCGCCAGACGGGGGTTTCCAAGCCTGGCTGCAAGTCGCACTCGGCCATATGATCATCTTCAATACGTGGGGGTACATCAACAGTTTCGGAGTCTTCCAGACATACTATACCTCGACGCTGGGCCGACCACCATCCGACATCTCCTGGGTAGGCAGTATCCAGATCTTCCTACTCTTCTTCATCGGGACGTTTTCCGGGCGAGCCACGGATGCGGGATACTTCCGGTTCACGATCGTGGTGGGCGCGACGTTAGAAGTCTTTTGCATTTTCATGACCTCGCTGTGTACGGAGTACTGGCAGCTTTTCCTGGCGCAGGGACTGGGTCAGGGAATCGGGTGTGGACTCATGTTCTGTCCGACGTTGGCGCTCATCTCGACGTATTTTGTGAAAAGGCGCGGCATCGCAATTGGCATTGTTGCCTCTGGTTCGGCGACGGGCGGGCTCGTCTTCCCAGCCGTGGTGATGCGGTTACTCCCACGCATTGGATACGGATGGACTATGCGCACGCTGGGGCTCATCTCCCTGGTCACGCTAATCCCGTGTCTGATCTTCTTCAAACAGCGCCTGCCGCCTCGCACGAGCGGACCGTTACTCGAACTAGCTGCGTTCAAGGAACTGCCCTACCTCCTCTTCGCTGTGGGCATGTTCCTCAACTTCTGGGGCCTGTATGTGGCGTTTTTCTACATCGGCAGTTTCAGCCGCAACATCATCGGGGTATCGGAGACCGTCTCGATCGACCTTCTCCTCGTGATGAACGGAGTCGGCCTCGTGGGCCGGTTAGTGCCCAACCTGCTGGCGGATCAATTCACGGGTCCGCTGAACCTGCTCATTCCCTTCAGTGGGCTCACGGCCATTGTCGCGTATTGCTGGGCGCCCGTGAAAGACCTGTCGAGTCTGTGGGTGTTTGCTGCGCTGTATGGAGTGTTCGCGGCGGGGATTCAGTCGTTGTTCCCTGCGACGCTGAGCACGCTGACGACGGATTTGAAGAAGATTGGGGTGCGGATGGGCATGGTGCTTAGTGTTGTTGCGGTTGCGGCGCTGATCGGGTCGCCTATTGCGGGGGCGTTGATTCAGCGGGATGATGGGGGGTATTTGTATGCGCAGATGTTTATGGGCAGTGCCATTCTTGCTGGGACGTTGACTCTGATTGCGGCGAGAGTGTGTAAAGTGGGGACGGGTCTTGCTCGTGTATAGGGTCACGAAGCGAAGTGACAGGACTAGGACCAGGATGATGGACTCAATGTACAGAGAGCATTAATTATCCTTTGGTCTATTTATCTTTTTCCAGATACCTCAACTTATGAAACATATGATGACTTCAGCTATTTGCACAGTCCTAAACTCGACCCAGTAGGTCATAGCAACGCTTCCTGATCAGTAGAACTGAAGCATACGGAGATGGCGTCACCTGGCGGACTGGTCCTGTGCCAACGAAGAAGTCAGTGGATTCACCTAATTATCTCATTCCTTGAATACTTTATACCTTCAATTTACATCTCTCAATTCCCTCGACTGCCAGGCATCTCCGCCCATCGTCAGTCCTCTTGTCCAACCATCCAATCACCCTTCTTCTCCCCTCCCCCAACTCTCCTGGGGCTAGCGACTGTTAGTAATAATTTATTCATAGGGCCCTCCCATAGGCTTACGGGCCTCAGAAGCGGGCTTCTTTTCTCGGGACACCAAGGGCCGAGACTTCGGCAGAGGCAGGGATCGGAGGGGTCGGGCATGTCTCGCCCTCGGGAAATTCCAACGTAGTCAATTAATTGCGGCGTGTGAGATGGTAAGAAGAAGATTGAATTATGCGTATAACGTAGAGAGGAACTATGGTTCTGAGTATGAGTGAATATCAACATAAGATCGACCATTTCACGTCGACCTTCCATTCCAGAGTCTATCACGGGATAGTCTGACTTTGATAGTCGGATAGCGGGCAAACCCGGTTAAAGGACCATCATCCAGGCACAGTTACATAGTTAGGACTAAGTAACTTAGTCGTTAGTGTAGTTACTGACTGAATATTACGCTCCTCAACAAAAGGAAAGGGGAAAACCGGAGCGGAAGGGGGAACCGGGTCACGCGGGGAAGAATGACGAAAACCGGACCCGCTGAGATCACTGACCATCTCAGGTTCAACTACAAAACCTCGCTCCTCTGCCCGGTTTACTTGCCTGACGTTGTCTCGGTCCACTCTCCATACTTGCCTTGGTTGACCGGTTGACCTTGATTGCCACTCTGTCCATCCTTATCCCCCCTCCTACTTATATATTCTGAACCCTCTTCCATTGCAAGCCGAGGCTACAATTGCTGCATACTGCCCGCTTCCCGCTCCGATAACAACCGCGTCCACCCCCACCTTCTCCAACGTCGAGAAAGTTCATAAGCTTCTAATTTCCTAAGCATCTTCGCTACTTATACCAAAATCACATCCATCAATATGGCATCCAACGGAAGCGCTCACCCTCCTGTCGGCCAGGAGAACATCAACACCGACATCGTCACGCTCTCCCGCTTCTTCACGGAAGAGCAGATCAAATACCCCGATGCCTCGGGAGACTTCACCCTCCTCTGCCACGCCCTCCAGTTCTCCTTCAAGTCCATCGCCTACTACATCCGTCGCGCCTCCCTAATCAACCTCACCGGTCTGGCCGGCTCCTCCAACACCACCGGCGACGACCAGAAGAAGCTCGACGTGATCGGCAATGACATCTTCATCTCCGCCATGCGCGGCTCCGGCAAATGCCGCATCCTCGTCTCCGAGGAAGAAGAAAACGTGATCAAGTTCGATGAGCACCCCAACGCCCGCTACGCTGTCGTCTGCGACCCCATCGACGGCTCCTCCAATCTGGATGCCGGTGTCTCCGTCGGCACCATCTTCGGTATCTTCCAACTGCCCGACGAAGTCCTGGGCGAGGGCAAGTCCGTCGGCCCCGAGCATCTCTTGCACCCGGGTACTTCCCTCGTCGCCTCCGGTTTCACAATGTACGGCGCCTCCGCGCAATTGGTCATCACCATGCGCGGCGGTGGCGTCAACGGCTTCACCCTCGAGAACTCGCTGGGCGAGTTCATCCTCACCCACCCGAACATGAAGCTCCCCGAGACCCGCGCCATCTACTCCGTCAACGAGGGTAACAGCATGTACTGGGATGACTGGTGCAACGCCTACTTCCACAGCCTCAAGTACCCCGGCGAGGGCAAGAAGCCCTACAGCGCGCGTTACATCGGTTCCATGGTCGCAGACGCCTACCGTACCCTGCTGTACGGTGGTATCTTCGCTTACCCCGCCGACAAGAAGAGCCCCAAGGGTAAGCTGCGTATCTTGTACGAGTGTGCGCCCATGGCTATGGTGTTCGAGAACGCTGGCGGTCTCGCTGTCAACTCGCGCATGGAGCGGTTGATGGAGGTTCGTCCCGAGCACATCCATGACCGTAGTGGTGTCTTCCTCGGCTCCAAGGGTGAGGTCCAGAAGGTCATTGACATGTATAACAAGCACCAGAAATAAGCGTTGCGCTCTGTGCTGCTTTGTTTCCTTGTTTCTGTTTCCACCCTTTTGAATTCCTCGACACTTGGACGTGATTTGGCATCCTCACCTCGGTCTCGGGTACCGCTCGGCTCAGTCTCCTTTTCGCTATCGGGTTGTGGGAACCCGTTTTTATTTTTATGATTCCACGCCTTTTTTTTTTTTTTTTTATATTTCTACTTTCTGGTGTACTGAGCTGGTGTTCTTGTGTCTGGGTTTCATGAGTGATGACGTCTGCTTGAGTTGTCCTTTGCAGCGCTGTCATGCTCTTCACAGGCCATTCTCGGCTTGTCCCAAAATAAATAGGCTTAAATGAATAAAAAAAAATTATTAAAATAGATCCGCCTCGTTAGTTGTAGACCGAAAAGTAGCTACCAATGGATGATGGCTACATCAGGATCAGGTGCAGATAATCGCGGGTCCATCTCTCGCTTAATTTGCGTTTCATATACCAAGAGGTCATGACCAAAATTACAAACTGTTCTACATCTTTCCAGTCGTTTCTCGTAGTTCTAAAAGCCTTTCATGTCCTGAGTTATGAGAACGTATATATTCTAGCCTTCTTACAGTACATGAGACAAGGAAATCCCGAGTGAAGGGCAATCCCCCCCGGGATGCTAGTAGAGCAAAATGAGGGAACGAAAAGAATGAAACCAAGAAATGCAAGACCGACGGCTCAAACCTAGTCCACTGGATCTTCTTCCAGCAAGGTCTTGAAGCTGAACGGTAAGAAAGGAATACCCTCGCCCATGAAATGTTTGCTCATCGCCTCCACCCAGTGTAGACGAAGAGAATGAAGCACTAGATTGACTCGTTAGATTACATTCAAAGGATATTATCGTTGGGGTTAAGCGTGGATACTCACTGGCTGAAACTCCTTCCATGGTGACGAGCACCGCAACACTCAGAACAAGGAACAGGTAGGTGCAGACCACAGTCATGATCACTCGGATGACGTGGCTTTCCTGTGCGAAAGCGGTACCAATCGTCATATCCCAAAGGACGATGGAAAGCTGCTGGTGAGCCAAGGACAAAGCCCAAAGACGCAGGTACGAAGCCGTGTGCGATATACAGTTCAGGCAGAATTCGATAGTGTGAATGACCTGGTGGATCATAACGTCGCTGAAGTCAAACTCTTCATGCTCATCACCCTCATCAATGTTCTGAGCGATCATGGCAACACCCTCGCCGTCACTGGCCAGACTGTCGCGGGGGCCATCAAATCCGCCGTCCACATCGCCATCATCCTCCAAGGCGCTGACACGAGACTGCTCGCCCAGACCCCGGTAACCAAGGGCGCGGGCACGGTTGTGCTCATAGCGCAACCAGAAGGGCTTGAGGAAGAGCATTATGGGAACCTGAATGACCGCTATAAGGAGCAGCAGGACCTGAACGATCGCTTGGTTGGAATACAGCTTCTCCTGGACATTACCAGGGCTCAGGAACATGAAAATAAGCATGTTCAGCAGACTGGGTGGGTCCTGACCGATGGCGGGCCAGTTCACAGACCACTTGTACAGAATGGTGAGAGCCAGATAACCGAAGATGCACTGGAAGAACAGCATGCCAGGAACAAAGTTGCCAAGAATATCAACTTTAGACTTGAAATGCCGTGCATTGACGTACTGGTGGACCAGTGCATAAGTCATGTGGGACCAGCCCAGCAGAATACTCATCTTCATCTTCATACTGTTCGAGAAGAGCAAGGAGTTCTCCGCCTCGTGCCAGTTCCAATCTAAACCAATGGGGAAACGGTAGCCGTCTTTCAGAGTAGCCTCAACAGACTGACCAGCCTTGATATCTTCAGGCCACTGCCACTGACTGGGGAAAATGCTGAAAGCCTTGGAGAAGATGTCGTTGTAGATAAAACCGGTGTAGATCGAGAAGAGGCCCATCATCAGCATGATGTACCGGCCATAAAAGGCCATATATGTCAGCTCATCAAGCTTAGTCCGAAGCAGCTTCTTCTCAAACAAGATCATTGCAGATGCCGTCAGAGCCATAATGAAACCGTGACCCATATCACCGAACATGACAGCGAACAAAAAAGGGAACGTGACAATCGTGTATAGACCGGGGTTGACCTCGGAATACTTCGGGATACCATAGGAGTTGATGATGGTCTGGAAGGCCTCGGTGAACTTGTTGGTTCGGACATAGGTTGGCGGGGTTTTGTTGGTGCGGATCTGGTTGACGATAGTAGGGACAGAAAGGCCCGCACGATCGTTGACATCCTGCAGGGTCGACTTGATAAGCGGAAGGGAGTTTGTGGGGCACCACGCCTCAGCAATCAGGGTCTTGCGAGCTTGGTCGTATGAGAACCTGTTCAACGTGTCGTAAACAGCCTTCTCCTTCTTGACAATAATCATCCATGCCGCGAGAGAACGAGCGATCTGCGAGAGCTCCGCATCCAACGTGTTCTTGGTGTTGCGCAAGACGTTGCCCACGTCACCCAATCGAGTGTTGACCTCGTGAATCTGATCCCGGCGCAGCTCACTATTCTCATCCACTCCGTACAAAGAAGCGCCAAGCGATTCGGAGATCTTGCGGATCTTTGCGAGAATGTTCTTGCCATGGGCGAAGATCACGAACACGTTCTTGTGAATTTCTTCGTTGTTGGAAGGGTCGATGATCACTTCGGGGATCTCCGACTGGTTCATATAAAGATTACCGCGGAGTGTTCGCCAGAGGATGCGTTCGAAAGCTCCGATTCGGTCTCGAGGAATGACACCAGCGACAAAGCCAATGTTCATTTCCGAGAAGCTCTGCTGGCCCTGAGTGTCTCCATTTGCGCCGCGGGGTGCATGGTGCTCGATGTCGCGGAGAAGAGGCGCTTCATCGTTATCGAAGGATTGGCGGATGTCTTCAGTGTGGGTGTGGGCCTAGTATCTCCGCGTTAGTTTTGATTCATCCACCATCAGTTTCATGGTCAATACTAACCCGATCAAAGAATCCTCCTGCCTCTCGAAGAACCCAACGCCATTCGCTAAGCTCAACTTCGCGCTTCTTCAATGTCTCGTAGCTATCGTTCAAGGAAGCAACCCGCTGTTCGAGGCTCTCACTTCGCTCGGCCAACTCATCAATTTCGGAAGCCAGAGGAGCAGCCAGAGTGTCTGAAAAGTCGGTCGAGGGCCGCATCGGAATGGAAGCTTTCTCCATCTGCGAGTGGAAGTAGCCTGGTGTCGAAAAGAAGATTAGCATTTCGTTATTCAAAAGGATCATAATCAGCAAAACGTGAGATTATGGACATACGAAGCTGTCGTTCAACATTATCGAGGCGCCGAATCTCCTTAGTGAATGTCCGTTGGAAAGCGTTGGTGTCGGGGTTAAGCTGAGGAAACACGGGTTAGCGGGGTGTCGATGACGACCACAAACATGGGAAGCTTGAGTTATAGCATCCATACTCAACGTACATCTCTGAACTGGACCTGACCAATCTCGCCCAGGGCACTGACGACCTCCCTTCCGATCTCATTGGCAATGTAGAGCTGGGTCAGGCTCATCTCCGACGAGCGGAAGAAGGTATCCTGCGGAGCCATGGTGGGCAGGGGGCTTCAGGAAGCCAGACCTTTCCACCAGGGTAAACGCAGGTGAAGAATAGAAAACCGAATAAGATGCCTGTTGAGGCAAGAAGAGGGACTCAGATGATGTCGTCTAAGGTCGAGGGTTCTCCAAAGACAGCTCCTCGGGGAGAGCTGGCCGCATTGCACGTGATGTCACGTGAACATATTCCCTACGCTGAACAACCTTCGACGTCAACAAAGCATTTTGTCAATTACTGTAATATTGACCCGGTCGGCTGGTTCGACATTGTTAGATGCAGATGTATAACCCATGCGGTATATTGGGAGTACTGATAAAGGTATAACGATGCAGTTTGATATTATTTACGTGCCTACCCTATTTCAATTCAACACAATCTGCTATCTGTATAAGTATTCGAAGAATAGTAGTCGGCATTGAAGAATTGATGATTAGAACATCTGTCTGGCCTGTCTGCAAAATCATTACTCAAACATCCTCCTCATGGACATCATAATCTGCATGGCCAGTGGGTACTGATGAGTGCAATAACCAGTGCACTGAAACCATTTCCGTGCAGAAGATCCTTTCGAGCTGCACAAAGTGCCAATCTTGCGCTCACTGTCCTGGGCTATGGGCTATATACAGAGCATTTCCATTATCCTGCTTCCCCTCCCTCCGTGGGTTATACGGGAAAATTGCACTAGACGTAGGAGCTCGGCCTCTTTCCAAGCGTGGGGCTGCTTGATCATCCCTATACAGAGAGTCTATCCCACTGGACGCCCCAGCGCCATACGGCCCAGTTTCACACGGAAAAGGCGCTGGGCCCAACCTACTGTCCCAAAAAAAGAACGGTTCACACAAAGCTCTCATTTAGTTGCACAAACTAACGGAGCTAAACAAGTTGGCAAGATTCCATAACATCATTCCTCTCCTCAGTCAATTCTTGGATGTACACAATAACAAGGAGGCCAGGCACCGTTAGGTCCTAAACATGCGGAGATTGCGCTTCTGCGAACATATGGTCGAGGACACCAAACCTACAAAATAAAGGTGTGGTGCCCCATGCCATAGTACGAGAAACCCCTTACCCAGTGCATTGATTTTAAAATATTCTAGGTCCCCTGATATAGAGTTATCGAGACATTAAGAAGAAATTTTCCTCGTTCAGGTGGAAGACGGTCAATTTGTTTATTTCCTAGTTATCCGTTTACCGATCTGGCCTTATTGGCAGCCGTACGACAGGGTCAAGCAACAGGGAAGTACCAAGGCAAACAAATGGTCTTAGTGAGTAGTGAAAGTCTCCAGAAGAGGCCATATGATTAGATATCAACCTTATTGTCAGTAATTATACTTCAATTATCTTCTTTGCTTTGATTGAGAAGATCCTTATTTCACGGCTTTTACTAACTCTCGTTGGCGCTAACTTCACAATGAGTCAAGAGCCTACAAGTTTACAATTTCACATTTTTGGGGATCTATGGCTGGAAGATCCCAAGCTTTTCCTCGATAAGATGGACGTGTCTGAGTTGGACGGTTATATGACTCTTATTCAAGCACTTGGCAAGAGTTGGGTGCAGCGTAAGCCAGCTTTCGATTCTACCTCGGGCCAGCTAAACGGAAATAGGTCCTCGGACTACTTGGAACCAAGCTTTAGCTTTTTCAAAATTTGTCGAGCGAGAAATGGCTACATGGACCAAACGAGGCGTAGAGGTATCTTCTTTTGATCTTCTAGAGCCAAGTGGCTCGATAGACTCATTGTTCGCATGCCACTTACTGAATCCAGCCTATAGTGTCGCCAACCCCAAGAATCGAGTGACTGATGACTATACAAGCCCAACAATAGCATTACTGCACAATAGCGGTTTCTCCTCAGAAAATGCTTTGATTTTTGATCAGGTGTGCCGCAGAGCGTCGTCAGCGGAAATGTTCGGTCTCTAACCAGATGAGTTCCACCAGCCACACCGCGATTTCGTTCATGAACTACGACAGAATACGGCTGCCATTGTTGAAATATGCTGGGGCAATGTTGTCTGGAAAGAGATGAAGAAGGAACTAGGTCCGCTACTAGTGAGCTTCCTCTTTGGGGTGTCTTTAAGCCCGTTAGGCTATATCTTGAGCTTGAGAAGGGCAAAAAATCTCTAAAAAGATTCATAATTTGGGTCCATCACCCGCAGTTCTTTGTTAGAAGCGGCTTCTTCAGACTCAGACCTGAAGCTAGGAGAGCCTACGGGGAGGCCGAAGACCTAGCTTTGACAGTGGCGAGACCGCTCGTCGGTGATGGAACAAACTTCACCGTCAATTACTTCCAGACTCGGCTCCCTTGTCACCAGGGCAACCAAATGACTCGCGAACAACAGAATCTTTTTGAGAGAAATAATGAGCTCCTCCAGAAGGCTTTTCAAGTGGCTTTTCCTGAGCAGTACCAGAAGCGTGCCCGTGAGCGAGAGAAGGCACAAGAGATACGTCGTCTTCTCGAAGGCTTGACAGAAACTTTTAAACCCATGGTCGCATTTGAAAGTAAAGAGGTCTCAGAGGATCAGCTGGTGATCTTATCCAAAGTTATAATTCTGATATACACTTACTAAGTAAGAAGCAGGAAGTTCTCGAGCGAGATAGGGCTAAAAAACTGGCGGCAACAGTTTCTTCTTTCGACACAATTCATCAGCTTCTTTTTTAAGTGATTCCTATGAGTTCCTCGGCGATATAGAAGCCCCTGTGGATGATTATGGGGAGTACACCGCCTGGGAAGCTCTTCCTCGACAGCTCCTTGATTGGATCCAAGCCCAAGGACTCAGAATTCACGGCAAGCCAATCTCGAGCCGTGAAATGCTTGAATTGGCCTCTCAGCTACTACATCGGAAAACTACTCACGACTTCTCTGACACTCGTACCTCTCCTATCGTGAATCTTGCAGTTCAGGTGGAATTACGATACATCAAGGAGGTAACGCGGAAAGGGAGTAAACTCACAGTGAGTTCCACGATCCCAGGAAGCCTCTATCAAATTGTTCAAAGACAGTACTTTACATGCAAGAAACCTGTACTGGATGATGCTTTCCCACAGTTTCACAAAGACATGCCGGGGACCTATATCATTGTAGTTTATGAAAGATCCAACTATGGTCGACCGGATAGTAAGGGGAAGAATGCGGCTCTCACCCCTATCGATCCTCGTCAGGAATACACGCGTCTCGGAAACCGAGCGCTTGAGGTCTCTGTCAAAGCCATAAAAAAAACGGCTCCAATCACGACCCTGCTGCGTTCAGGCTCGGATCTGAATGACTGTGCCGAAGAAGTCCTAGTCCAGTGTCCCAACAAAGAGTGTGGCCATCAGAAGTTAAACTCGGATCACGAGGTCCAAAGAATAGGTACCGACCTTGTTGGATGGCATGATCAAGATAAACAGCATTTGCTCATGTCGAGCACCTCCAGATCAGGTATCGATTCGACCGTCCCCTTTACCACCGAACGTGACTTCCAGCGATGTGATTCTCACTATGAGGTTTTCCAAACCGGGCAAATATCGTGCAAACTCGGTCAGAATTTCCCAAGGTCATATAGCCAGGAATTACCATCCGAGCATCAAAAGGCGGTTTGGCCGAGTGGTCTAAGGCGATTGACTGTATGTACCAATAGAGCCTAGTCCACAAAGAATTCTCACTAATTCCTCACAGCGAATCTTGCAACAAGTTTGTCATCAATTCCCTTCGGGGGCGTCGGTTCGAATCCGACAGCCGTCGATTATCTTTTTTTGTTCGCCGACTCAGATACAGTAAAAATCTTTTCTGTCTCGTAGAATTTGAATTTGGCGGCTGTTGTCAATTTAAAAATGTTTCCTTGAAACTACGAAGATGACATTCTTAGTAAAGAACGCGCACTTTGTCGCTGGTGGTTTTGCCACCAATTTCCTTTTTTGAGCTGTCGTACTTGGATCATATAGCCTGACCGGGATGTAGTTTTTATCCAATGGCGGTTTGGCCGAGTGGTCTAAGGCGATTGACTGTATGTGCAACCGTAATAATACCCGTCACCTCGAATATTCAACTAACTCTATCACAGCGAATCTTCTGATAAGTCATCAATTCCCTTCGGGGGCGTCGGTTCGAATCCGACAGCCGTCGGTTGCATCTTTTTTTTCTCGATGTCTGTTTTTCTACTGGTAGAGTTTTAGAACCACAACGGTACTGTTTTTTTGTAACCTTTTATTAGGAAGAAGTCTCATTACTTGCTTCCGTCGCACTGTATGGATCTGTGGAACCCTCATGGGTGATTCAAGGCAAAGATACATAGAGAAGGTGTGCGTGTGTTCAAAGGCGCCAGTCAGTATAAGCATCTCCAACCCCCCACCCCCATCACGAATTAGTCTAAGTAGCAGGATCTTCTATCCGTTAAGAGCTGAACAATCTACACCTTGTACATAGAGAAGATACTCGCAAGAGAGAGGTGGTACAATATCCACAGGATAATTCCACGAGATGTACTGTCAAGTGATATCTCTACTGCCGAGGCCCCTTAAGGAACACTGCCAACATTACCTGCTCTCAAAACAAGATAACTTAGCAATCACTAAGGCAAGTTCCTGGCCTCCAGCTTTGCTTGCGTCCGCCTCGCTCTTTGAACATGGTCTTCCAGTGACTCGTCATAGCATAACAACTTTGGATATCTCCCAACATCTGTCCCCTCGACATTCTCAACTTCATATATTCGTGGAAGCCCTTCCTACCGAAGCCCAGTAGTTTGAAGCACAAAAAATGGCGTACACCCGCCCGCAATCAGAATGCTTTGAAATTAATCCTAGGCCATGCGGGCATTGTTATTTTCCATGAGGAATATCTAACCACCTGTCTCCGACCAATTCTACCTACAGGATGCGATGAGTTAGTCATCAGGGGCTACTAACTAGTACGGCACCTTTGTTTCTCGCTGTGGTAACGACCAAAATTTCGCCGTAAGTGTAGTCGTATTCCAAGACCTAGTATTCTACTTATACTGCGAGGTCATAATGAAATCTAGGGTTTCCCGCTAGGTAACTAACGATACTATAAGGCAATATACGGAAGCTGATAAGGATGATCTGACTTTAAAGCGGTATCGCCGAGGGGCTGGTTAGGCTAATCGCTGTATGGCAGCACTGCTAGTAAATGGATAGGGATATCGGAGCTAGGGGCTTTTCCTTCTTGGTATATTCTTCTTATAGTTATCGCATCGCCTTAGCTGATAGAAATTGTATTAGAAGGTCGATCCTCGGCTTAGTTCGCCGCGTTTGCTACTAACGATACTAATAGTTACAAGACTATGACGATATATATAGGATATAAAACTGTTCCCATGTGGGAAGACGGTTGGATACTATACTGCGTTCCTTGTGTCGTGCACTATATCATAGGCTATATAGTTCCGTAAGGTTCCCTGATTAGCACGCTGAACCCTAACTAAGAAACCTTCTAGACTAGTAGAAATTCGCAACATTCTAGGCTACGGATCGCTCTTATCTTCCGTGTAGCTCATCTCCACGTATTTTCAGGAATGCTTACGATCCCTATTCACGGACTTAGGCGCTCAGGTCGCGATTAACAATGCACTATACGTAACCGGCCGTTATCTAACCGCTATTCTTAGACGTCTAGTCTACCAGTACCCTCCTAACCTTGTTTCCACTACTAGATAGTCTATTTCGGGGGTGATAAGGACATCTTTAGATAGCCTGAAATACCACCCCACTAACCGTATTACGGGGGTATTAGTGGCTAAATCACGAATATTGGGAGAACGATCAATAACGTGAATAGGTATCGCGTAGATTTGATGGTTGGTATTAGCATAAAATCTATAGCCGTGTCCTATTTCTCGTGATTGTTGTTTCCAGAGCGGGAAAAGGTTGACCTCCTCGCTTTGCCTTGTGGAATTGAAACACTGGTAGAGATAGGACAGACGCAGGTAGGACGCAGGTAGGTTAGCATGGGCATGGCCTTACACGGGACTTTGAAAATAGTTTCCCAGGTTTCGGTCACAATCACAAAACTCTCCAGGACCAGGCCTTCGAGGCGGGGGTGGTTATTGAGAAATACATCAGGCTGGGCTCCGTTGCATAGAACCCACCAAGAGAGCACCGCCGAATATGGGGCCAGTGAAGATGAGATGCAATGACGCGTAAGACTCTTTGGTTGCCGAGTATGCTACTGGATGCGTTGAATTGGTAGAGTTGGAGCTCCTCGAGGTTCTGCATCTGGTCTAGGAGACGCACGAAGCGCAGGATGGCTCTACGTGTCAAAATATGATCCTCGAGGAAATTGAATTCGGCTTCCCACCCAGGTAGTAATTGTGAAGCAATCTTGATATCAAAGCTCTTGACCCCTGATGGTGCCAGGCTGTGTCCCACCTTTCTCAAGTTCTGTCGTGGTGGCCGCACGACCATAATATGACACAGCACCAAACGGGGATTGCCGGAAGATGCTCAATGCCTCCAGGGAGATGCCACTCTTTGCGATGGCGGAGATGAAGAGACGGTAGATCCGAGAGCACATGGACATGTTGAGTAAGAAGTCCGAAATCCTAGGGTCACAACGAGCCGCTGGTCGAGCTCCAGTGACTACAATGAGATCGAGATCGATCACTTCAAGGCTACCCAGGGATCTCAAAGCTGAGGTGAGGAGCTCAAGAGCAGATGTCTCAAGAAACTCATACTGAATGGTGTCTTGAGACTCCACAAAGTTGACATCCTCTGCCGTAGTGGGCTGTTCGATGGTGAACATCGTCCTCGCGCCAGTCATGTATAGGGGTACGCGAACTATGAGCTCTCGCACAGTAGATTTAAACTCTTCATAAGAGGCGAGGTCAACGAGCGACTCGAGACCTTTCTTGGAGAATTCGATAGTTTGGCGTCTCAGGAAGCCGTTGAAGCAAGGACCGGAACAGAGGTCTTTCATTTGACGGCTAGTCAGCCGGAGATTCGTGACTGCCTGGGCATCCAGATGGCGGATGATCTCTCGCTGGCAGTCGTATGGAATGCTTGACAGTGTCAAAGACGGAGATGTCATGCTTTGACTGGGTGCTGTAGTGAGGCAGCTGATGATTTTGAGCAATGTATGAGGAGATGTGGTGTGGAAGGGAGGGTTGGCAAGACGAGGAAGAGAACGAGGAAGAGAACGAGGAAGAGAATCGGCGAGATGGAGTTTCCTCACATCAGGCTACAGCTGAGACTTGGTCGTTCTAGACAATTCCACCACAAACAAAAATCAATGTTGCTATTGACTTCCTTATATTTCCTAAACAAGAAACAGCCGATCACTGTGGTCTTTCCAACCCAAACAACGCCACCACATCCCCTTCTATATGAAACTCCTCGAGAATCCGAAACCCATTCTTCTGCAACACCCTCGAACTTCCAATGTTTGCCTTGTTGCATGCAGCATACAACATTTCTTTTTCACCCGAATCCTCAACGTCTTTCCTCTCGAGCTTCCACCATGCATCGACAACTCCACCAACTGCCTCGCTGATATACCCTTTACCCCAGAAGGCAGGATGAATACCGTATCCAATTGACGGCGATGGAACAAGGGCATTGATTCCTACCGCGCCGATGACCTTTTGGGATGGGTCGTCTGCGCGGATAATAGCAAATTGGAATTGTCGTCCAATAGCGCCGGTTGCATCGGGGGTTTGGAAAGTCTTGCTGGTGATTGATGCCTCTGTCTCAGAGATGTCCTTGTGGGGGACTCTGGGCCATCTATAGATGATGATTTCGTATGTTAGCAAGGCCTATGAAATCATCGTTTACCTCATTACCTAGAATGCGAATCGGAAGTCTTACAGCCAGTCTGCCACCTCCTGCATGCGCCGGAATTCAAAGATATCATCAGCATCTTTGACGTCCAGACTACGTAGATACAAGTTCTTGGTTTGTATTGGCTCTAATACCGCAGGTATGATCACTCGAGTGAGTTTCTGGGGGTAGAACGACGCTTTCGTGGTTTGAGGGTCCGCTGTCATCGTGGCGGGTTGGGCATTCGCAACGCAAGCGGTGAAGGGCTATTCACGGTCTATATATGCTTGAGAAAGAACTGGGGCTGATCTCCGACATAGACTGGACGTTAGAAAATCGACTCGATTGGCGGGAAGGTTAGAATAAGAGGTTATAGGGACAGGCTTGGAATGGTCACATCCACGGACCTGTTTGACTCATGTTCGGCTGGATGCCCCGCTTTATACGACAAAGTGCAACATTAGCAAGCCAGGCGTACGAGGATAATCAGCCCATTTGATATAAAATATATTCTCAGGAGTGGTGTATTTCCTAATCATTATCGTAAGATTCTGGCTCAAGCTTCAAGCTTGCTAATGTACATTGGTCACATATAGCCCAGCACCAGCAAAAATAGTTGGAGGGACAAAACAACAGAAAGGCAAGACTCGAACGGACTGGAACGAGCCATTATCTCCATCATCCATGTATCAGTAGTTCTCATACCCATCTTGTCTATGCACCGCCCTCCCTCTTCGCATACTCATCCTCCATGCGCTCCTCATACAAGCGATCCGCCTCCTCCTTACTCAACGGGCGATCGCCCCGATCATTTTGCGACGAGTCATCGCGGATGGTAGTATCGAGGTGAGGGACACTCCCATTCAGCGCAGCGAAGGAACTGATATCAGCCTGGCCGGTGGAGCATACGGTGCCGGTGCTGTTGGGTTGGCCTTGTCTTTCTTGGGTTTGGAAGTCCGGAGTTGGGATCGGCATGATGGTTTTGGGTGGTGAAGAGTTTTGAAATGGTCTTGTAGTGAGAGATTGCAGGTATTCGCAAATACTGATGAGAGGTATGACTGGTGTTGAAGAGGTTAAAATGCAGTTTAAATAGTGTTGTGGAGCAAGTGTGCTTGGAGCTGCTGCGTTGCCGCTACGGCTGTGGCGAGAGCTTTGAGTCAGACGTCATGGCCAAGTTGGGGGGCAACTCGAGTGGGTCGCACTGCCACACCTTGGGGAGCGTTGACCTGAGTGTATGACTGTGGAGATCTGTGTAGAGCCAAGAATCATATGACAATCGCTCATTAGGTCGTCTAGAAGCGTCGCTAAAGCACATAGTCACTGTACTCAAAACGCAAGTCTGGCGTACTAAAGCCTCGTCATGTCATGATCCGCCATAATCCTCCCGCCGAAAGCCATTCGTTCATTAAAGTTCTTAAGACAAAAGTAGAGCAAAAAGTAAACATCAAGGGAAACATCGTGCCATTCGTAACAGCTCCCTGGATCTAGCATTATTCTATGTACTCCCTACTCTGCGCTAAGAGCAAGGCATGCGTCGACAGCGAGACCGACTCTGTCGAATTCAGTTAGTATAATAAATCATAACCAATAGATCCGGGACAAAACTAACCTCCCCTCCTTCTGATTGACCACATCATCAATAACATCGCGGTCCAGATTCGGGAACATGTTCGAAAGTGTCTCGACAACATTGTTATGCTCCGCACGCTGGATGCGGCGTGCTTCGGCTTCTTCAGCGCTAGCCTGACGGGCAGCTGCGTCTTGGGCATCCAGCACACGGCTTAGATTCTTCTGAGCTCCACCAGTCTTATCCCTAGGTGGAGCCGGGCGCTCATCACCAGATCGACGACCTTCGTTACTTGCGCGGGGAGGTTGGTAGACATTGGGTGTGAGGCGAGCGGGCGCGACACCTGGTAGGGGAGTTGTTGCGGGCTGGAGGGGGCGATCCTGAGCAGGAGCTGGGCTCAAATCTCCGTCGTCCGAGAATATCCGACCGATAGTGGAGAGAGGTTTTTGGATGGTACGGAGGAGGCCTGCAACGGGGGCAGAGGTGTCATCATCACTAGGCTGGGAGGCATCTCTTCGACTCGGTCCAGCTGCTTGTGGAGCTGGGCCGTTGGGGGTGGAGGGTTGAATCGGAGACTTCTCAGCCAGGGATTCGTGTTCACGATTTTGTTCGGCAATGGCGGAGACGGCTGCCTCGACGTTGCGCTCGAAATCTCCATCGCTGACCGTAAGACTCGTGCGGTCTAGGGTCTCGATGAATTGGATGGCTCCGGACTGTGTCAGTGGTTAGCAGGCCGTGCGAGGGCGAGGTCAGGTACCTTTGACTGGGTATAACATACTAATGAGGAAAGATAGTAACCTGCTTCTCCTCCAAGCTTTTCCTGATTGCGGAACCGCAGGATGTATTGAATATTGGAAACAAGATTTCCCGGGTTCGCATGCAATACCACATAGATCAGGAGTGGAACAAATGAATCAGCAGACGTATCGGCGCTTCTGCTATTCTTCAAAAGACCAAAGATCACTTTGCAGCAGTTCAGGATGCAGATCACTTTATCTCGGGGAGCGCGGTAACCATTTATCTTTAACAATTCTAGCGTTCCAATCAGTATTTAGGCAAATTTCAGCAACAGATGACAAAAGCATACCTTGCTGAGCCAAAGTCAGGAACCGTCGGCCACTGCCACTGACAGGCGCGATATCCAGATGCTCCTCCTTAACCCAACTATAAATGCGAATCTTCTGCGCCAAGATATCATCCCGTTCTATATCCTCTTGATGCTGGCCCCGTCGCCAGGGCCCATGAAGCCTCTCAATCTCTCGCCTCCGACTCCGGCTCGTACTTCTAGGAATTGTTGGTGGAGCAGGGATCGCCGGCGAAAACGTCTGCGAATACAGACGATTCATCACCAGCTTCTCCATTCCTTCCTTCGCATTATCGAACTCAGCATCTGACACGTCACGCCAGACTTCGCACATTGCCATTTTATTTGTGATGAAAGCCAAGAAGTCGCTGATAATCTTGACTTGTTCGTGCGCCATCCATTGCTTCTTTGCAAACTCGGTCAGGAATGAGCGCAGGAACTTGGCGACCGGATCAGCAGTCCGGTGACGCAGTTGCTCTAGGAATCTGTGGAAATCGAATGGTTGGTCGGGTTCAGGCTCGGGTGGAGGCGGGATGGTAGAGGCTGATGATTGTCGGGTCAAGGTAAGCTCTTCGGGGCCGACGGAATGTCGGTGACCAGGTACGGTCTGCCCAGTATGTGGTGCGGCGGACCTTGAAGGTCCAGAGCCGGGAGAGTGTACGGGTTCGAGGCTCGACCTGCGAGGCGGGAAGTGCTGCGACGTGCGGAATTGTTCGGCCAGCTCTAGACGAGGGGACATAATCTCCTGCTGGCCGGTGGTTCGGGTAGGGTCCTGGAACTGGCCCATGATATTCTGAATCTCCGGTTGAGAGTCATTATCATCTCGAGCTCCATTGTTTCGAATAGTCTGATTGGTTTCGGGATCGCTATCACCGGGTACGTCTGGTAGCTCCTTTTCGGAGCTTGGGCGGGAGTTGGGTGCGCTAGGCTGTGGAGTAGTGACAGGAGCGTTTGGATTCGAGTTGAGGTATGAATCGTCTTTCTCGGGCGGCGGGGGGAGGGGGGAGTATTGGTCGTTAAGGACAGCCCAGACTCGGGTATCTGGACCGACAATGACAGCGCTTCGACCTGTCCCGCAAGCCGGTCTGGATGAGACGGTGCTGCTACTGCAGGTAGAGATTCTGCTGCTGGGTCGGTCTGAACATCGACTAATCCAGCAGGGGTGTGCGACTCCGCATGCGGTTCGGTGCTCATCTCGGTTTGTTGTAAGCTCTCGATCGAGGGGCCATGATGCGTCTCCGGCAGGTCGGGTGGGGGCGTTGGGCTCTCGGGCTCCTCGTGAGTGGGTTGGTCTCCCTTTTCCTCGGGACCCGAATGGGACAAGGGTTCAGTGGCCGACATGAGCTAAATCAACATGCAGGCCACGTAACTGTCTTCAAGGTATCACGATAGTAGTTGTCGGGAGTGTCGAGGCTCGCATGTTGATGCGCGGATCATTGGTTCAGCCGAGGCCGCCTAAGCACGAGGCTCATGTCATTAATGTACTACTGCTGTTGTCGCTTGAAGGTGGCCCAAAATTAGCATTGATCTACAGATTCTAAGGTACAGATCTGAGCTATACATCATGACATTTTGTCACATAATTTTCTGAAGCGTTTCCTACGGCTACCTCGTACTTCTCAGGAGCTAACCCCGCGGCCGGAAATAGATGGATGACTAATATTACAGCCTCAGGCCTTCAATAGCATAAAAACATTCGATTTCGCATCCAAACCTCAGACACGCCTCCGTTGCGCCCACGCCACTCTATCATGTGTGGGATTTTCTTTTCCTTGTCAAGGAAACCCACTATACCCAATTCAGAAACTAAATCTTTGCTGATACAACGCGGTCCTGACAGCTGTCAGACGCACACAGTTCAACAGGAGGTCCCGGCACAAGATGGAGTGTCTGCGCCAATAACACTGTACCTCACATTTATCTCGACTGTGCTATCATTGCGAGGTGATCATGTCTACAAACAGCCCCTTGTAGATGCCGCCACTCAATCTGTATTCTGCTGGAATGGGGAAGCCTGGAAGATTGCTAACGAGCGGGTCTCGGGTAATGACACAGAGCTTGTTTTTGGTCGATTCCTGCAGGCTGTGACGGGTGGTGCCCATCAGGCCATTGAAAACTTTGCAAGTGTTGTTGCAAGTATCTCGGGTCCATTCGCATTTGTCTTCTATGATGCTGCACATGGACGAGTGTTCTTTTCCAGAGATTGCCTTGGCAGAAGGTCACTTCTGCGTGGCTTGGACGAGGATGGCAGTCTGAAGATTTGCAGCTTATGCGATGGCTCATCCTCTACGCACTTCCAAGAAGTTGGTTTTGAAGGTGTCTATATGATTGATCTTGAGAAATACCAAGAGCCATCTATAGACTCTGCAGAGCCATATAAGATTGACATACTGCCATGGAGTTCTGACCCTCGTCCTCCTGCAGGTCATATAGTGAGTCTGCAATACGCCAGAAATATTGCAATGGTCTTGTCTAACCTTGCTCGCTAGAAAAATCCCATTCCGCCAATGAACATGTCCGTCCCAGGGGAACAACCTCCTGCACTTAAACCAGAGACACCCTTTGTGAAGGATCTCCAATCCAAACTGCACCAGTCTCTCGCCCTAAGAATTGAAGATGTACCCAACCCACCCGATTACATCCAAGGCCAAAGCGCCAAAATTGCAGTCCTCTTCTCAGGAGGCCTAGATTGCACACTCCTCGCCCGCCTAGCTCACAACATCCTCCCCATAAACGAACCAATCGATCTCCTCAACGTCGCATTCGAGAATCCTCGAGTTGCCGCCGCCGCCGCCGCAACTTCGAAGCCGCAAAATCCATCTTCATCATCCCCTCCATCAAAACCCACTTCCTTCTACGAAGCATGTCCAGACCGGATCACCGGCCGCTCAGCACACGCCGAGCTCCAACAGACCTGTCCAGACCGAACATGGCGCTTCATCGCCATCGACATCCCCTACACTGAAACCCTCGCCCACCGCGACTCCGTCAAGCGACTCATGAGGCCGCACAACACGGAAATGGACCTATCCATCGCCTGCGCGTTGTACTTTGCCTCGCGCGGCCAAGGAGCCATCTCCAATCCCACCCCTTCCCCCTACACCACCACCGCCCGCGTACTGCTCTCCGGTCTCGGTGCAGATGAGCTATTCGCCGGGTACGGCCGTCACGGAGTCGCATTCACCCGTGGCGGATTCCCAGGACTCATCGCCGAGATCCAGTTAGACGTCAGTCGACTTGGTCAGCGCAACCTTGGCCGCGATGACCGGGTGCTCGCTCATTGGGGCCGGGAGACGAGATTCCCGTACCTGGATGAGGAGTTTGTCGCGTGGGTGCTGCAGGCACCGGTGTGGGAGAAGTGCGGGTTTGGACTTGCGGAGCCGCAAAGTGAGGATGGAAAGCGGTGTCTTGAAGGCATTGATAAGGAGAAGATGGCGCTGCGGCTTGTGGCGCTTCGATTGGGGTTGAGCTCTGTGGCGAGAGAGAAGAAGAGGGCTATTCAGTTTGGCGCTAGGACGGCTAAGATGGAGAAGGGGAGGACGAAGGGGACTGATGCGTTGAGCTAATGGTTCCTTTCGTGTTTCCTGCTCTTTGATGATATCTTTGTGCTGGTCATGTCAAGATTCTTTGTCTTGAACCCATGCATCTCTTCCTATTCCCTTCTTAACATTTACACCCCCATAAGCGAGTACATAACCCCCCATCTACACAATCCCCAACCCCAGCGATGATGACAAAACATGGAATCAGATACTTCCGAAACCGCGTCCCATCCACCTTCTCCTCCCACTTCCACGACTCGAATCAACAAGGACACTCACTACCCACTACCCCGCTACCCACCCAGAGCAACCGCAGTCCCTAGACGGCGTGTAGCTCGGAAAGGTAACAGGGTTGCATGGGATACAACGTGTGGTCCGAACTTGCAAAGCGCATGGATATCGAGTTCGTAGAATTGGAGATCACAGGTGGAGGGGGGATATGGTTCATGAGGGTATAAAAGGCAAGTCTGAGCTGGGACCTACGTGTGTATTATTTCACAATTCTTGAGATAGAGTAGTAGAATGTACGGGTGTGTGGTCACTACGTTGGCTTTGATAGATGGGATTAAGAATTCAGGGATTCATTACAGTAGTTTTCGAAATCAGTTAAACCTCAACACTGTCAGGACTTCATTCCCGGAAAATATATCTGACCTATGTGAGATCTAATTGGATAAGATCTTCCAGGCCCTATTTCAGACCGCTTTCTAGAATAGTCTGTGTATTTTACAATACGACAATGGGACCACACGGGATGTATTTCTGAACATAGGCCTCTAAGACACCAGAACACAACCTTGATGTAGCAGGCACTCGTTTCTCATTCCTGGGAAGTAAACCTATTGTGCATCAAGGGAGCCTCTAGGTCTCTGGGAACCAAAGTATCAAATCTCGGGAAAGGCGGGCATCTTGCCACGGAACCCCTATCATGGGTCATTATGTTCGAGGAAATTCTGGAAATCGCCTTTGACCCCCGGAGACCACGAGGCAGCAATACCTGCTACTGCAAAGAGAAGGCGGATTTCATGATAGAGTGCTTGGAGGGATTTTGAAGAGCATGTCGAATGACCACAGCGCTAAATGTTTGTAGGTGCTGCTCATTCGCGCATCAAGAGCTTCAGGCCCAGGGATTCTTGTCTGATTAGCGGGAGCGATGGAAATCCCGTTTGCGATGTTCTCCTCGTTTGGGTCACAGAGTTCCGGATACTTGATGAAAAAAGACGGATCCAGTTTGAAAATGCCAATTCCACTGTCCATCCGTAATTTCTTGAAGACGAGAAGAGCAAACTCTGGGGAATTGAAGATAGTTTCAACATCTGGGGCTGGTAGTTCGCAAGATAACGTAATATTGTCACTGAAATTAGCATCCAGGCTACCCATTGCTTCTAGTATATCCCATAAACGGACATAACAACGAGATGGAGAAGTGCTCCCCTGAACAAGCTCCGAGAGGTCTGTTTCCACAGAAAATGAGGTAGACATATCGGAGATGACTTCATCAAGACAGGGATTAGCGGCATGATACATAATGAGCCGCTCGCGGACCAGCCCAAATGGACACCAGTCAATCACAGGGGGGTATGTCGCCATGGTCTGTAGAGCGGTGGGCCGGAACCTTGGATGCAATCGAGAATAGATCTCCCAGCTCCGGGTGATCCGCCAGGTGACCAAATTCGTAACTTGGGGATACAATTTTGTCTCTGAATACCATCTGAGTGCCGATGGTCTCGAAAGTCCATTGAACATTGAGAGCATAACAGAGACTGTTTGATATAACCTGAGCCTAACAGTTAGCAGAGAACATAGAAAATCACAAGCAGCTGCAGCCGAGCACGTACGAATCAACGTTGGTTTGTGTTTTCGAAGAATGTTTGCACCAGTTTTCCATGACGAGACACTCAATAAGGGTGATGTGATCAGAGAAAGATGAATTTGTAATTGCCAAGGGTGCAATTCCCGACTGGCAAAGCTTCGATTCGCGCGAAACCGCCCACTGGTAGACACTAGGTCCCATTTGATATTCATATGACCACACACCTGGAATTTGAGTCATTGACAAAGTGCTTTCTATTTCATCTTGTGAGTAAGCAAGAGCTATTGTCGTTGGTTCTGGGGGATGCTCTGGTAAATAGGACGGTGTGGAATCCAACTCGATGCAGTTCTCTGATGACAAACCCATGTTTGTATCAGTTGCATTCACAATGGACAACGTAGCTACCTCCTCAGTTTGAGGAGCCAACCATCCAATTGGCGCATTAATTGCGGTGTCTTGGCATGGCCCACGTTGATTGTTGTCTCTATCACCGCCTATATCCAACTCCTTCAAGTCCTGCATGCGTTCACATTAGTGGTTTTCATGGCAGCAAGAAAGCCGATTTACCCACTTGTGCTCCTAAGACTTCCCCAAGAGACTTAGACAACGTTGCTATTGTTACCTGAGTAGCCTCAAGTCTGCCACGACAATCCAGCAGCGCCTGACGTAATCTGGTATTTTCAAGTTCAAGTTCGGCTATTCTTTCGTTATCTGACTTCCCAACGTCGCCGAGCCGTCTTTCTAGGTCCCGCCGATATGCTGCTTGTCTCTCTCGGAAGGCTTTTTGAGAAAGGCGATTACGCAACCTCCTAGGCAGCAAGTCAGCTCGATGAATAATGTTTGAGAAACAAGGAATTTTCTCAACCTTTTATCGGCTTCTGCCAACTCTTTGCAGGAGATTTGCCGATTATTCATTGATTGGAATAGAGAGGAAACTAGTCAGCCGGGTTCATGACATCTAAATGAAGTGGGAGAGTTGGTAAAAATTTTTAGTTCCCGCCTTACCACCAACTTCAGGATCCCCTACTTTCACGTGACCACATAAATTAAAGGATGATATGGCACCACTACGAGGAACATTTGGCCAGTAGAGCATTGTAGACATCATATCCAGTTAATCTCAAAGAATCGAGCAGATAAGATCGCTGTATCGACATTCTGGACCAACAGCAAAGGAAGATCAATAGGTCAGGCATCAGATCTTACCGAAGCCGATGGACGTGACCCTAGAGTTGAGATTATCGAGCTGTCGCGTGGTCCCCATGTAAGCCTGCTAGCAAGAGAAAATGACTGTAGAGACCGAGAATATGCCAATGACATTTTTTGGCCTAGCAGCATTGTCTTCCCATGAAGCATCTCAGGCGGGTTTTTTCATGGGGCCTTTTGTCATGGCCTAATTATGGCGTCGGCGAGCCTGCTTCGCAAATAGACGATGCATCCAATAATATACTGCAATTTTGCTTTAGTGATAACGAGACTGGGTGCGAAGATATAGCAAAGTGGGTGATTGAAAAGGGAAGTTTGGTCACCACGTCCCTGCCGCCATCCCCACCTCTTAAAGGAAGTGGGGCGCGGATAGATAGTTGACTAACTACTTTATTAGTAACCATCCTAAAACAGAAATATCCTGCTTACGCTTTGATAGGCTCCTAGTTGACTCTACAAAGCTATCTACAAAACCGACTCATGATCTTTCCATCCTACTACCTAGTAGGTCCCACACGTAGTAAGCCTTAGGCACCAGTTTTGTAAGACTTGTCTTATGCGAGAGTGGGTCCATACAAAGCGCCATGGCATTGCTAGTGTATAAGCCTAACGTGAGAAAATGTACAAATAAGGCGTTCTTCATCTTGAATCTCCTGTCAATGACAACAGTAAAAACTACAACGTTCGTCTTGAGAAAGGAAATGAAAGCCAGCTCAAAAAATGATCCTTTCAATTGCAGACCTAGAGGCTGCGGCCTCTGGTAAACTCCCTGATGCAACCCAAGGTGAGGAGTTGGAAATGCTTAAAAGCTTCAAAATATTTGCGACAAGGAAGGAATTGTCAAAGTTACTGACGATTGCTCTAACTCATAGCATTTTTCAACTCTGGCGCAACAAACCAGATTACGGTCAAGGAAAATAGTTCGGCATTCTCAAAATATCGCATCCGTCCTCGAGTGCTTCGCGATGTGTCCAATGTTCAAACTGAAATTGATATTCTTGGCAAAAGCATCACTTTTCCACTTTGTATGTCACCGGCAGGAGTCCAAGCTAGGGCTCATCCGGAAGGCGAGCTCGCTACTAGCAGGGCCTGCTCACAGAAGAACATCCACATGGGGGTGTCTTCCTTTGCAAACAATTCCGTGGAAGATATTATTTCTGCTGGAAGAAATGTTGGTGGCCAAATCAATTACGGAATGCAGCTCTATACTATGCAGGACCGTGAGGCAGAGAAAGAAATTATCGCGAGGGCCGAGGGGGCTGGTTGCAAGGCAATCTTCTTGACCGCAGATAGCCCAATTTTGGGGCTTCGATACCATGAGAAGCGTTCAAATTTCAAAATATTCGATGGAATTTCGTTCCCAATGGTTGAGAATGGATGGGAAGACAAGAAAACCCAGTCTCATGATGAGCGATTCATTTCATTCAACTCCGACTCTCATTCCTGGGATGAAATCGCCTGGCTGCGAAGTGTTACCAAGATGGAAATTTGGATCAAAGGTGTTTTGACTGCAGAGGATGTTGAAATGGCGATCGAGAGCGGCTGTGACGGTGTGATTGTGAGCAATCACGGTGGCCGGCAGTTAGACGACGTGGTTCCTACAATTGACGCTCTACCTGAGTGTGTTAAGGCTGCTCAAGGCAGAATCAGAGTTCATGTCGACGGAGGAATTAGATCAGGTGCTGATATCTTCAAAGCTTTAGCCCTTGGCGCCGAGTGTTGTTGGGTTGGTCGTCCCATGCTCTGGGGCCTTGCGGTAAGTATCTTCCTGTTATATCATATTGGATTTATTTTGCTAACCAGATGATTCAATAGTATGACGGTCAGAACGGCGTGGAACTGATGATTGATATCTTATATCAAGAGTTCAGGCGTTGCATGCAATTGGCTGGTTGTCGCACTGTTGCTGATATAACTCCAGATCGCCTTGCAAGGATTGGCAGCGACGGGTCTATGTCAAGACTATAGAATGAGATTCGTGTGGTTTTCGCTTAACTTATCTAGCGTAAGACATAAAGCATCAAGAGACTTGTTACTGATCCCCTTATAACATCGTAATCTTCAATAAATCCCAATTCAGACACTGTATCAAAGAATGATGTCTGTACATAGGCCGTATCACTTACGCCCAGATATGTGGACTAGAACTAAACCGATGGGTGAAAGCGCAGCGTCGATGGAGCTGGGGCTATGGCTTTGCCAGGAGATTCACAGGTCGAATTAAGAAATTTAAGCTCTGGGAATTAACTACCAAGATTCTCCAGCGTGACAATCTTCTTTGGAATGAAGAGCTCAGACTGGCGTTAGGTATTGACTTTCACAGCTCTGCATTGAAATGTCGGCCAGCACTGTCGCAAGTTCCTGCGAATATTTTTGATCGTCCGTTGGCTGCATTCAGATGCGTCAGCCATTTGAAACGTGGTTAGGGACTGCGTTTGTATCATATCACGAATAAAGTGTAGCTTTGAAGTGACGTAATCCAGGTGAAATACTGGGCAGAATGACTCTGACATTCCTCAAGGTATAGTGTTGGTGGTGCAAAAGGGCGGATGCCAGGTCCGATGGGCATGGAGAGGCACTGAGGTAGCGTATAGAAGCTTCGCGTAATATACAGTATTATACGTACAGTACTGCAATCGTTCTAGAAACAAAAGGGCCCATTCTTAGAAAAAGATTATTTACAGCTCAACTAAACACATATTATGGTACGGGCCGAGGAAAAAAAGTGTGTCCATGGGGGATTTTGTATTCGAAATCTACAGTGGGTATGCAAAGGTTTGCTTCCGCCCTCTCATATTTAGTCAGGGGAAGGAAGGAGGCCATCCTAACTTTTGCATACCCACTATAAATTTCGGTATTATTACAATGAGTCATCTGTGGTCTACAACCATTAACTAACTAGTTACTATTACAATTCTGCCGAAATCATAGAGCAGTGTACTAAAATGGATTAGCGCATTTCAGATTTATTTTCCGAGAATGAAGTCGCAAGAGTGCGGAGGTATAACTGATTTTGAAACTACTGTATTGCAACGCATGGAAAACCTGTGAGCTGAACTATAGAGTATTGCGACGCACATTTATCATGTTTAGCACGCACTATATCCCAGTCTGGTCAACAAAGTCGAGAGCAGACGCCAAACGTCCACAAAATCGCCGCGGAAACGGTTACACACGCAAACACAAAGGTCAAATAGGCATACGCAAGGGCCACTTGGGAGTAAAGGATCGGCAGCCATAGTACTGTGTTATGGAGAGCTCATGCGCTACTAACCTGGACTGGTCAATTTACAAAGTAAAGGCATTGCAAGAGCAGAAAATTGATTGATTATTCGAAAAGTGAAAACAAATCGAGCCACGAGTCAATCACCATCTGAGATGGGAGACAATCAGAACCGGCTTAACTAACGAACTAGCGATGATCCTCCGAAACACAAAAAGAAAGGACGAAAGTCCTTATGAAAGGCAGATGACAATGTTCGAGACGTCCCGAGTCATGTCGTAACTTTTAGAGAAAAGCAAGGCACGAAGCCCTGCGATTCTCGGTGGGACGTCAGGGTAAATGGCTTGACCCATCACCCACGCCCACCACAGCGAGGCCAGTTTGGCAAAACCACGAAAAGCAAGCAAAAGAGAAACTCCCGAAAACGAATTTTAGATCTCGAGCTGAAAGTGCGAACCCACTTAAGCGTATTGCCGGTGGGTCTCGCGCTCGGCCAGAAGCTTGGCAATCACCGCATCCTTCTCCTCGAGCTGACGCTTGAGCTCAGCGATCTGGACCTCGGCGGTCATCTGGCGCTCGAGCTTCTTGGCACGAGACTTGCGAGCAGCCTCAGTGTTGCGAGCGCGCTTGGCAGCAACAGGATCGCTGGGGTCGAAGGCAACGGGCGACAGCTCCTTGCGAGAACGAGTGACTCCAGCAACAGAGGAAGGCTTGGCGCTGCCAGCAGCAGAGATTGGCGAAGAGGCTGACTTGGACGCAGACTGGCGCTTGGGCGCAGGAGGAACAGAGGCAGTAAGCTGCATCATCTGTTGCTTGGCAGGCTCCTCGAGCGAGGGAAGTGCATAGTTGCTGAGAGCCTCGATGGCGGGCTCATCACCGAAGAGAGAAGGCCAAGGAGACTGGTGCAGTGCATCCATCTCAGTGAACATAGGAGAGCTGTTGGCACTGAAAGCGCCGCCAGGCGATGCGAAAGATGGGGTGCTCATGTCGGTGAAAGTGGCCGAGGGAGGCAGAGAACCACCGTCGTTCATGAGGTCCTTGGGCGAGATGGTACCCAGAGGAGCAGGGGAGAAGGCACTGAGATCAGACTCAAGAGGGAGCTGGTCGAGGTCAAAGGGCGAGCCCAGGCCAGCGGTGAAGCCAGCAGAGGGAAGCCCAAAGAGCTCCATGTCGTGATCTGATGGGAGAGTGTGAGTGGGATGGTTGCAAGAAGAAAGGTGAAAGGGCGTGGAAATATTACCTTGGAAGTTGGGAGTAGACATATTGCCACGAGGAAGGTGCGTGGACCGATTCTTGTTTGTGGTGAAAAACTGGGGGGCTGGGTGGCGGCGAGGGGGAAACAGAAGGCACGGAAGCGGCGTGGTGCGGCTGTGCGTGCGCGATGGAATTGGGATAAGACCAGTGGGAAGGGGACCGGGCAAGCTTGGTCACTCTGGGATCAGGAACAGGAGAGCCAGAGAACTGTTGCTGTAGGTGACGTTGCAACTGCAGACTGAAGGAGTGTCGTCTAGGATGGTTCTGAGCCAAAAAGGGCTGGAGAGCCGACGGTCTAAGGGTAGTGCTCGAGGGAGCTAGCAAGCGCGAGTCTCGTGGATGAGGCTGCGGACGAGGAGCTGGCGGATTGGGATAGAGCACAAAGTCCTCTAGCGAACTGTTGTTGTTGTTGCTGTTGTTGCTGTTGATCGAACTGGAAGCCAAGGGCTGTGTGGGCGGGGGCGTGGGAAGCCATGATTGCTGGGATTGATCCGTAGTGAACGACGAAATGTCGATCGGAGAAATAGTGATTTGGGGAGAACTTGAGCTACGCGATGCGATGCTAAAGTTCAGAGGTCCTTGAGAAGGAGACTCTGAAGAAGGGTGTTGAGGGGAGAAAATAGACGAGGTTCCGTGAGGAGGAATGGTGTCGTTCTCAATGGAGAAAGACGAGATCTTTCGAGACGGGGAGCTTAGAAAGCACCCATTTTGGATCAGTGGAGGTTCAAAAGGCTGTTCAGATAGAGGCAGAATGGTGAATGGATGTGATGATATGTGGGTTGTAGGTTTTGAGTGTTCGAAAGTGAATAGAGAAGAAAGAAGAAAAAAAACAGGCACCGACTGGGGACTCAGGCACTTCTTAAGCGGCGACTGGATTTGGCTGTGTGGGAGGGTCCACTTCTGTTCGGGATAGGGCCAATCAGCGTGCACAGCCGCACGGGGCTTAGTCGCGTCTGGAAGTCACGGGGTGTGAGTCACACCATCCGAGCCAGCGCTGATTGGCCACTCCGCCCCGACGGACTCCTTAGCGGAAGTTTGTGGGTACTTCCGATGTACTTGACAGACGACCGACTTTTGTGGGTCGTTACGTTCCCTTTCTCTGACGTTCTCATACTGGAGTTCTCTTTCTCAGCCTCTCCATCCAGGTACTAGTCATGTACCTCTCCATCAGCCATTCCCCGTTGCCGCACCCATTGCCCAATCACCATCTCCGCTCTCGCCTTCGTCCTGGCGGTCCAGGCATCCGCCCGATCCGCTTCAGTTCCAGACTCGCGTTGTTTCGCAAACCCCTTAAGCCAGGCTGACATTCGAAGAACAGACCACCTCAGGAAGATATCTCCATTATCAAATCACAATTCTTCATCTCCAATCACCCAAAGACAGCTAACTGGGTAGGTTACTAGCCACGTCGCCTCATTCTCATGACCAGGCCACGAATGCTCGTATACACGGAGACTCCGACAGGGTTTCCAGCAATCCGGAATGTGAATATTAATAATCCACTTCAGGGCCAAACCCCCCCCCCCAATACCTCGTGTTCTGCGCCCTCTCGGAGACAACAGGCGTGATCCTCCGAGGCACCCAGGCCACCAAACGTAAGAGGCTAACGAGAGAGAACCCCCACCGATCTTTTCCCAATTGCCTCCCCGCGGTGGGCTGTGCCAGTCACGACGCTGGTCCGTGTGGATGCTAGCCTTGCCGAAGGGCGTGAAAATTGACTTTGCTGCACCCACTGCGTCTGATCCATGATCCCATCGTATCGACACGGAAGGTTGAAAATGATTTCATATGCACGGTACCACTGCAAGAGGATATTCTATACTACAGTGACTACTCCGTACCTCGGCCATCATTATCAGAAGTATATCAATACGACTGTTCCATTTCTTGTTTTAACTGGACAATCACACGCCCCCAAACACGGATACAGACTCCGTCCTCCATCCTCCCGCCACCCGCTTTCTCTCCCTCTTTCAACTTTCAACCCGGCACCGGCACACCCCGTTGAATGGTGGATAAACCCACCATGTTCTAACCCGTCCACAAAGAGCGAAACGAAAGAGAAAAAAAAAATAATTAACGTCCTCTCAGTGGTTCCCTTCCAAGCACGAGAACTAGAAGTCTTGGCATGCCCCCCGGAGACTGGCCTTCTCGCTCCGAGGCCCCCAAAAACGAGGACTGGCCCCGTGGTTCTGGCGCACGATCTAGTCCTCTTTCATGTGCCCGATGGGAGCTGGTCCATGCAATAATCATGAATCCATGATTGATGATTGAGCTAACGAAATCAAGAGCCCGAGAGGGTCAGAAGAATTATCATTTGATTCATGTCTATTTTGTGCGACACAGAATTAGACGAGTAGTTACTGCATGAGCTAAACCTAGACCTTGACCTGGACCTAATTGACACTGTGATGGAGGATGCAATGTATTTGGCAGCCTTGTGCTTCCAGGCAGTATTATAGAAGCCTGAACTGTGCTGTGTAATGGTCGGCGAGCTCTGGCAGGAGTCGGCTTTTAATCTTTTTGACAAAGACCGATCTGCAGTAACTCCCTGTGCCAGATGACATCCACCATACCCTGATCAAACACATCCATGATCCGATAACCTACGAATACAAAAAAAGATAAACAAGGGTAATAAAAGAAGCTCCCGTCGGAATCCTCTCTGGTATCAAAGTTCCTGTCAAGTTGGTGTCCGATGTCAGAATCACTGTGGGATAGTTAATCTATCATTGTGGACAGCGCTCAATTCACTCCGTGATATATCTTGTTGGGACCCGCACTCGACCACCAACGCATCTCGATGGGGCCCTGGATGGCTTGCATAATGGTGTGCAGATGGGCCTTTTTAACCAACCCATTCAAGACCCATTGCTATAATGCCCCTACCTGCGCTATATTGAAGACTATCAAGGTTAGTGATATGAGTCTACATTTACAACATGAACTGACTCCAACTTTTAAGTAGATGGCTTTGGACATATCCTACAGAAAACAAGAATTACTGGAAAGTCCGAGACTAACAAGATTCAAAGCAAAACTGAGAAGATTCTATTAAGTATCACCTATCGCAGTATGTGCCACATCCACGAAGCAAAGTAAGGAAAACCACGTGAGACGGGACCAACGGTAGACAACGGTAAGAGGGGGCCTCAAAACAGATGGAAAGAGCAGGAAACGAGGCGGCATTCTGAATGGCAGAGACACAAAGAACAACAAGACAGTCCACATTTCCCACCGCCCATAAGTAAATAATAAGCACCCTTCCTCCCCAGAGGGTATCGAAGCGAGAAAGCCAAAGCGCACGAAAGCAGAGTGGTATCAATCTAGTAAGGCGACACACCACGTAACGCATAAGCACGTCGCGAATCGAATCTCGGTTGCGGGACGCAAGGTCGTGATAAGGAATGAACGGCCCACCAGCATATAAACCGGGGGCGCCGAGAATAATTATTGGGGGCTTGGTTATTTTTTAGAGGGGGAGTGACGAGAGAAAAAGAAAAATCCAAACAAAAGCAGCGACGGCGGGTATCTCATTGGCACCCAATTCAGATCACAAAGCCCAGGCAAGGTAGGCAATGGATGACCGAAAAGAGCGACAGTGGCGAGGCAAAAGCATAGAAACAAGAAAGCTGGCGAGCGAAATGGTATCAATTCCGTATTTGCATCCGTCAGGCACTCAAGCTGTCCCCCCCAGGGGACCGACCGAGGCCATCCGGGATATGGTGGGTGAACGCCGAGTAGGATGGATCCCACCATCGTTCAAACTCCACGCGTCGTGCAGACCCAGTTCAAGCAGCAGCCTGGACAGGGGCGCCGGCGGTGAGGTTGACGTTCTTGGCCTCCTCGGTGGTGGTCTCGACGGGCTGAGCGACCTCCTCGACAACGGGGGCGGGGGTCTCCTCGGCGGCAGCGGAGGTCTCGGCGGCAGCAGTCTCCTTGGGTTCCTCAGCCTTGGCCTCAGCCTCAGCGGCAGGAGCTTCCTCCTTGTCGAGCTTCACGGCCTTGCTGGGCTTGCGGAACAGACCACCAAGCTTGGACTTGGCCTTGGTCTCGCCATCGGTGACCTCGTTGTCAGAGGTATCGGTCTTCTTCTCCTTCTTGCCGAAGTTGCCAAAGAACGAGGTGCGGCGCTTGTCCTTGGGGGTGGTGGGCTCGGCCTCGGCGGGCTTGGCCTCCTCGGTAGGCTTGGCGGCCTCAGCATCGGCAGCGGCGGTCACAGTCTCGGGCTCAATGGGCTTGACAGCGGCCTCCTCGACGGGGTTCTCGAGCTGGGGAGCGACGCTGGCGACGGTGGTCTCCTCAACGGGGGCGGTAGCCTCCTTCTCAGACTTCTCGTGGGCGGGGCTGGTGACCTTCTGGAAGAAGTTGCCGAAGATGGAGGAGCGCTTGTTCTTCTTCTCCTCTTTCTTCTCTTCCTTCTTCTCCTCCTTGGGCTCCTCAGCAGCCTTGTCCTCGGTGGTCTCAGCGGGAGCAGCGACTAGCACACACGTTAGCAAATTATCTCAGATATGCCAAGCTTCCTTCAACCGTCCAACATACCCTCACTGGTGGCAGCGGCAGCAGGCTCAGCAGTCTCAACGACAGGCTCAGCAGCGGGAGCAGCGGCCTCAGCGGGCTTGGCCTCCTCGGCGGTCTCCTCCTCCTTCTTCTCTTCGGGCTTCTTCTCCTCAGCCTCCTCCTTCTTGCCGAGAAGGGAGCCGAAGATGCTGGAGCGCTTGCGAGACTGGGAGCGAGACTTGGCGGTCTCCTTCTTCTCCTCCTTAGGGGCAGGAGTCTCCTCACCCTCCTTGGGGGCAGCAGTCTCCTCCTCCTTCTTCTCCTCGGGCTTCTTGGCGGCGACAGCGGCGACGGCGACGGGCTTGGTCAGCTTCTCAAGCTCAGCCTTGTAACCCTCGCTGGAGGTGATGGTCTCCTTCTCAGCCTTGGCCTCGGTAGCCTTGGCCTCGATGGCGACAACCCAACTGTCGCGCTCGGCGGCGCTGGAGGCCTGGAAGGTGTGCTTCTGGCCGGCAATCTTGAACTGGAACTCGCTGGAGCTCTCCTTGGTGACATCAGAGACATCGGCCTGGAATGAATTGTGAGCTTACATTCACGTCATCTTGCAATGTGGGCCATGCACGACTTACCAGGTTGATGATGTGGCTCGGGTGAGCCTTGTCCTCAGCGCGCTTGGTGATGAAGAGCAGACCCTTGCCGGTCTGGCTGGCCCAGGCGGCGATGGGGTTGGCAACAGCGGCCTTCTCGTTCTGGTGGAACTGGGACAGCTGCTTGGCCTCAACAGCCTCATCGTTGAAGTAGAAGAAACGCTTGGCGAAGCGCAGGCTCCTGCAAGAAAAAGCATCTTGTTAGCTACAAGCTCCAAAGCTGCCGCAACGCTGCGTCGCATTTTCTACTTACTTGACCAGACCAGGGGCCTTGTAGCCGAGGGTGCCCTCAGTCGCGGGCTTGATCTCCTCCTTGGCAGCCTCGGTGGTCTCAGCAACTTCAGGAGTGGCAGTGGTCTCCTCAGTCTCCTCCTTGGGGGCCTCAACAACGGGCTCAGCAGTAGCAGCAGGAGCCTCAACAACGGGCTCAGCAGCAGGAACGACCGCGGGGGTCTCCTCAACGGGCTTCTGAGCGTCAGACATGATTAAAAGTTATTAGACCGAAAAAGTGTCGGGTTTGGGGGGTATCGATTAAGAAGCAGAGCTTCGAAGAGAAAAAGCGTTTTTGGGGTATCTGGGTATCTGGGTATCTTGGAAAGAAAAGAAATAAGAGCTCTTTGAAAGAGCTTGGGTATCACGAACGAAGTAGGAAAGGGGGGTATTGAGCTTTGGAAGGAAGGAGGGGAAAGAAGGAAAGGAGAAAAAAGGGAGGAAGGGCGAAAAAAAGAGAGCGGCATTGGGGGGGGGGGGGTCCAGCGCTTGTTGATAGCGCCCTCAGCCACTTTTGGAAAGGAGCTGCAGGGAGCCCAGACGCTGGGTGGGACCGGGTCGATTAGGTAAGTGCGTCCCTCAGGGGGAGGGAGGATACGCTAACGCCATTAAGGGTGAGGTCTACCCTTTTCATGGACCTTAACCACCCTAGCTCCCTGACTAGGAAAAAAAAGATTACCAAACCTCATTGCCACTCACAAAAATTCCTGGCTGAAACAAAGCCTGATGAATGAAAATTCAAGAATTAATAAAGAGAGGCGTTATGAAAAAGACTTCTATGGGTGGGCAGCGCCACCATTTCTTCCACCATCCACTCCATACTGGTGTCAGATGGAAACAACAAGCAAATACCTATAAAGCAGACTACCAAATTGGTGGTAGAAATTAACAGAAATTTGTAGAAATTTACTCTGTATGGAGTGCAGAAAAATCAAATAACAAGGTTGATCACGATCACACCACTCATGCCCCTAAGTACTCCGTACTCCATCCTCTGGACTCTCTGGCCTATGGGCTGATGGCCCGATGGCCCATTAGTCCAATAGCTCTCTCCTCCGAAGATCGTCCATGCAGCTGGACAACGGCCCCCCTAAGGCAGCCCCTAATTGACCCGTGCAGCTCGGGCCCGCCTCCTACGTAGAGAGCCAATCTCGACTAATTTACCTGGATAGTACCCTGATGCAGACGAAATTTGCAGGACTAACAGTAATGAATGAGCTGTATCTTCCGCCCACGCGACCAATCTACAGTCTTTATCTGGTGAGAATTTGAGTGACCACAAAGCTAGCAACATATTAGTTTCATTCCTTTTGATTGCTGAATGGTATATTTCCCCTCAAACTACTTTATTTCGGCAGTCTTTTTATCATCGATTGCAGTGTGGCCTGCCCGTTGGCAGTACCCGTTACACAGTCCAAGGGGATAGCCAAGTCTATACAACCCTCCGTATTCGGTCGGGGACCAACCGACTCGTTGGAAACCCCAACTATCGCAAGTCAAGTGATAACTCTAGGAACCTACATTTGTATTCCTCTGAAAGGCTTGATACATATTCCCCTCTCTTTCCTTGGCGACGTAGGAGCGGGAGGAGCAAAAAAGGGTACAGTCCACGAAGGACAGGTCTAACCAACCAGGCCAACAACTCAGTCCTAGCTCAGCATGAAACCATGAAACTCATCCGTCCTCCCTACTGCATGGTGCTGATCCAGGGTTGAACGCCTGTTGGATTCGCTCGCATGGCGTCGATCGCACCTGGCGCCGTACGGTAGGCTTCCTTGCTAGTGGTCGATATTTTGTATCGTGGACGGCGCGAATCCCATGACTGACACGACAAGTTGAGTGGCGTGCGACTCCTCGTGGCCAACCAGTGGCCGTTGCACAACCCCTCCCTTCTGCTGGTCCTGTTCTTGTCGTCATTCTGGTTATTTCTTGGGACATCGGACCCTATCACTGGCGTATCATCTTGCAGGACCGTTGCGGCTGGCGCTGGCACGAAATCGCGATAGTAGTTGGACCCCATGATCCCGACTCCAAAAAGTTAAAGAGCTCCTGGCCAGTTAGACCGACACCGACTCTCGTTTTTCCATTGGTACTGGAAACTCTCCTTTGTTTTTTTACCCTTCTACAAAGGTTGTGATACTTGTATCACATTGCGCTCTCTTTTCTATCCTATCAAACCGAAGGACGGAGGACAGATACCGGTGAAGACGTACATACTTCGTACTCCCGACAAGAACAACCACACTCTCGTCTGGACTCCACCTCCCATCCAAATGACCCCTAATTAACTCTCTTTGTTCCCATCCTGATCTCCCTAATTTTTTTTTCTCAATTTTTGATCCCGAAATCTCTTCTCAATTTTCGTAGTTCAGTCCCGAGACTAACAAGCTAGGAAAGCGCACTAAACCAAACGCTCACGACTCCCAGCGATGAGCCCCACTTGGTGGTCCCGTGTCTTAAGCCATCGACTATGGTGGCTGGCAGCCCTACCCCCTATCTGTTCCTGTACGTTCCCAAGCCAACAGCTCCCGACCGTCTTCTACATCATCACGACCAGGGTCCTCGTCATTTTACAGAGTGCTGGTGCGCCTCTTGTCCAGTACGTGAGACTGCGATGTCGGTCGGCCTCCTCCATCGGAAACTCTCTGAAACACCCGAATTTAAGAACGGCCCTGCCGCTCGCCGTCTATCAACGATGATCAGGAGAGTCCCGGTGCTGCCAGAATGCGACCATCGGAGCATTTTCAGTAATGATAGCCCACACGGCTGATCCACTTACAGAGCTCCCCTGGCCAATAGCACGGTCCATCCACCCCTTTTCCATGCTGGATGACTCTTTTCCTACCCGTCGGGGCCAAGCATCTCATCTGTTCATCCCGCTCATCTTCCGCCCAGAATTGGCGAGCCGTTTTCTCGCGGTCGCTGGCCTGCAACTGCCATGCGCGGGACAGATACCTTTTATGTTTGAATGGAACATGCGACTAACACGGTAGTATGTACGGAGGACTCTCGTCCATCTATTGCGGAGATTCCACGCATAGTAGTCCGTACGGAGTACAGAGTACAGTAGTTATTTACATATACGGAGTACCGTCAATGCGACGAAGATCCTGAAAATCCCAAAGATCTCGGAGACCTTACCAAGCCCAGCCCAGAACCCGAGGGAAGTAATACCGACTACTAACCAGGCCAAATCCAGCAACGTTGCTGAACGATGCGGTGAGCACTAACCCGGCAACCAGACGCCGGCAAGGTCCAGGTGAAACTCTCCTGTCCATCTAAGCTCTGCACCGAAGGAGGCCCGGTCGATTCTAGCGTCCACTAGCCCGACCATCGAGCCTCCATTAACCATGGCACCCTTTGATGAGGATGCGCGCTCGTTCGCTACGTGTGACTGGTGGTGGATTCGTCTGGCCAGACAATCTACTTTGATTGGAAAAGATTGCAGAGATTTTCCTTTTTGCAGGGAAGTACACGAGAACTAGGGAAACTGGACGAGACGTACTCCGTCCTACTTGCCACTGGCCCGACGGAATTAGTCCGAGAGGCAAGAGGACCTGCCTTCGTAGTCCATACATAGATTGCAGAGATATTGGAATTCTGGCACGCACGCAAAAAACAAAGGAGTGATTGGATTCAATCAATGCACTGACCTCGACCAAAACAAAAAAAAAAAACTTGGTACCGCCTGTGGGACTGGAATAGGGGAGAAAAGGGATCCACACAAGCTCGTACCTGGAGACATCCACACTTCTCTTTGTTTTTTATTTTCCTCTGTTGCATCCTGGTCAACAAGTCCAATTATTGGGGCAATCCAGGGGAATCATTGGGTGGAATTCTTTTCCCACGCGGCGAAGTCAGCGATCGTCGGTATTATAGATTCCAGAATGCAAGGAACACGAGCCAGAGGTGACAGCTCACTGCAACCCCCTGGAGGCCAGTCCTTTCAGGGCTTCTCACACCTCAGGCTCACACGAGGAAAGGGCCAAAGGAAAGATGAGTCACATGCCTGATCACGTGATTCTGTTTGCATGCTTCATTCCTTGGATTGTCCAATCACGTGAGGCGGTCAGCTCGCTCGCTTAGGACTAGCGTGCCTCCCCGAAAACACTTAAATACCTCCTCCCTCCCCAAACTTTCCTCTTCTTTTTTCTTTTCTTCTTCATACTTACCTTGTTTGGGTGGCCGCGATCATGACGGCGGTCCACCACAGATTGGTCCCTGCATTGCACAGCGCGGCGGAACAGTTTGTTCAACGGCCTTCGGGTCATTGACAGGCGTATTCTTTGGCACCTTCCACCCTGTGGATCATCTTCTTTTCATCAAGCTTCGGGTCAACGACCAGTTCTTGGAGAAGAGAACCTGTAATTTTGTAAACTGAACAAGCACCCAAGTCCCTCACTGTAGCCTCATGTTGACAGATCCCAAGTGTTGTTGACCCATCTCAAGGTGTTGCCGTGCTCGAACCTTGCCACCACTACATGCTCCGCATCTCAACCACACCCGGCGCGCCTCGTGTTGGCTGGTGATCTAGCCCATGCAAATTTTCCTTCTACGCGACCCAGGGCATAATAGAGCATATGAATATCAAGATAAGAGTTGGTTGTGAAGCTTCCCAAGTTGCTGAGTGCTCTTGGGATGGATTCCGTAGGGCTTACGCTCACGCCGAGGAGAGACCCTATGTCCACCCTGGCCCTCCTGGTTCACCCAATAGACCATTTGAATTGAATATTACATATGTAGAATGGATGTTGACCTTGGAGAACGACGGCGAGTCCAGGTACCTAAGCTGGAGGATAGACGATTGCTTCTACGGCAAGCAGCCTTTGGGCTCAGTACATATTCCTTGGCTGCCCGTGTCGTTCGACCCTCCTCAGTCGAGTTCACCTGTACAACCCGACCCACAACATATTCTTACTGTTACCTGTCCTAGGAGTGAAGCACTATCCAGTCTTCTGCTGTGATCCACATTTCTCTGAAAACACCAAATATATCTTGCCCAGCAGTGTGGCCACAGCCCCAAGGTTGACACATCAGTATCACCGACGAGCTGGTGAGGGTAAGCTTCCACATCTGCACTTCCTTCTCTCTTCAATACCACAACATGAAGAGCCAGCTCTATTTTCAGACCAGACTGATCTATAGATAGCCCGGACCGCTGGGATATACCAGTCTGGGAGATCCGGACCGTAGCTGATTAAGCTCATCCGTACACGTGAGCGGCTCCCACCCGACACGCCGACCATTCGCAGGTTATCACTTGATCGCGGTCCACGGCCACTGGCGAAATGGCCAATCATGGTCTATTGTGGCGTCGATTGTCTGGAACTGCCAGGCATGAATCATCCCGAAAATGGCAACCTTATCCAATGCCCCGGATTGTCTCGTGGGCCCGAGCTTGAAGCGACATGTCGCATGTCTAGTTGGAGATCTTTCGGTCTGTTGCTTCAAAGCTGGATTGAATGAGGCCATACTTCTGGAAATCAGACAAGTTCAAAAGAATCTCTTCAACTGACAGAATATAGGAAGCTTGATAAGATAACGGCCATTCAGAGCCAAATGTCATACCTCATCCGGGCAAAGGACCCTGTATCCGTTGCCGGTATACTCATCCCCGAGCACCGTCCGAGCCGATGCGGGGCCTGGATGGGCTTCCCTCACAGGAGTCTAGTCCTATATCACCATGATACGCAATCTGCGGGGACCAGAACCCCTCCTGCGGGGGAGGACCTAATCGTCTAGCTTCTGACTGACGAGACCTACATAAAGCGAGAACACCCGCAGCTCCGTGCAGCGAGTCAATTCGCCCTCCTTATCATCATGTCACCCGCACAGCGTGTCGTTATCATCGGTGCTGGCATTGTCGGCACCAATATCGCTGATGAGCTGGTCTCACGCGGATGGACGGATATCACCGTTGTCGAGCAGGGCCCGCTGTACATGCCTGGCGGATCCACATCGCATGCCCCTGGCCTCGTGTTCCAGACTACTCCCTCCAAGACGATGACGAATTTTGCACGATATACAATCCAGAAGCTTCAATCTATTGAGAAGGACGGCCAGAATTGCTTCAATCAAGTCGGTGGTCTCGAGGTGGCGACAACACCAGCACGGCTTGAGGATCTCAAGCGCAAGCATGGTTATACTTCCTCGTGGGGCATTGAGGCTCACCTCGTGAGTGCGGAGGAGTGTCTCAAGTTATATCCCCATTTGAACAAGGATGTGGTTCTAGGAGGCCTACACATTCCTAGCGACGGCCTGGCTCTCGCGGCTCGGGCGACCCAGCTGCTCATTGAACGCACCCGCGAGGCTGGTGTCAAATACCTCGAATCAACACCCGTGACAGGCATCGACCGAGCAAATGGCAGAGTGACTGGAGTGACGATACCCAATGGCTCCATCCCAGCTGATATCGTCATCTCCTGTGCTGGCTTCTGGGGCGTGGAACTCGGCGCTATGGTTGGCTTGTCAATTCCTCTACTACCGCTCGCTCACCAATATGCCAAAACAACACCCGTGCCATCTCTTGTTGGCAGGGATCTCAATAATCAAATAAACGGAAAGAACGCCGAACTCCCGATTCTACGACACCAGGACCAGGATCTATACTACCGCGAGCACGGGGACCAATACGGTATTGGGTACTATGGCCACCGACCTATGCCCGTCAAGGCCTCATCATTGGGTCTCACTTCCAAGAATGTGGATGAGAAGAACATGCCATCTCGTCTTGAATTCACTGCAGAGGACTTTGACCCTGCCTGGAAGGAAACACAACGGCTCTTGCCCATGCTACGAGACACGGAGATCGCGGACGGGTTCAATGGTATCTTTTCGTTTACGCCCGATGGAGGACCGATCGTTGGACAAGCGCCTAATCTGGACGGATTCTGGGTCGCCGAGGCAGTGTGGGTTACACACTCAGCAGGTGTTGCTCGTGCCGTCGCCGAAGTCCTCACCACCGGCCGCTCGCAGATCGATATCTCGGAGTGCGAACTCTCTCGCTTCGAAGAAGTCCAGCTAAGCCAGTCTTACATTGAAGAAACCTCATCCCAGAACTTTGTCGAGATCTACGATATCTTGCACCCTTCTCAACCAAGAGAATCCCCTCGCCAGCTGCGAACTAGCCCATTTTATGCCCGAGAGAAAGAGCTGGGTGCGTACTTCCTTGAGCTCGGTGGCTGGGAGCGACCCTTCTGGTATGAAGCGAACAAGGAACTACTCAACTACCTGCCGCCAAAATGGAAGCCCGTCGAGCGGGATGCCTGGTCCGCGCAATTCTACTCTCCAATCGTCGCAGCCGAGGCATGGAAGACACGTAACGCAGTGGCCATGTTCGATATGACCTCCTTCCACCGTTTCGAGGTATCCGGTCCCGGTGCCCTCGACCTTCTCCAACGCCTCAGCACGGCCGATGTCAACACCAACCCCGGCACTATCACATACGCCCTCCTGCTCAACGACCACGGCGGCATCCGCAGCGATATCTTTATATCAAGACTGGAGGAGAACCTCTTCCAGATCGGCGCCAACACCGCCACCGACCTGGCCTATCTCACCCGGGAAGCCCGCCACCAGAGCCAGAAGAAGTTCGTTCAAGTCCGCGAAATCACCGGCAGCACCTGCTGCATCGGTCTCTGGGGACCTCGTGCCCGCGACGTCATCAACGACATCACCGCCGACGACTTCTCCAACAAGGGTCTGCCATACCTCGGCGTGAAACAGGCACTTATCAATGGTATTCCTGTTACAGCCTTCCGCAAATCCTACGTCGGCGAACTGGGCTGGGAAATCCAAACTACGGCCGAGTACGGCCAGCGTCTGTGGGACACAATCTTCCGAGCAGGCAAGATCCATGGCCTGATCGCCGCTGGCCGCGGTGCTTTCAATGCCCTGCGCCTGGAGAAGGGATACCGCATTTACGGCACGGACATGAACACGGAGCACAACCCGTATGAAGCTGGCGTGGCGAGTGCAATTCGAGTGAGCAAGTGGGAGGATTACGTGGGCAAAGCCGCCCTTGAGCGCATCTCTTCAAAGCAGAAACCTACCCGGCGCCTGCGCTGTCTCACAGTCAACGATGGCCGGTCTATGGCTCTCGGTAAGGAGCCAGTGTTCCACAACGGCAAGGCAGTTGGATACGTGACCAGCGCGGCATTTGGGTTTACAGTTCGCAAGCCTATCGCGTATGCCTGGCTGCCTGGATCTCTGGATGAAGGTGCGGCCGTGGAGATTGAATACTTTGGTCGGAGGGTTAAGGCTACTGTCGCGGCTGACCCGTTGTATGACCCTGATAACAAGCGTCTGCTTGCTGATGGGTTGTCGGTTGATTCGGAGGTTCAGAAACCTGTCAAGTCTCGTCTGTAAGGGGTTATGCCCCTCTTGTTGGGGATAATGAGGATTTTTATGAGAGATGGCATTTTGTTTGATTTTGCGTTTCATGTTTCACGAATAGCGGCGATGTCGTGAATGATAGATAGAATTTTGATGTATTTGCACTTAGTAGTCTCTTGGTGAGACTTAGCACTGAGAACGCATTTCTAGCAGGTTTGAGTTACGTGCTTTACTTTCACCGTGTCCATCTTCAAAGTGACCTATGTAGGCTGATCGCTCTCACGGTCATAGTATGGCATAGCTATGTACGTATTTCACATGCGAACATGAAAGCCCAAAGATTAAAGCAAAGGTATGAGGTGAGCTCGCTCAGATTACCGCCGATGTTAAATGCAAAACAAAATGCACAGAAACATACACATGTACAAAAAAAATCAAGCAGCCATCGTAAGTACGTATCTGCAGTAGAAGTTAGCACAAACACCGAATGATTAACGAGTGATCAAAAAAGACTCACGAAGTAATACTATCCATCCTCTCAGTCGTCAACTTCAAGCTAACAGTAAGCAACTCCCTGGCAATCCTGGGCTCATCTTCCTGCAACGCCTTCCACCGCTCATCACTCAAACACCACGCCACACAATCATGTTCCGCCTTGACAGTTGCCGTGCGCCGCGTATCACTGAAGAACGGCAATTCGCCGCACGGCCGGCCGGCAACGACCAGCTCGAAGTACCGGCCCTGCGGGAGATCGTACTCTGCGCGCAACATGCCGGATTCGAGGAGGTAGAAGGCGCGAGGGATGTCGCCTTCGTGGTAGAGGACTGTTCCTGCTGGGTAGGATTCGCGGGAGAAGTATGTGCAGGCGGGGAACCAAAAGTCTTCGTTTTGGGTTGAGAGACCTTGGAATGTTTGGAGGACGAGTGGGAGGGGTTGGCGCATTGAGGACCAGGCTGGGGCGGCCACTAAGGCCGTTGTTTGTTCGTGTTCGCGGAGGGTGGTGGTTGCCACGCGTTGGAGGTATTGGCCGCGTGGGGAGCTGACCATGTTGTCGGAGAGACTGGCGCTAGGGATCTGTGGGACCGGGAGTGGGACTTGAAGGGAGTTGGTGGTGTTGGGAGTAGATGATTCGATTGGCGTGCGGGACAGGGCTTCCTGGCGATTGTAGAAGATCTTGAGGTAATCGTTTTCGCAGAACTCGAGAGCCGAGTTGAGATCTTCGAAGATCGGTACGCCGGACTCGGGTTCGAAGAGGCCGACGTTCTGAAGGGACTTGCCCACCTCGCCTTCGACGTTCAGGCCGGAGATGGTGGTTTGTACATTGCGTTTGCGAAGCACACGGTTGATACGCGTGAATGCCTCGGCTGCGGAGAAATCGAGACCATAGACCCTGGAGAAATCTAGGATCAGGAATCGGATGGGCTGCCGATTGAAAGCCTCCTCTTCGATCAGGCCTCGCATGGTATTTTCGACGTTGACGATGGTTCCGAAGAAGAGGTAACCGCCAAGTTTCATGATGAGAGTTTGCTGCCCAGCTTCATGCAAGTATTGTTGCTGGATAGGCGGACGACGGACGGTGGATCCGGCAATCTCGCCAGAAAAGGTCGCACGAATAGCAGACTTGCGAGACGTTTGAACGACAAAGTTGACGCAAGCCAGAATGATGCCGACCAGAATTCCCATGACGAAGTCTACAGCACCCATGGTCACCACAATAATAACAACCTGTAAGTAATAGTTAGAATCTGTTTTGTAATGCAAGGTGAGCTGGTGATTTCACATACCGTCAGATATTCAAGTCGCGAGAGTTTGCCCCATGTATCCACCAGCGCTTCCTGCAAAAGTTCAATACCCAGCAGGAAGATCAATGCACCTACAACCATCACTGGAATGAAACCAATGATGACAGGCCCAATGACTAGGATGCCAGCTGTCGCTGCGGCGAGCATGAGACCAGCCAATCGCGACGATCCACCGCTAGCGATGAAGAGAAGGCTGTTTGTGTACACCAGATAGTTTTGAATACTACCCGCGAAGCCCGACAAGGCATTGGTCACGCCGTGTGCCATGAGCTCTCTGTCCACGTTGAGGTTGTCTTCTCCAGTCGAAATGCCCAGGGCTGGAACATTGATGGGCACGTGAAGTACACCGAAGAAAGTCAACGCAAACATGGCGGGAATAGTATCGGCAAAGGCAGTCCAATTGACCGCGGAAAAGTCTGATGATTGATGTTAGCTCGATGATTTTCAAGATTCTCGAGGGCGGGTGATCTACCATAGAGGGTATAAAAGTGGTACCACGGATTGTTAGATGACGGGGCATTAAACACCCATCCCTTCTGATGCAGTGTATCCATCGAAATCCGAGCACTGAGAATGACAATGTAAAACACTGCACCCACACCAATGAAGTAGGCGCCGACAAGGAAATTCGACCGAATAAAACGCTTCAAAACGAGAAGAGCGACTGCAAGGAAAAGGGGTATCGTCCAAAGGGCGACGGTGTCGAGCTGGAATAGCTTTTGTAGCGTGCCGATGTTGTATTCAAGAGAACCGGGGAGTCTGGCAGAGACCTCGACTCCGGTTTGGAGAAGGAAGTAGCCCACACCACCGATGCAGCCGATCAAGATGTGACGAGGGAAGAACCCGATCAATGAGCCCAAGCCACAGACGCCCATTAGGAAGAATACCAGGCCGGTCAGGACAGAGCTGACTGAAAAGGCAAGAATCGTGGTAGCGATGACTGATTGCGGATTCTCTTTGCCCACTCTGTTCATGATGGTAAATGCCATTTGGTGGAAGAAAGGAACCACCTCAATCATTTCACTGCCAATGCCTCCCTTGAATATGGAGCCTCCACAGGAGAAAACCACTTGGGAGATGATTGTACTGACATAGAACATTGAAATACCGTCCACGCCGAGGTGGGAAAAGAGCGGTTCTCCAAGAGGGAACAGAATCATTCCGTAAGACAAGGCATCGAGAATGTTCAGGAGAAGACCAAGAACTACGGCAGGAATTAGGCTGACGGGATACACTACTCCTTCCTGCCAAATGGCACGCCGGTCCCATGCCTTAGGATTCGACACTACACGAGACCATTTGCCAACCGCTGAAATGCTCTGGGTGACGGCATTCGATGCCCGTCGAACGGCACCTCCCTGACTCTCGATATCTCCGATTGAGCCATAACGATGCAGAGGCTTGGATCTCGTTTTGGACAGCAACGAGGTACGTTCCGTATCGCGGGGTTCAGATTCATCGTCGATAGTCGACAGTGGTGAAAAGGCAGTCTCTTCGATCGGCTTGGCATCGTCAGCCACGGTGGCAGCAGGCTGGCGGATCATTTCTGTCAAGGCCGACGAGGCAGAGGCAGACGTCGGATCGGGGAGCACAGAACGCGAATCTAACGAGTCCTCTCCCACCGTGGGATGAGAGCTCGCCAACCCATCATGCGACACTGACGGGGAGTGTTGAAGCTGGCTGCGGAAAATGTCGAGACCGGAAGGTAAACTCGTTCTCCCGCGCGAGGGCTTTTTATTGAGCGACAACCCGTAAATCGCTAGTTCGGCCGTTTGTTCGCGGAGCCCATCTGATGCATAGTGGGCTGAGTCTGTGGAGCACAGCGAATGGTCAGTAAATCGCTCTGCAGGAGAGGCACGTTTTGCTTTTTTTTTCCCCTCTCTTTTCTTTTTCCCGTCATGCATGAGGCGCTTTAGCTTTAAAAGCTGCTTGAATGATACCTACCAGTAGGTGTGTTGAAGGAGCGGTGGTAAAACGATCGACTGGGGGTCCTCAAGCTGGAGCCATTATAGCTTGAGGCCTCTAGACCGGCCCCGGGAGAGCTGCCCAAGTTGGCATTGGCGTGTTCCACTAGGGACTCTGGCGCAATGGCGACGTCGAGATCGCGGTCGAACCCCCAATTGCGGCGGGACATAACCGAGGTGCGCGAGTCGCGGCGACCACGAGGTTGTAGTACGCCCATCAGAGGTCGGGTTGGGAGGTCGCGCAAGGGCTAAATTGGACGAGTCGCAAGAAATTCGGAGGATTCCCGGCCCACTAGCGCATGCAGCGGCGTTGGAGAAAACGGCGGATGACGCAACGGGGCGAATGAGGCATCGAGAAAGAGAAGAGACGGAGGAGGAGGAGAGGAAGGAGGGAGATGTTGCAAGAATATTAGCCGATGGTACGAGAATAAGGCGATATCATGAAAGTGAACTCTCGTCGTTGGATTCAACGGCAGTGGTGCAAGGCTTATCTTGGGGGAGGGAAGGAATCGGGGAATTAGTTAGCAACCGGAATTGAATCATCGGGCCAGCCGGTTTGGTTGACTAACTCGTCCAACCCACTTTTTTTCTTATCTTCCCAGGTTCCCAACTTCCCACGGCTTTCTATCGCGAGCTAATCCATTTCCGCTGATAACAAAACTTACAAGAGCACTTGAGAACAGTTACTTGAGTCTTGTTAGACTTCTCTCTAATTTGATAGGTACACATCCTCGGCAAACTCCTCTTCCAGAGTACTATTAGCACCCACGGGAGATATCGTTATTGGATGACTCTCTCTACCGATGGTGGCCCCTACTTAGTGCACATCGAGCACCAGGACGCAAATGCATCTCAGCCACCTCCCGAGTTGTACACTGAGGAAAAAGTACCTATGAGCTCCGACGACGGACGCACGATCGGCGCTAGCTGCTGGCCAATTCCGGTGCAAAGCCTGGCCCATGCACGCCAATCTCCACCAATGCACCTCCCGGCTCTGATGCTAGCTCCCCTTAGCGGCTTCAAACTCAATTCTTACATAACTTCTTTACAAAATCGCATCATCTGGAATCACAGATGCCGTATGATATAGATTAGGATACAGGTCTAGGCCGCCTGGTTCGTGTACTCGACTCGAAGCGATGTCTATTGTGCAGATGGTGGAGAAATCAACGAGGGATCCGCTCTAGTCACGGTGGTCTGACGTGATCGCCATAGGAGGAAGATATGATGCACGGTGATGAGGACCTTCTGGTGATAAGTACCTTGTAGCTCATCCTAATCCATTATTGCAGCCGTGCCCGTGCTTCAGATATGCATAGTGCCGGACATGACACTGGCCTACGGAGAGAGTAGTAATGTTGAGTAAACTTGTTGTATTCTTAGTAGCGTACGCTTCTTCGAGATCGACAAATAACACATTCGATCCTCATATGAGCCATCTCATCCATGCCGGGGTATCAAAAACAAATGCAAAACTCCTCACAATGTCGTACAAGCCGTCGACGGTTTTCAGTACCAGCCCATAGCCCTCCTACTTCAGCTCAATCGCTCCAAGAAGCCCTGTGCGATCAATCGCTCGACATCTCCCTGTCGAACGTAAAGCTGGCTGTTCTTGGTTAAATTGATCACGCTGCTCATCACGAGAACAAGTTAGCTCCCTTGCCCTCCTTTATCCTCGTAAAACCGTCCAACGAGCACAAAACCGAAAAGTAAAAGACGAGCAAACCAGGCCGACTCACCCATACTCCGTCTGAATCTCCCCCGCATCCTTCAACACCCTAACATCAATAAACAAATCCTTCGGCGGCTCCAACGTCCCCGTCAAATCAATATCCGTCCACTGCCCCTTATACGCAGCCAACATATCCCCATACTGCCGAAAATACTCCTCCTCCTCCGGACTCAGCGAGCTATGGACACCCCCAGCCTGCGCCACGCCCCGATCCTCGCCCGCCTCGCTGGGCTGCTGCTGCTCCAGCACGTCCACGCCCGTCCAGCACAGTTCCTCGAGTTTCTCTGTTCGCACGCGGTGGTACGCCATTAGGCAGCGCTTGTTGCGGCGCATGCAGAGGTGGTCCACTAGCAGGGCGCAGGCCGTGGCTGGGTCGGCAGAGGGATTGAAGGTGCCCTCGAAGGGGTCAAGGAGGCGGACGACATCGCGGTCGAGGTCGCGGACTTCGCGGGTTACGGCGCGGACGATTTCGGTTTGGTAGGGTGGTAGATGGGTGAGGGCTTGCGTGCGCTTCGCGTGTTGGACCTGTGGGTTTGGGGTTAGTGGGTGTGGATTGGGAGAGGGTGGTTGGGGAGAGGGGTCATCAGTGTGTAGGGCTATGGTGAGAGATCGCTACTTACCAGTTTATTGCCGAGTTCGCCGTACATGGTGGCCACGCGATCGGGATCGATGTGCGATGGAGGGACGCGATTCGGCGTGTTCTCCATGGCGCGCCAAGAAACGGTCTTAGTCAGGTGGAGTGGGGATCGTCGATCGAAGCATAAGAAGCGTGGAGGTCGAATGCTAAGCCTTGGAGGTGGTCAAGCAAGAATGAAGATGGCTAATTAAATGATGAATGTAGATGTGTGATCCATTCAAGGATGGCAGTAGGAAATGTTCTTGACTAGACCGTATTGAAATCGGATGATTTGTGAGAGCCAGGTTACGATAGACACAATCGAGATCTAAATGAGACCAAACAGCATCCTACTACATCATGTGACAATATCTCATTTCAACCAAGAAACACACTGTCTCTCAATACTGCATCGAGGCCCGCATCTGATTATACCCCGCCTGTGTGATCGGTTCATACTTGGCCGGCTGGTCAGGACCCATACAAGCCGGGATACACTCAATCACCGACTCGGGATCAGGCGCCATAAAGTACGGAATCGAGAACCGTCTACGGGTGATACGATCCTCGCCTTCGATTCGATCGGCAAGAGGAGGGAGTGTGACTCGATGGCTAGTGGACCTTAACTGGTCTACCCTTATGAGTTAGTAGACGATTGCAAAAACGGACTGCATTGCAACCTACCATTGCTCCATCTCTGCAGGAGATCACCCACATTCATCACGATGGCATTTTTGATCGGAGTCGCTGGGATAAAATGACCAGGATTGTTGACATCCTCTACCTCTAGACCCCCGCAGTCATCCTGGAAGAGCAAGGTAATGGAGCTCCAGTCCGTATGTGCAGGGCAACGGGCTGCCCGCTGTTGTTCCAACGCATCGGCTGGTACGGGTGGATAGTGCAAAAGTCGAAGCTGGTTGTTATGTCCCGAATGCTTTTGCAGTAAGTGATTCTCGTCGTCAAGGCCGAGGCCTACTGCTAGAGCCTGCAGGATTTCGCCTCCCACGCGGAATCCCTCCCAGTAGAATCGATTCAAGAAACCACGGAATCCAGGGAGAGTATCTTCGGGGATCCATTGATTCGGCTGTGTTGGATTCTCTTCGCTGCCGATGTCGTAACTTTCCTAGTTATCGTTAGCAGCGGCCTAGAATTGCCAACAAGAGATCATGATCGCTCCATGGACGACGCCCGTGATAGGACTGACCTTGATATCAGGAACCTCTCTCAACTGTGCAGCCCGCTCTTCATCATTGTCCGCGCTCACAGCCTGTGAGACCTTCTCCAGCCCTGGCCTCGAATAACCTCGGTGCACAGCCCATCCATCAGGATGAGGAGCACGTAGCTTTTCTGTCATGGGCAGCTCGAAAAAGAGCCTAGACCAGTGGAATGCTTCATCCAGGAGGGTACCTGGGAGGGAGTGGTTGATGATATACACGAACCCCACTTTCTTGCAAGCAGCGACAATCTCTTGCGCAACATGTTGGCGATTGGGGCCGCCCGAGGTCCACCCCGCGAAATCTACGACGGGAATCTGGGGTTGCGAGAGAGAAGGATCCATGCGGGATAAAAGTTGGACTGAAGTGTTGGGGTTCTCGTTAAAGCTTGGATTGAAGTCTCAAGGGCTAATTATTAGTCTGTCAATGCTGATCGGGTTGCATAGTCATCCTGCCGACGGTCCTTTTGATCTGCAGCTATGAGTTCCCTTTACCCGCTGGCTGCATGATAGCTCTCTTGACTCTTTGCGTGGTGGTTTGAAAGGCACGTCTTCATCAGTCTGTGGGTAAGGAGGTAGGTTGTTGAATAGATCGTGACTAGGCAGCTTGTTCGCTGAGATCTGATCTATAGAGTCGGCTACCTCCATACAGAGATCAGTGACTGGGCCTTGTTATTGGGGCAGAAAATGGGTGAGTGGAGGCACTCATATAAAAGGTAGTAGAGAAGAACCCCCCATTATTTTCTGGCATAACGCTCATCGGCTTCCATGTATTAAAGACCGTTATGGTGTCGAGAGAATGGGCTCCAACGGGTGGCGGTGGGAGCGGGTTGGGCATCGTGCGACTGGTTGCTGTGGCAGGGGATTCCCAGTGGAGAAAGGTGGAGATGCGGCCAGACTGCGAGTTTCGACTTTCAACGAAACTACATCACACTCCCAAAACCTTGCTGGCTTCTGCCCGATTCGCAAAGGCACTGAAATTTTTAACCGCTTGGTATGTCTCTATTCTATGTCATCCTGCAATTGCGAAACCCGTCAATGGCTTTGTTTCCCCGTGCTATACGCCTCTGCTGACGCTAATAATCTTACTGCTTTGAGTAGTGTGTTGACATCCGGCGCAGCCCCCGATAAGCACCCTCGAGACATCCCGCGATGAGAGATTGAACTCCATCGATACCAAACGAGATCGATTCATTCAGTCTATCGCGGAGAAGATCCTCGGTCGCGTTCCAATATTCTCCCCGCCCTCAAGGTCACAAGAATGCGGGCTTCGTGGTGGATCGGAGTCTGGGCCTCATTCCTCCCCTCCGTACTCTCGATCGAAACGGCACCCTTTTCAGCCCCAGAGACTATCGAGTCCAACAAACGAGCCTTCGAAGTCCTCCAGATCCTTAGGCGAGCCGATAACAACTGCCCTACGGGATACAATCCCTGCACCAGTCTAGGCAACTCAAACGCCTGCTGCAAGCAAGGCACAAACTGCTCGCGCGATGCCGCCAACAACATCGCCTGCTGTCCGACCGGTGCCAGCTGTACGGGCAGTCTAACGGGAGCATCAACAGCCATGTCCACCGGCACCAGCTTCATGTTTCCTCAGGGTGCGACCGCAACGACGACGACATCCACTGCTGATTCGAGCGCTGCTTCAATCACCGGCTCTACAATCTCGGGGGCATACCCGTTCGTTTACGTGCCGACAGCCTTTTCTAATGCCGCCACCTGCTCGTCATACTACTCGCTCTGCCAGTCTGAATATTCTCAATGTACAGCCCAGCTGATGGGACGATATGCAGTGACGGTCGGCGGAGCGGGCGGGGCAGGCGTGACGGTGGAAGCCGCGACCGCAACGTCGCAGGCTACGTCTATCTGCTCGAGTCTGAGCCAGGCAGCCTGTCACGGTCTTCAGTTGAGTTACTGTGCAACCGCAGCGGCGGCCACGGCCCATGCTGCCAGTGGGAATGGGGCGGCGGCGCTGGTGCGGACGACAAGTCTCCATGACTTGATATTAGGCTTGATGGTGGGCATTGCGGGTGTGTTTATTTGATGTGATATGACATTACGTTCGGGAATTGGGACTTTTCTGCTGGTCCATATTTGATGCTTGTATATTCTTCTTTCTGATGTCCATGTTGAACTTTGATGATGCTCCTCCTAAGGGACTTTGGACTAGCCCATAGTTGGTATGAATGACTCAATTTGTATACGTCGCATTTGTCGGGATTGCCCATCCATCTGTCCACTTCAATTACACTAATGCACTAATGCACTAACTCATAGTGTTGGCGATACGAATCCACCAATTCCACAGTTCCGCATGTCTCGGACCTTTACGAGTCGCAGATTGGGCGGTTGGGTATTGGGCTGCTAATGGTGGCACCAGAAACAGAGACCATAGGGTTAGGCCTATCGTGAACGACGGGAATAGTACCAGATGATGCAATGCAATAGTTGGACACTTGTAGGATTTCTTCTTTTCTACATATGTAATACATTTCTCGTTCTCGCTCGGATAAACAGTAAACTCAGTTTGCTGACTTGCACTGCAATGACTGGCTCGGGGATCCGACCGCATGTTGATCGCTGCCACGAGGGCGGGGAAGTCGGCCGCTGACATCGCGCATCCTGTGTACATAGGCACCAGGCAGTGGACCTGTTGGGCACAAGATATTAGTTTAAATCAAGGTTAAGAATCAAAATCGTTAATCTGAAACCCAGCCTCCCAAGAAATTCGACGTGGCCAAGGCAAAAGCGGTATTTGTAGATCATTGGCCGTGGGAAATCGGGTGGTTGGGTATACCTTTGGAGGAGGCTGGGGATGTACAGTATGTACTCAACTTCCCCAGCAACGCCTTCTTTCCCTCACTTCTTTGTTTCCTCCTTCGAAATTCCTCTCTCCTCTTCTGTCCTTCGCTACTTCATACATTCCATCGCTTTTCAACCCTTCTTTCCAACATTCTTAGTGCTCGGTCGTCTCAGTGGTGATCGACTCCATTGTAGATCGCTGACAGAGTATACATCCAACCCCATCACAACAAGTCACCATTGGGAAGTCCAGCATTCCCGACAAGCATCGTGCAATCCGATCTCGCAAACGTCAAGAACATTGCTCGAACGAATAGCTTCCACACAAGATCGTTGCAAGCGTTGCGACGCCTACCTCCAGCCATGCGGTGCTCCTTCGGTGCCCCGGTGCTGTCGATGCTGGTGGCCCTTCTCTACCTGATCCCGATCGCGATCGCTTCACCATTCGCTTTTAACGAGAATCCGCTCGAGAAGCGATGCTCAAATCCCTGTGGATGGAATGACCAGCTTTGCTGTAGTGCCAGCCAAGCCTGTACCACGAACTCGCTGAACGAAGCAGTTTGCGTCGACAGCTCGAGCGGTTCATGGGAGTACTTCACCACCACCATCATTGTAACCGAGGTAGACAAGTCCACAATTACCTCTGTCTGGAGCAGTCATATTCAAACAGCCACGGCTACGGCCACGGGAACCTGTCGACTCGATCTGGGCGAGTCAACCTGCGGGAGTATCTGTTGCGATGCCGCACAGGAGTGTCAGGATGGCGTCTGTGTCGCTGAAAGTTCCTCTGCCGCAGTAACTGGAGCTGAGGCTACCCCCGGTGTTCGAGGAACAAGCAGCGGTGCCAGTACTGTGACGCAGACGTCTGCGCCTACCACGACGGAAGGATTCATCGCACCCGTTGGCACCAACGGCGCAGACCTAATCGGCGCCCAAGCCTCCAGCAGCGGAGGCGGACTCAGTGGTGGTGCAATTGCCGGAATAGTCATTGGTACTATTGCCGGTGTGTTCTGTCTTCTACTGCTCTGTGCCTGTCTATGCTTCAAGAGCGCATTGGACGGCCTCCTCGCAGCTTTGGGCATCCGCAAACGCCGCAGACAAGATACCACCGTGATCGAGGAACGCTATTCTCACCATTCGCACGGCAGTCGGCCACCGCCTCCCAGACGCACTTGGTTTGGTACGAGGCCAGCAGCTGAGGGAACGGACAGTGAAGTCAGCGAGAAGAAGTCCAGGTTTAATTGGGCGAAGCTGGCGATTATCCTGGGTGCGTTGGCGCTGTGTCTGGGTCTGAAGAGACGCAGAGACCAGGACCATGATGATGAATCTAAGACGAGTTATACGGACCCGAGTTCGTACTATTACTACTCGGACTACACGCGAAGTAAGTTGAGCTCATGACAGAGTGATGTTGAAGGCAGCAGTACTGACAATTTCAATAGGTAGCGAAAGCTCTGGCGGACGAACACGAGACACACGACGGTCCCGTCGATCTCGCAGAAGCTCACGACGTTAATGAGTATGCAGAAAAAGAACAAGAGATCGAAGAACAATCGTCTAGGTTGCGACCTTCTCCTCTTCTCCTCTGCTGACCTCTCCCAACTCGAATGATTGATGCATGAAAAAGGCGCCGGTTTGCAATATTGATATGATTTTATGTACCATTATGACCAACTTATGTTCTCTGTTTATGGGTGTAATGATCTTGTTTTGCAATGTTGATAACTTGGACTGACGTTGGATTTGGATATGGATTTGGGCTCATGTTCGTCTGACATGAAGACAAATTCATGCCTGGACAAGATACGATGTAAATATGAGTTATGAAAACTCGATGAATGATATCAAGACCATTGAATGCTTCACCATGGCTGATTTATTGACAATATCTGCTTGGGGAAAGCCTTCGTGTTTGAATCTGTCCCATAACAAGGACAAGGCTTTAAGAGTATCTCACGCATCTTAGATCGCTCGCCGGTCACTGTTTAACTTCCTACTCTTACATTCAAATCAAGGGTGCGGTCTTTTGATTTCTAAAGATCTTCGATTCAATCAGCATTTGTCTAGCTTATACTAGTCCGTTCGCTTAAAGGCTGCCGCAGGGCCTTCCACGGTGTAGTTATCAAACAATGTTCCCCCAATGAGCCACAAGCCACTGAATAAGAGCTTAATTTTCTTAATTTGACAGCCACATTCTGTTGTACTAAGCAGAAAGCCGTAAGTAAAGCCAGCCTTGCCGTTGCATTAGGCTCTGTTGGCAAGGATGGACTGGATCCCCCCTGGTGGCATCTGCATGGGTGATGCAGATAGGGCGCAATTTCCGAGCCCAAATTATTACCCCAGGGTAGTCAGCTAAAATCAAATAGCTGCCGACATTTTAAGCGGCAGGTCCCAGACAGATTAAAAGTGGGTGTCGGTGTGAGTGAGGATGAAGATTGTTAAGCAGTGTGACGGAGGGCACACAAAGGCTTAGTGGACGCTACTCACTGGCCCGGCCATTTCTCCCCGCCTTCCCGACCCGAACTTCTCTCTCCCTCTCTCCCTCTCTTCAGGCAACGCTCACTTCTTCCACTCGGGTCTTCAGCGTCAATTCATCAATGACCCTCGCCTTGAGTCGAGTCAGCTGACATCTTTTCTATCGATCTTTCTCCTCCCTGGAGTTTTTCTCGCATCCCCGTGTCCCACCCACCGACCCTGACCCTTTCGGAGTATTACGAGATCCCGGTTTCGACTCACCACCGCTCGCCATGCTCCAAGCGCAGAGCCAGCACGTCTTCTCGCACCAGCATCAGTACCCCCAGGCTGATCCCTCGTGGTTGCAGCATCAGCAGCAGCAGCAACAGCAGCAGCAGCAACAGCAACAACAGCACCACCAGGCTCAGCCGCACCCTCAGCACCAGCAGCAGCATGCCTCCCTGGTCGCCCAGCAGCATGCTCAGGTCCAAGCTGCTGCCGCAGCCGCGCAACAGCAACACTACGGTCGCCTTGCCATGAGCGGTAACGGCGCGGCGAACCCTGCGCAAGGTGCCGGTGCTGTCGGCGGAATGGGCGGAGAGGGCCTGGCAAATGCGGTCTCTGTCATGGACGGCGGTATCAGCGAGGAGAATCGCAAGGTGTTCATCTGGGTGGCAGAACTGTTGGACCCGGCTCGTCGGGAGGCGGCCCTCATGGAGCTTAGCAAGAAGCGGGAGCAGGTTCCCGAACTGGCTCTCGTCATCTGGCATTCCTTCGGTATGATCCCCTGTCGCATCGTTGGGGCGACCCTTACCCTACCGTGACTAACTCATCGGCAACGTGCAGGTGTCATGACTGCTCTTCTCCAGGAAATTATCTCTGTCTATCCCCTCCTGAACCCTTCGCAGTTGACTGCCGCGGCATCAAATCGAGTCTGCAATGCGCTGGCGCTCCTGCAGTGCGTCGCATCCCACAATGAGACTCGCACTCTTTTCCTGAATGGTAAGTTCCCAACCACTCCCCTCAGCCAGGCGTGAGGGAATCATCAGACTGATTTTTCGTCTCTTGATCTTACACAGCTCATATTCCCTTGTTCCTCTATCCCTTTCTGAACACAACCTCAAAATCTCGCCCATTCGAGTATCTTCGCCTCACATCGCTGGGTGTCATCGGAGCCTTGGTTAAGAATGACTCGTCGGACGTCATCAACTTCCTCCTTACCACCGAGATCATTCCGCTCTGTCTCCGCATTATGGAGACCGGCTCGGAACTGAGCAAGACCGTTGCCATTTTTATTGTACAGAAGATCCTTTTGGATGACATTGGCTTGGCGTACATTTGTGCGACATATGAGCGATTCTATGCCGTGGGCACCGTTCTCAGCAATATGGTCACTCAGCTGGTCGAGCAACAAACGGTCCGACTGCTCAAGCACGTCGTGCGCTGCTTCCTTCGGTATGTGCTTTTCCCCTGGTGTCTTGAGTCAACCTCGGACTCGACCTTGGTCGCTTCTCTAACAACCAGCTACAGTCTCAGCGACAACAGCCGGGCCCGCGAGGCTCTGCGGCAATGTTTGCCCGAACCTCTCCGGGATGCAACCTTCTCATCCGTCCTGCGCGACGATGCAGCCACCAAGCGCTGCCTGGCCCAGCTCCTCATCAACTTGTCGGACAACGTGTCTGATGGAGCCTCGGCGGCCATGTAACATACGAAAACGCATTCTCTTTCTTCGCGGGATATCCTTTTGATTTACACCTCACGATATGCATGGGACAGGTTTCTGGCGAGTATCGGTTACAAAGGCGCAAAAGTTGCGAGTCAGCACCTGATGGACCCGACATGACCATTGTCGTCGTATCCTGACGACAACCGGGCTCTATCTGCTGCTTTCTCTTCATTTTCTAGTTTGTCTACACTATTCTTTTATGGGACACATTTTTGGGCTTCGGTGATCTTCATGTCGATGGGAGGGGACTCATGTATTCTATGTCCTTATTGCCTTTTCTTCTTGCATCTTGCCTCTTTCTCTTTTCCCTCCCTTTTCCAGACATGCTTTCATTTTCTGCCTTCATCTCGTCTTTTCGTGGCGCTCGCAGTCGGGGTGGCGTGGGTTTTCTGGTAGGCGCTGTCGTTTGCATTTGTCCTTGACGGTCCCGCTATTGCTCTACGAGATAGACCTTTTGAGTCCGAGATACCACGGTCCAGTCGTTGATTTAATGTGTTCTATCCTTATGCTGCATTTGGGTTTTATTTTCTTTTTCCATGTACATGTGTGCGAAAAATGTACTTTGACTTCATAACATTCACTAGTTGGCGCTGTTCCTTTGCAGGCAAGCCTGCTTTGTACACATTGATTAGGCATCTATATCTCCAACAGGCAGTCATTATGAAAAATCAGACTAGGCATTCATTGCTTGCCCTAAGTAGAAGTCTTCCAAATCTCTTACGTTCCTGCCAGCCCAATAAGCCTTCCCCCACTCTTTCCCATTTCTTTGCCCGTCGCAAACGCGATCCTCACGTGACGCATCCGTCTCGACGCGCCTTTCGCAGAGCCCAAATCCGTCGCCTCTCGACACGAAGAAAAAAAAAGACAAACCGCCCACCTTTCTTCTTTCAACTCCATCTTCTTCCTGATCTTGTTTCTCACAGACTCACACTGTGTGGCTGTGATCCTTCCGTGCATTGCCCACCCCCTTCCTACTGAATCCCCTCTGTCAGATCCCCGGCCTTCACGGCCTCGTCCCGCCGCCGCGATGGGACCGCGAAAGCGCAGCCGCTCCGAGGCGATCGATGCCCCCGAAGCTCAGGCCACCGAGGAACCTGGACTGCTCCAGCGCATTCGGAGCAGCTGGGAATTTGCGAATATCATGCAGTACATCCACATCTTTGGAAAGATTATGAAGATCGACGAGGAGTTTGGAATCGAGGTATGTGGAGCGGTAGTGTCCTTGCCCTGATATTATCCGGGCCTTCTTGGGTGTCGCGCAGTATATTGTACCGATACAGCGATGAAGTTGATGGAGTCCCATGCGCTCTCACCATACACTGGACTTTATGAAGCTGACCTTGATTCATCTTACTCAAGGATCTCGAAGACGAATGTCTCAAGCCGGAATCCTCGTACAAGTTGCTAGAGATTGGATTGTGCCTGCTGAAGTGGATCTCGTCGCATCGCGGATTAACGTGCGTTGAGAAAAATCCATTTATTTGGCAACACAGGGGGCCCCAATGAGCTGACAGTGCAATACAGCTTCGAGAACTTTGACGAGTACACCCGACGCCAGTACAACGCCAAAGCACCGGACTTCCCCAACCCGTTCGGCTATGAGGAGACTCCTCTCCGATTCCTCGATTTTGATATCTTTATGAAGCTCAGCGTCCTCCACCAGCTCTCTGTGTGGACCTTCTGGAATCCTGATCGTATCCGCGAGAAGATGCCTGAGAAGAAGGATTCAGAGCAGTTGGAATGGGTAAGTTGCAATTCTGCCTTCTCTTGGTTCAAGGTGACAATGATTTCTGACTTTACTAGCGCATCGAGGAATTCGGATACGACCACGAGGGCCGCTCTTACTACGTCCTTGACGACAACCGTCTCTACCGCCGGACCGATCCCCCCATTCCTGCGCCCCAACGACCCAAGAAGAAGCCGAAGAGCAGGTCCTCTCGAGGCTCTCGGGTGTCTAGACGAGTCTCCGCAATGGTCGCGGAAGAAGCGTCCGATGAGGAGAGCAAGAACGAGGACGAGACTAATACTTTCCCCAACTTCAAGTGGGAGTGTGTTGCTGTGACTCTTTCAGAGTACAATGCTTTCCTTGATACCATTCGGAAGAGCAAGGATGCGGATGATAAGTACCTTCGCAGCCAGATTGAAGAGCACATCCTGCCCTTGCTGGAGAAGGCCGAAGAAGCGCAGCAGCGGAAGCGGATCAAGCGCGAGAAAGAGCTTCTCCAAATGCAGATGCTTGCCGGTGCCAAGCGATCGAGTCGACTGGCTGCCAAGGAGGAAAAGGACCGGGCTGACCGCGAAGCCGCCGAAGCCGCTCGCAAACGAGAGGCCGATCTGGCTGAAGCTCGCAAGGAGCAAGCCCGGCAGAAGCAAATGGAGAATGAGCGCAAATCCCGTATGATGACCCGCGAACAGCGCATCAAGGATCGCGAGCACAAGCGGATCCTCCATGAAGCCGAGGTTGAACGCCTTGCGGCCGAGCAAGAGAAGCTGGAACGTGGCGATGGCAGGGTATCGGCGCGGCATCTCAAGGCTGAGATGGAGAGGTCGCAGAAGAACCTGGCAGAGCTGGCCGAGGAGGACCAATGGGTCTTCGACTGCTCTGGGTGTGGTGTACATGGCGAGAACCTGGTAAGGACTACTTTTCTATGAATATTTAAAGCAGAGTTACTTCTAACAACCTTTTAGGACGACGGGAGCCACAGCGTTGCTTGTGAGAAGTGCAATGTGTGGCAGCACAGTAGCTGCCTTGGCATCAACAAAGAAGATGCCGAGAAGGACGACTTCCACTTCGTCTGCACCGACTGCAAGCGGAAGGCGGAGGAAGCCAATCGTCCAAAACTCCCACCGCTGAAGTTCCGAGTCAGCGCGACCCCGTCGCCCTCTGCTGCTGGGACCAAGCCCAAGGTGGAACCGCATGGGCGTGTTCCACCTTCCCCAGTGAAGCACACCCATTATGCTCTGTCTAATGTTCAGAACGGGCCTCCCCGACAGCAAGGTTCTCAGCCTAAGCTCCCTTCACTCACTGCTCAGAATCAGCAGTTTGCTCAAGGGCAGCACCAGTTCTATGTCCCTCCTTCACCTCAGCGTCTCCCCCGCCCTGATAACAACACTCTTCCTTCCTCAAGCCCTCCTCGCCCACCGTTCTCCCCTTCAAAGGTCTCAATTGGCCCATCGCAGTCCCTCTCTCACCAACAACCTCGATTCGGTCCTGGACCCGGCCAGCATATCTTGCCCCCCATGCAGCCTGGACCCCATCTCCCTCCTATTGGTTCTTTCTCTGCACGACCTTCTTCCTCTCACTCTGGATATGGCCCAACCCAGCACCGCCCCTCTATGTCACCTACGCAGGGCAATCACGACGTAGGTCTCCTTGCAGGAGTTCCGTCTGGTGCTCCGCTGAACGGTTCCGGAGCGTGGTCATCATTTGATAGCTACGCTACGCCGCGTCCGCAATCTGTCCATGCAGGCACCCCTGCCATGTCCAGCAACTACCCATCCTTCTCTTCCGTTGCGACTCCAAATGGCCACCATTCTTCGCCCCCGCATAGCTCCCATGGAATTGGCATGTCTGGGATTAGTCCGACCAAGCAGTCTCCTCGGCCCATCACCGCTGGCGGGATGGCAGGGGCCCCGGTACTTCCTCCTATCCGCAGACTGGAGCCCAGCCCTAAGCTCATGGGCCGAAGTTCCCCTGACGCCCCGATTCCTGCACCAATGAAGTGCATGACTCCCGAGCAAGAAGAGCGCCGGCAACGGGAGAATGCCTCTCTACTACACAATGGTCAGTCCTTCTCGGCCAATGGCCAGCCTAATCTCATGTCGTCTCCGTCGATGAGTCGCATCCCGCCGCTGGGTCCAGCTGCTCATGTCCAGCATCCTGAGCCAATTCCGTCACCTCAGAACGGGGCACACGCGCCTCGGCAATAGGGTTGAGTAGCGTACCAAAAGTGATCAATTTATCAACAAACATTTACAAGTTTCAGAGATTGACCCTAAATGATTTCAGTGTCATCTTAGTTGACGTTGAATTTGAGTTCGGGGCCAGCGCTCGATGTTCTGACATTGACACGAATTGGACGTTCCGGAGTCGTTATCCCCAGACGGCCCCCGATTAACCTCGATTGAGTCCGGATCGGGATCAACACTCGATCAGGAACTCCTTTTCAGTCTGTATCGAGTGCAACGTTTTAAAAGTGCACAACGCCTTCAACCTTGTTTTGATTCTATCTCTTTGATAGATTTCACTTTTATTTCATGCTGTGAATGTCGTCGCTGTTCTTTTGGCCCTGCTGCAGAGTACCCTTGTACCAACAATTCTTTTCTTCGATCTGCTCTGGGGAGTGAGAAGCTCCCTAGGCTTACAGTGGTTTTATCGGCGTTGTATTTTTTTGTTTTGCTCCAACTTGATTTGAATGTGCATTAAGATGGTGGGACACGGGCGTTTTCGGATGGCCATGGAGCAGTGTTTCTTTTGCCTGGACGGTGGGCTAGGATCATGTGTACCGTAATAGAAAACTATTTTTATTCTGATGGCAATGATTCTTTCTTTACAACAGAAGTGTGGCCTTCAAAAATCCGCCACGGTTGACTGTGATGCTTGGGTAGAAGCGTGGTTGTCAAAAGTTCCGCGATTGAATTTGATACTTGGCCTGGGCCGACCGCACATTAACCATTCAATTGCCCACAATAACACTATTGAATCACCTCATCTGTGGCCATTGCCATGAGCAAACATTAAGAAGTTGACATGTCCTTGCGCCGATCTATCATACATGGAGCTTTTATTTATGCCAGTATAAACAGAGCCCTGCATGATACCCTGTTCCCGTAGTTCCCCCAACAAGACTATTGTACACAGTCCATACTCTAATCGACGGATCACCACGCACATTTAGCTCAATTCGCAATGTATGCCGGGATCCCAATGCCGCTGGAATACTCCTGCAGCGACATCTGCGATGCGATCGCATCACACATTCTCATCGTAGACGAGCTAATGAGCTAACGATCTAAACGAGCAACGGAACCAGCGTACGACGCAAAAGTACGAGCTCCCTGAAAAATACTCCAGCTAAGGCAGAGGGGAAAGAGCCAGGGTGCAACACTAGTACGGCGTAATAATCAGCAAATCGAGATCAATGGCAAGGGCTGGTAGAGAAATGAAATAAATCAAATACTCATAAGATAGTATCATAAGGGCCTTTTGTAATTTCCATCTCCTTCTTCCTCTGATATTAGTTGATGTATAGGCGGTCCACTAACTTACCAGTATAGTGCTGACTAGAAGGCCTCAACCAGCAGTGCATTCTTCCATCACACGCTAAAAGGTCACTAAAGCAGCTAACAGCGATGGGAAGTCGGCCCGGGCACAATCGTACTAAGCGATGGCACTAACAGACGCGCGCGATCTACGCTCCAGTACATCTCGCAGTTGGTCCGAGCAGCGTGCTCATCCCCCCTTTTGATGAATTGAATCTTACAGTCTGGATTTTGTGCATGTGCTCACGGAGAGTACTTGCTCCGTTACTCTGTACACTTATGTACATACTGATACCTGTATGTCCCCGGAGCTGTGCCTGGTCCTGTCACTTACTTCCTTTTGCCCCTCGAAGCAGGCATATCCCTTCTATCATGCATGCGTACTCAGAGATGACAACTGATCTATCGCAGACATAGAACCACCCTTTCTCCTTTCACAGTATACACTCGCGGTGTACATCCCCCTCAAAATAACCCAACCTCGAGCTCATCGGTAAAATAAGATTCTGTACCGTGGGTGATCGCCAAGATCGTGCACAGTGGCAACATGCTTATGCCGGCCACGGGATCAGCCGATCTCCCTGAACCATAATTTCTTGCTCTTTTCAGTCTTTCTCTTCTTCTGCGGCTTTAGATCCGGAGACCGAAGATTCAAGGTTTCGCTCTGCGTGTGTAAAATGTGGCTTTCTTACCAGACTTGCAGTATAAAAAAGTCAACTTTTCTATACTAAGTTCTGTGGCGCATTCTTGCTTTCAAGATTTCCGTACAAGAAAATATACTAATGAAGGAGGTAGATTGTAGGGACGATTCTGCGTAACATCGCACTTTTCCCCTCGAAATCGAGACACTCAATCGCCTAGTTTCAACAATCATAGTGAGCCCGTCCTGCCAAGACCGATCCTGTAAGAAAATGGCCCTCTTATCCATCTTTTGTAAGTTGTCAGGCCGTCATTTACTCTCCTGTCCTGCCACACCAGCAGATTCCGCTTTCCCCGGGCCCGAGCAGTGCAGATGTAGCTTTGACCAGAAAGAGACAAGATGAGCAAGGTAGGCGCTGTGATATTAATGCGAGACTTTTGACCGATCAATATGGTTGCGGCGAGCCGTGATCTCAGCCTGATCCGCTGTGGGCCGGGGCAAATTATTGATGGCGGTTGCTATCACAATCCTGAAATTGTGGGAGGAGGATGGAGGATGGACTTGGGGAGTTCGTTACTTCTCCATACAGAGTGTTGGAGTCTGGACCATGACGGAACGGAGGTCTCTGGTGTTTAGTTCGTGTTGCCTCGAGGACATAGAGGGGTATGGTGGGCGGCAATTACTTAGATTGGGCCGAAGTCACGATAGTATTACCGTTGGATCATGACTGTTGCCTGATTAGGCCACTGGTAAACCTAATAACCGACGGCTGTAATGACTTTCCTCCATAGCTAAGCTCTTACACACAGACTTTCGTACTTCGTGCTGACGTAGTATATAGCCAGAAGCTCCAGTCCTTCGTCGGTTCAGCCGCTCCATAAAACACACTTTCGCATTCTCTTCTGGTTCGTCTTGCTCATCTTGTTCTTCTTTTGCTTCTTCTTCTTCTTCCTCCTCTTTCGGACGGCGCCCCCACCTATACCTCTTCCCCTTTTTTCTCCACCCAACACGTCCAGTATTCAAAGCAGAGCAACATAGAGTTCGAAAACCCGTTTAACAGGCCGATCCCGATCAAAGCTCCTTCCTAAAATCTCCACCTTTCCCATCGTGGGCTCCACCCTATGCAACTCATTTCGAGAGAGGGAGAGAGCTACGGACCCGCTTGGAATTGGGCTGTCCACTGGTGGCTTTTTGCTGGCCCGCGATCCACGGGAGACCCTCGCCTTTGACGCTCGAGCGCCGCATTTGTCAGGAGTCTTGTTCGAAGAGCGAGACGGTGATGTCCATGGAAATATTACCCCCCTTTCGCTTGCACTGATGATAGGTCGAGGCTGTCAGAACTATACAGACATACTATACCCGTTGAGGATTGTTATATCTTGTGCAGAGTTTACAGAATATGGGGTTGTAAGGCGGGGGAAGAGCCGCCCTTGTAAGGCTCAGCCCGCGGGTTACGTACTTAAATTGGGGGTTCAAGGTATGTGTTAATCATCGGCTTGCTATCGTTGGCTGGTTTAGTTAGTACTTTTTTTTTCCCTGGTCCCTTTCTCTCTTCTTTTTCTTCTTTTGTGACTTTGCTCCGTAGTGGGAGACAATTGCATTCAGGGCTTGATCGCTACTCTTTTGGGGCTGCTGCAGCGAAATTAGAGTGTTTGTACGGCCGTAGATACTCCATCCTTCGTACATACAGAGCACGTAGGAGATTGAGATTTCGCCATTCCAATCACCCTATGCTATGAGATGGCATTACAGGTTGAATACTGTGTTGCGAGAAGTCTGCCTGGGCACATTTCCAAGGAGTATAGATCGACCCCGCCATGTGTGACTGATGTCGATGACCGTCTAGACCGTCTCCCACGAGGCCGGTACGGCCGGCGCGTAAAAACACGCTTGTTCCACACATCTGCCAGGGCACACCAGACGATATGGATCTAGCGGCACAGTGGACCACTGTAGGCCGCTAGCATCTATCGTGCCGCTCGGGTGAGCTCGGGGAGCGGGAGAGCGACACCAATAGCTTAGACTGAACGAACCGAGATATTCATCATCAAGATCATCATGACCTTCGTCATCACGTCGCAGGATTTTGGACAGAACCAGTAGATCATGTATTCCTATCTGTCCTTCTGTTCGTTTTGTGAAGGGCTTACTGGTGCTTTTGTCGTATGTAGCTCACAACCCCCGCAAATGCCGAACCGGGGATATACCGCCCCGAAGTCAGAAAGCGAGGCTTCTGGTCCAGAGCTCCAACCTAGACGTGTAAGGTTTCGAGTAAATGATCGATTGTTTGGAGTAACTGTATAACCGTTCGGTGGCATTCATAGCAGCTTGGCTACTGTTGGCTATGGACAGCGTTTAATTTACTTCGGAGGCCCCGTTGAACACATGACTGAACGGCGATGCGCCCTGCGATGGCTAAATGGCTCCACTTTCAAAGTGATCAAGGAGCCACTTGAGGGGGCTGACGTGCCTAACATGACTAGCATGACTAGAACGACAAGGATCATAGTGGTTCTCTTGGCGGAATCGAGTATCCTCCCGTAGAGAATCAAGTGGTATCATTCAGTCTGTATTATGACGAAAGCACCTTCCACAATTAACCTGGTTCCATCCTGTAAACGGTTTTCTAGTCCAAGCTCAGGCCTCAAGACCATAGTCATGTTTTTAACCCCAAAAAGGAATGGATGGACGGAGCTCGACGGGAGTATCTTGGACAGGTCCTTCCACAAGGGCTTGTTGTCGTTGCCACGATGGGGGCAATCTTTATGATAATGCGCCAACAACCTAATTGTGATCGTCGTACACCATTAGTGAATAGAAACCACCAGCTAGTCATTTTTTGTAGCTATCCTTGGGCTGAGCATACCTTCCCGCCATATTTAAGCGGAAGGCCTCATATAGCATACAATGATGCCCAAAACAAAGCCAGTCTCATGGTGTCAAGACAACAAACCACCAGGCGGAATGCATGGTACATTAAAAAACTCATCGGGGACTCGGGGACTATTCGTGGCCACCTTCTATATCC